GAGGCCAATCCTGTAAGACACACACACACACACACACGCACACACGCACACACACACACACACACACACACACACACACACACACACACACACACACACACACACACAACAGACTTATCAAAATGGCCAGGGAACAAGGCACACCAGAGTATATTGTGCACTCCCTATTTACCAAAACATGTATATGTATCAGCCAAGGCACACGAGACACCATGTATTTCCTACTTACAGTAGAGGCGACGGTTCGATACCGGAACGGGTTGACAGCAAAATTGTGTAGACCCAATCCGATCATCAGTATGGATTGTTCACTCGACATATGTTTGTGGAAGGAAGCTGGCATGTTGAAGTTTGCTCTGAGGCCAGAGTCGATCAATCTGAGCCCCTCCTTTGTGTTGGCCCGTTGCCTCCAAGTTGCCCTCAGTTTTTGGTGTTTACAGAGGTGGCTCCAAACCGGACAGGTTTTAGGGTGCCCGTCAAATTCACTCTGGGTCTGAAATTAGGTAATTGCTATGGCTCCACGACGGCCAGTACAGAGAACCAATAAGCCTTGTGTGTGCTTCCATTAGTTTTCATTGGTATACGATTCTTTATTGGCGAGAGGCGAGCCGCTGTTTACCTGCGACAAGAAGTTGATTTTTCAAAAGACGTAAAACTCAAGTCGCAGTGGGAAGCAACACGTCGAAAACTCAAATGCTTGGCATGGCGCTTCTGGTCATCGCAGAGCCATGGAATTTAAGCGCTGAGTAAAACACATCGAGTCTCACTGTGACATACGTTTTCTAATCAAAATACCAAGAGAGAAAGTGAATATTTAGACCGTTCCGGTTGGCAACCTGTGTCCTATTTGAAAGCGTCTCCTCTACAGCATAGACCTTATTCGATAAACGTCACAATCACGTGAACCGGGGTCCCAGAAACCAGGGAGTGGCAAGAGGCCTGCACTCAGTGCACACTGGACTCTGCGTGCGAACATGGGAGTAGAAAATACCGGTATTTTGCTACTCCCTAGTACGAACTGGGCCTTTCTTGCCACTCGTTTCTTGTACGCGTGCCCTAGCTTACGACAAATCCCTGGAGGCGAGTCCAAAATCACGTTATCGAATAAGGTCTATAGGTCACACCTGCATGTTGAGCCCATACTACTGTCATGGACATGGAAATCCGGTCGAATGCCCGGGGCCGGCGCCCTCAGTGCGTACAGAACGTTGCATGCACTGTTCATTGTATGCGTGCTCACGGCTGCATGGCCAACCCTCCGGGGCCGCTTGACCTCCGGCTGGATTTCCATGTCCACAACAGTACTCAGTCAGTAGTACGAGCTCTCCTATCCTAGTACACATGTGCTGTGACCCACAGTGAATTGGGAACTTGTCGCCTGGCACGAGGAAAACATGATTGTGGCAATGGGATTTCGGCCTTTGGCCTCTGGTTGGTGGATCTGATGCATCCTCCCCCAACGTTTAGGAGCCACATCTGACGCCTGACCATGGGGTGGTGGCGTCCCACAGCAGCGGAGAGGTGGTTCTTGATCCACCTTGTACGCGGACCCGGGCAATTCGTGTTAGTACACGTGGCACAGGCAATACCTCACCAACATGACAAGGACGTAGGAAAGCTTACCGACGGCGTAAGCGCAATGCCTTCATAACCTGTGTCGTCTGCGACTTGGGATCCTGAAACGAGAGGCAAGATTGACTCTAACTTAGCGGGTGCAGGTCTGGATAACAGCCACCATCATAACACAGTGGCACTATCACTGTGGCACTATCATAACACAGTGGCACTATCACAGTGCACCATCATAACACAGTGGCACTATCACAGTGCACCATCATAACACTGTGGCACTATCACAGTGCACCATCATAACACAGTGGCACTATCACAGTGGCACTATCACAGTGCACCATCATAACACAGTGGCACTATCACAGTGCACCATCATAACACAGTGGCACTATCACAGTGCACCATCATAACACTGTGGCACTATCACAGTGCACCATCATAACACAGTGGCACTATCACTGTGCACCATCATAACACAGTGGCACTATCACTGTGCACCATCATAACACAGTGGCACTATCACAGTGGCACTATCACAGTGGCACTATCACAGTGGCACTATCACTGTGGCACTATCACTGTGCACCATCATAACACAGTGGCACTATCACAGTGGCACTATCACTGTGGCACTATCACTGTGCACCATCATAACACAGTGGCACTATCACTGTGGCACTATCACTGTGCACCATCATAACACAGTGGCACTATCACTGTGCACCATCATAACACAGTGGCACTATCACAGTGGCACTATCACAGTGGCACTATCACTGTGGCACTATCACTGTGGCAAAACCTAGCATGGCACTCTTTGGTTGAAAGAGCTTCATGTCAAACCATGCCGAGATCTGTAGCAAGTGTTGCTGCCGACACCCAACAGTTGGTGATATCTCTTCACAAGCAACAGTTGACAGTCAATATCATACATATTCCACACTTTCCATAACCTGGGCAAACCCCGACGACTGTTAATGCTTTAAGGCTCCAGCATATTTCGTGATTTCCTCCTCACGGGTGTGATGACAACATCTTCCATAGACTGTTCAAGAGAGGCAATAGCCCACCTTCCCAATGTCAACAAATAAGTAACGACTGCATCCTGCACACACGCAGACGTGAGAATGCATGGTGTGTGCACGCTTAGACACACACACACACACAGGCACATACCTTCATGCGGTGTGCCTCGTCGAACACCCCAGCCAGCCAGTCAATGCTGTTGACAAACTCCTTCAGTTGACACACAAATCAGAGATCAAAAGCCAGTAGCACCAAAAGTGAGCAGGACTCTGACAGACCGGTGTGCAACTGCACCGTCTCGGGCACAACTCAAACGAAACGAGTTGGGGTGAAGAGATGCAGTTAGAACGTATGGAAGGCGGTCTGTTCTTCACAAGGATGGTATTGTCACGCTCAAGAGCTCACAGACAAACTTTGCTTAGAAACGTCATCATAAGAATTTCCATTGACTGCTCAAAGCAAACTAACCCTTGTTTCTCTGGGGCATGCAGCTCATACGATCACACCACATGCCACACTGCGATGTACAGCACTGCTCAGTGAAGCCTGGACTCATGAATAAGTTAGCACCAAGTGCCATACTGCGGTGTACAACACTGCTCAGTGAAGCCTGGACTCATGAATAAGTTAGCACCAAGTGCCATACTGCGGTGTACAACACTGCTCAGTGAAGCCTGGACTCATGAATAAGTTAGCACCAAGTGCCATACTGCGGTGTACAACACTGCTCTACGAAACCTGGACTCATGACTATAAGTTAGCACAACCCTGCACCAGTGCATAGTCCAGAGCACACAGGCCAGGTCTGGGCTGGGGCTGCACAGGACACGGTGCTAGTTGATTCACCGATGTCCGGAGGTTTCATCGAGCAGCACTGCGGCTTACCAAGTTCAGCTTGGCGGTGTCGTAGGTGGTGAGTATGTACTTACCAAGTTCAGCTTGGCGGTGTCGTAGGTGGTGAGTATGATATCGACGCTGCCGGTACGCGCCAACTCCATGGCTTCCGTGCGCTGTGATCCGTGCAACACCCTGCGGCATGGCACACACACACACACACACAACACGTACACCACATCACCATCATATCGTAGATACACGACTGGCATCGTACACAAGTTTGACAGCAGAGCACGGTACCTTGACTTCAGATGTGTCCATGTCTTGATCTCCTCTTCCCAGTTGTAGAGCACTGATGCGGGCGTCACAACTAGAAACACACCACTGTACGCGGCGGGTGCAGTCTAAAGGCAACCGACAGAATAACAAAGGCACTGTCAACACTCAAGAGCATGGTGTACAACCTGTCCACAAAAAATAGACTGAATGTTTGGAGAAAAAGGTTCAATACAGATGAGGCCGTGCAAGTACAACACTGGTTACTTCAACTCGATCACTCTTTTCGCCTGCTTGCCGAGGAAAATCGCGTGAACATTCGGTTAATCCCGCCTGTGCGCGGGCTGGTGTTCAGGCCACTCATGGATGTCGTTGTCCAGTACCTACACTGGGCTACAGTCCACATTAAATTTTAATAGTTTCACATTGACACTCAGTACCAGTGTAATCTTGTTTGGGCATTATGGCCCATACCTCAGGACGGCGAGCATTGCCAAAGCACTGGAACTTCGGCTGAACGTCGAACCGGGTATTCGTTTTGCCAAGGACGGCAGCAATGAACGCTATCACCTGTGTGTGAACACACATACACACACACGCACATGTGCACACACACACACACACACACACACACACACACACACACACACACACACACACACACACACATCACAATAGTCATTAGATCTGTGCCACCAGATCCATTTCACTTCCCAGCTCTAAAAAAAGCAAGGAAAGCACCACACAGGCATAGTAACAAGCATAAGTGGCTACTTGAAGTAGTAGCATCACCCACATCACACAAATGCAAGGAACCAGGACGCATCAGGCGGCTTGGAGCCTGCCGTATCCTGTCCTGTTGAGATACTACGACAAGGGACACTCAGGCCCCAGAGGGACTACAGAGCGAGAATTTAAGCATGTCTACCCCAGCCTTTGCCGGAAGAGCAGGAGTCTGTCCTCATTCATGCTATGAACGAGTTTACTGCAGATCCATGTGGTGACATTCCTCTGTCTGGACCAGAGGTCGCCAACGCAACTCAAGGTGATGAGGTATTGTCGGATGTGATACGATTTCTCAGATTTGGTTGGCCTAGTGACGTAGCAGAACGTTTCGTACCGTACAGCCGCATTAGGGATGAACTGTCCATTGAACAAGGCTATTTGCACTGGAAAAGCCGTGTAATGATTACAAATACATTCCGACAAGCTCTCCTGCGGGAATTACACTCTGTGCACCTTGGCGTAAACATAATGAAGTCAGTTGCCCGCTCATTCTTTTACCGGCCTAAGTTGGACAAAGATATTGCTGATTTATGTGCATCCTGTGAGCTGTGTCAGCAATTTGCTCGAGCTCCCTCTAAGGAGGCCACACACCCATGGGTTTACCCAAGCCGAGCTTTTGAACGAGTGCATGTTGATTTTGCCGAGTTTGAGCACCGTTTCTTCTTTGTTGTCGTGGATGCCTACTCCAAATGGGTTGAAGTCTTTGATATGGGCTGTGATTCCACCACATCAAAGACAATTTCTTGTTTGATGAAACTTATTTCCCACGTTGGTATCCCAGAGTTTATTGTGAGCAATAATGGACCACAATTCACGACCCACGAGTTTGCTTCATTCTGTTCGCAAAATGGCATCGTTCACAAGCTCACACCACCCTACCATCCAGCATCTAACGGTCAGGCTGGGCGCATAGTCCAGGAGCTGAAGAAATCGTTGAAGACGTGTCCGCCCACTGTCTCGATTGCTGCTCAGTTCTGTCGTTTTTTATTTGCGTAACGTACTACTCCGCATAGTACCACGCGAGTTTCCCTGCTGATTTGGTGTAGCGATTCACCCCGATGTCCCGTTTTTCCTTGGTACAGCCATCATTTGGTGATACGATGCGTCAGCCAACGATGTCTTCTGGTCCGCCGTCTCGTGGTTTTGTTTCCGGCGAACGGGCTTGGTTTCTCAATCCTTTACCCCGTGGTGGTCCAAAGTGGCTGAAGGGTGTGGTCCGGAAGCGCTTATAGGCCTGCTGACCTACTCGGTTGAGTATGATGGTCGCCCGCGTTCCATACATGTCAAAAACAACTTAGTCTCCTATGTTTTTCGACCTGAGCAAAGCATTCGACACTGTCTGGACAAGGGGTCTCCTCCATATTAAAGCTAGCAACGCTTGGTGTAACCGGGGTAAGTCTGCAGTGGCTCACCAGCTATATCACTAAACGTCGACAGAGTGTCCAAATTGGACATGCCCTGTCCGCCCCTCTAACAGTCCACTCTGGAGTGCCCCAGGGCTCTATCTTGGGGCCTCTGTTGTTCAATGTATACGTCAATGATGTGGCATCTTTGGACCATACATCTCTCCATGCGGACGATACGGCGCTCCATATAACCGAGCCAGGCTTATTAGAAGCCTGTGACTCGCTACAGTACAGTATCACATTAATCAAGTTGTGCGCTAGATGTCGGCGTGGAAACTCCGCCCCAATGTGTCGAAAACGGCAATCCTTTGTATCCCCCCCCCCCCCACGACCCTCCAGTGACCTCACCCTCCCTACGACTCAACTTTTTACTTTCCCTGACGATCCCATTGCTATCAACATAGTTAAAAATCACAAACACTTTGGTATATTTCTTGATGAACACTTGTCCTGGGATTTGCACGTAACATAAAAGCGAGTTTGCTCCGCTATAGGCTGCATTTCTTCTCACATTTCCCATCTGCACCATGATTGTCGAATACAAATTTATCACTCTTATGTTCTTCCTTTGTTTGACTACTGCTCTCTCGTTGGTCCTCCGGTCTATCCTCTGCTCTTATGCATCGGTTAGAAGTCACGCACCGTAAGTTGCTTGGATTAATATTTCGTATGCCCCATCTAACCTCCTCTCAGACGCTATACATTTTGGCTTCCTCTTCCCCTCTTTCAAAACGCTTTCCCCACTCGGCATGCAAATTCATTCAATTGCTCCTCCACATGCACTTGCGCATTTAAGCTGGTTCAATAATAGCTCCCCTACTAGATGTTCTCTCCAGTTACCACTTGCCAGATCACCGATCCTTTTAAAATCCCCTCTATTCAAGTCCTATTCTCATTGGTCTCGGCTTTCGCAGGAGGTAAAATCCCGTGACACCTATGCTGCATTTTGTTCCATTCTGCACGCGCCCACCTAAGTTGGATTGACGACGGTAGTTAGTACTCCCTTTGTTTTGCTTTCATTGTTCTTTTTTGTCCTTCTTTTTCTCAGTTTTCCCCACCATGGCTGGTTAAAATCGCCCGCATCACATGTTTATTGGCATTTTACATCATGGCTTGTGCAGATTAAAGTAGATACCTCACACGAAGTACCCGGATATCATTTTATTGTCCTTTCGGGACACAAATCTGCCAGCTTTGTCCTCCTTTCTGCAGGGCAGGGTAGAGCAGTGACTTGCATGAAATTAAAATTACGAATCAGGGTGCGAATCCTGCACTTTTAATTGCCTTCCCGAGGAGCGTGGAGATCGATCCGTACGTCGTGCATGCACGTCAAGTTTTATTTCTCTCACTATGAGAGGTGATTCTTTGCACTGTATCCTTTCTCATGACTTCGGACATCTGAATTTGCTCTCTTTACGAGGCGGAAAGATGCTGAAGCAAGCGAGAATTGAACTCGGATCAGAACTCTGAAATATTTCGCCAGCTTGCCGCAGACCCTTTGTTTCACCTTTGAAATACTGGGAAGACCAGTCATTGCTCCATCAGCATAGCAAAACTCTAACTATCAGCAAGGGACACCTATAAAGGCTGTTTATTCAAGCAAACCATTGATTCCCACCATCAGAAACCTGCACAATACTGCAAAAACAGTGAAGAGCAAGGGGACGCCAAAGTTTGTTTGAACCCAGAAATTTCGTTGGCATGCGTTGTCAAGTATGCGTGCCGTCATCATTTCGAAGCCCTATTGAACATACAGACTGGAATTGCCAATACACACCACATCATGTGCACACACCTGCACAGTTTTGCCCAAACCCATGTCATCGCCCAGCACACAACCTGCACAAAGAACACATTCACACATACAAAGAGAGAAGAAACTCAGATCAGCCCAGACCGCCACAAGAAAATTATCCCAGCATGGTTTTGTCTGATACTCAAGACTTAATAATGTTTTGGCTAACGACACATTATTGAAAGCCTGGTTTATAGCATGTTAGCATTCCGCGCACGCAGACGGCATGCAGGCAGGCATACATCATTAGCATTCCGCGCACACAGACGGCATGCAGACAGGCATACACCACACGAATAAGGCTAGGTTGTGTTGGGTAAGTACTGGTGACGAGGAACTGGTTGGTCTTTGCCGCAAGGTAGGCACGAGCCCGTGAGGCTGCGAGTGCCGCAGAAAGGCAGAAGCCCGGAGGCTGTGATTGCCGCAGGAAGGCAGAAGCCCGGAGGCTGTGATTGCCGCAATGGAAAGGCAGGACCATAAGGCCATAATGCCGCAATAGAAAGGCAGACCAGTTATGAGTGACTCGCCACCAGGTTTATTGTACTTGAAGTAGGAATGATGCAATGTAGTATTAATGGTTAGTGGTGGGATGGTGGGTCAGCAAAAGACAAAGGCAGCAGGATGCAAGTCGGGCATGAGCCAAAGCAGAGAAGACTCAAAACTGAGAATGGCAAGGAGATGTGCCACGTTGCGGACTCGGACCCGATCAAAACTGAATTAATTATTGTGATGGCGTACGCATAAATTAATGTGATGCACAGCAGGCGGTCTTGCCGGTCGCGGCAAGGCGCGCTAAACAAGTGCCGCGGCCAGAACCGTAGAGGGCGCTGTAGCGCAGCAGATACGTAGTTGCGAGATGTGCGCCTACGCTAAACTGAATTCATTACATGAATACATCATAAAAATATAGTAAAGTTTTCACATCCACGTTACCACCGGCTAAACACAACCGACTTCGAGAAATTTTGCTCGTGCCAGGCCACCACCATGCATATTAATAATACCAAGATGACAGGTGCAGCGCCAAGCGGTGAGGCTGAGATGGTACGCACACAACCAGTGTCTGAAAGGGGGCGAAGCCTCGTCAGCTGCGTCCATGCTACCCTCACTCCGATCCGAGTACATGTAGGGAGTACCCAGTTGACTGTGGGTGTTGGTGCAGTTCACTGCATGTAGGTGGTTCACACATGCATCACCACATCATTTGTTAGCATAGTACACGCTCCCTGCTGCCAGCTCAAGCATGCAGTCTTTTAAAATGACACAAAATCATTCAGTGCCCCCGCCCCCTCCCCCCCCCCCCCTGACCTGCTAAAACAAGCTCTAAATCTAGCCCACTTGGCATACCTTGCTTCTGTTCAAAGTGCTTGAAGAGAAACTTGGCTCCCTCTCGCTGGTAGTCACGCAGGTACTGGTTCAGCGGAGCAGGAATCTGTCATGGTGATCGAGCAACATACAGAATAGAAAAACATCAATGGAGCTTCCATCAACAATGTACGAGTAAATCGTCATAAAAGCTTCAAGTATAACTTATACTGCGTATTTAATGCACAGAATGACAAGGACTCTCCTTCTGTAGAAAGAAAACAAAAACATCTAGTTCTCGCCGTGTCCCACAGACGGCCAGGCAGGCTATCGCATAGTCGTGACAGAACAGCAGGTGCCTGGGCGTAACACGTACTAGCCGTCCAGGTCTGGTACGTTAGCATGAGGCTCAAGTGCAGTACAGCTCAAATTGCTTCTCATGCAGCCTTCCGAGCTGGACAAACTCCAACCCCTGCAAAAAGCCGATACCAGTGCCATCCCGCAGCAACGAACTCTGGTGCCTACTCGAGCTACTTGGTATTCCAAGTCTTCCCCAGCCCCCCTTTCAGAAGCTTGCTATCCCCATTTACAAATACTTGCACGGGAAGATAAGTCTATAAGTTGTCAGGCAGCCAAGCAGTAGATTGTGTACAGGGGCGGTCCCAACTATATGTACCGTGACCTCAGTGCAAGCTTCCCATTTCTGTATCATGATACATCGTGTAATGATTGATGTGTTACAAGTTAACAACATACCGAGACAGCGGGCGTGACGCCAGTTCCAGTGAGCATGTAGGCAGTCTTGTTACAGCCAGCTGACGTCTGAAATCTGGGCTTCTCCAAGTCGTCTTCAGTAAATCCTGAACCACATCACAAAGAATTCAGGCACATCTTTTCTGTTCTCCAAGCCACCTTCAATAACATCTCCCTTTGCCTATGCAAAGCCAGATAGGCTCTGATGTGCCTTTTTTTTTATTCTAGAGTGCAAAATCAATATACTGTCGCACTAATGTAGTTAGTGTGTGTTAGCATCCACCGATCACACTGCCATGTTTGCATTTGCCACGCACCACTGCCGTAGCCTGACGTCGCACAATTGCTTCCTTTGAAATTTCTCTTTCTTTCTTGCCGTTGGCTTAGTCCATTCGCAAAAAGATGGGCCCTGGCTATGGCGAGCTCACGTATTTGGCGATTTTTCGTGATTTTATCGTACACATTGCAGTGCTGCGAAATTTGAAATTTGAAAAAGGGTCCAAAAAGGGTACCTGAACTGGGGTTCGAACCACACAATGCACTGTTGCAGGCGAGGTCAAACGGCCTGGATTTTGATGGTTTTTCCCAATTCAGTGCTTTTGGGGCAAAACCTGGTCGAATCCTATTCTTGCTATGGCTTGCTTTTTGGACAAATAGACTTCGGAAACATAATTGGAAGAGGATTCCATAGCGGATTGCAGAAAAAATTCTAAAAAAACTCAAGCTTGATCCAGTTATGGCCAAAAGCTAGAAGTCCATCGTTTTATGAATGGACTGTAGTGGCGACTTTTAGCTTGTGCCAGGATCAAATTTTCAGCTCTCTCAGCTTGGCTTCTAGCTTGTGGTAGCTTCAAATAACTAATTAGCCAGGCGCTTTGATTGTGTTCAGCTCGTCTTGGTGCCTGAAACAATGTCGTCTATTGTACATCGGATGCGGGTGGCAGAACTGCGAGCCGAGCTGGACGATCGAGGTCTGCTGACCACCGGAAAAAATCCATTCTGGTTCAGAGATTGCTGGACGACATGGAGCGAGAAAACCTGCGTCCAACTCCTCACCCTTCAGCAAACGACTCTGCTGCACCCGCTGTGGATATGTGAGAGGTGCTCGCCGAGCTCCCGGCCACCTTGGATCCAACTGCTAGTCGCGAACTTATTCGGGCTGAAGTTCGTTCTGCCATCACGGACGAGGTTGGAGCCGCTCTTCTGTCGCAGCCACGTACAGCACCAGCGCCACCAGCTGCGTCAGCCGACATTGGCGTGAGTTCTGCGTGCTCCACACCGCCTCACGCTGGAAATCTGCACGTCCCCAAGTCGGTGCAGGATAGGATCTTGCGAGGTGAGTTTGTGGACTTTGACCAAGTGTTGCCTGATATCTTGGGGGCAGTTGATAGCAATAAGTCTTTCGAGCTTAGATCCAGTCCATCCGGAGGTGCATTGGAAGTCGTAGAGGTGGACACCACTCGCCCGGTTCGTAGACGTGTGCACGATATCGCCACTTGGTTAGAAGCATGGTCTCTGTATATGCATGTTGTAATCAGCAATGCACCCCATCGCACGGCAGAACTGCTGTCATACCGGTGCGTGATCTTGGCGGCCAACAAGCAGTATTTTGCAGAGGCTTGGCTTATGTATGACCAGCAATTTCGAAGGCGTGTTGCTTCACAGCCAGGCAAGCGCTTCGATACGATTGACATAAATACATGGCAGCTGTGCATCACAGACAAGGCTAGGCATTGATGTCCATCGTCCAGCCTTGTCCACCCGGTGTCTGCAAGCAACATGCGTCCTTTTCGTCCCAAACACGCACACCAAGCCCAAACAGTATCATCCTCGCTGCTCACCCGCAACAACGCAGGTGCCGTCATCTGCCGAAACTTCAACATTGGCAAATGTAGCCGGTCAAATTGCCGGTTCGCCCACATCTGCAACAGCTGTGGCAAGGACCACCCCCGCAGCAAGTGTTCCGGCAAAGGTCAGCGGCGAGCCCAGTAGTTCGACGGGATTGCAATCCCAGCCTGAGCAACCAATACCTGTTTCATGTGTACATAATCTTCTTCTCTTTCACATTAATAATTCCTCTGTACTTTGCCCTTTGTATATCTCTCGTTTTCAGCTTCTATTGCATCATCACCCCGACAAAGAATTTGCTTCCTATGTGCTAAATGGGCTGCGCTACGGCTTTAGCATAGTGTTAGGTACCTCCTCCCGTACCTTTTCTAGCTGGCCTGCATGCACTTGCGTACTCACCTTTTGTCTCCTTTTGTTCCGTTGGCCTGGGTAGCTACTTGCGCGCCCATATTTGCCATAGCTACCCAGGCCCTTTATCTTGTCGTTCAGACTTGATCTCTTCCTCTCTTTTCTCACTCTTCAATATAGTCGTTTCGTTCGTCTTGGTCTCTTGTCTCGTCGTCTATAATAAATGTCGTTCCCCCAACCTACCTGTTCCCGTTGTAATGTCTGGATACTGTAAGACATGTATATATAACGAGGAAGCAAATCTAACGTTTTAACGGATGACATTTCTTCGTTATAATAAGATCCGTTGAGGCCGTACTGCTTCATATATGCTGTTTGTGGATATGGCAGAATACTGCAAGATCGTTAACATATCTTCTCGTTAACCTATGAACTTTGGACAATCGTTAAATTTGCGACTCGTTATAATAACATGTCTTACAGTAATGTGCCGTCAGTCGTCCTGTTCCGAATTCAACATAGGTTTCACTGATTCACGCGACATTTCTGTCCATTCTGTTAATCTGCCATCTTCCGCTGCTCGTGGCTCCTTTATTTCCGACAAGCTTTATGCTTCTTGCCAAAGTGGCGAAACTGCTGGTCCTTTCGGTGCAGCCCCGTTCACCTTCATGCGGTACATGTACATAATATCTCAGAATACTAAGCAGAATGATCGAACAAGAATCCGTTACAAATCATAGTCCATTCACAAAAAGATGGGCCCTGGCTCTGGCGAGCTCCCGTATTTGGCGATTTTCAAGATTTTATCGTACACAGTGCAGTGCTGGGAAATTAGAAATTTGAAAAAGGGTCCAAAAAGGGTACCTGAACTGGGGTTCGAACCGCACAATGCACTGTTGCAGGCGGGGTCAAACGGCCTGGATTTTGATGGTTTTTCCCAATTCAGTGCGCTTGGGGCAAAACCTGGCCGAAATCCTATTCTTGCTACGGCTTGCTTTATGGAGAAATAGACTTCAGAAACAGAATTGGAAGAGGATTCCATAGGGGATTGCAGAAAAAAATTGTAAAAAACTCAACGTTTGACCCATTTATGGCCAAAAGCTAGAAGTCCATCTTTTTCTGAATGGACTGTAGACGACAAAACCCCACAAGACTGGGTCAGAGATGATATTCCCGGTGATCAGGAAACGTGTCACACTTAGTATCCACTCTCAAAGGGGACTGAGCTCTCTGTCCACACAATTCAGCCTATTATAGGACCTTTTGACAGGGTAGCTTATCTGCCCTGCAATACCAAAACAGGGAAATACCCAGAATTTACTACAGAACAGGGATTACAGGGTTTCTTCTGGTTACACCGCAGGCCACCGATAGCAAAGTTGCAACACACGCACGCACGCACGCACACACACACACACACACACGAATCCTACCATCCGGCTCCCAGCTGCCAATGGGGTTGGCCACGCTTGGAGAATCTGCAGGACGCCTGGGTATTTCAGCAGGCGATGTTACTGAAGACCTCAGTGTCGCTGATGGCTTTGCCGTTGATCTGCACAGGGACACACATAATAACATGCACATCTTATTCCCAATAAGGCTGACATTTTAACATCTCCTTTTCCTTGCGCCGCCGAAACGTTGTGCCTGCATCACCTCTGCCCCCTTCTCAGATCCCTCCGGCTGTATATACCGGTGTACCTAGTGAGTGTTAATCTTGGCTATGCTGTCTGATGAGTGTTTTAACACGAAACTCAGTAAGTAACGGCAGAGAAAGGCTTTTGTTGTGCCATTGCTGCATGAGTTTTGTAATCACATGTACATGTATGTGATCTACTGCTGTGGACATTAAAATCCGATGATCAGCCGAGCGGCCACGGGGCGCTGGCCTTGCAGCCGTGAGCACTGCTGGTCCATTTTCACAGTGTGTACGTGAAGTACAGTGTGTGTGTGTACGCGCTAAAGGTAGTAAGGGCTCCGGCCCCGGTCAGTCCACCGGATTTCAATGCCCTCAACAGTACTTGCAACACAATCACAAACACACAAAAACCGAAGTGGAAAGGGCATGATGGAAAAAATCCCATCAAGGCGTTCTAACTTCCAGGGGAAAAGGAACAATCCAGACATCATGACAGGCCAGTTCATTCTGGTGCCTATAATTCAATCAGCCCCGGGACACATGACATGTCCATCCACAGAAATGATTGGTGTAAAACCACTAGCTACATGAAGTTATTTTTGCCACGCAAATCTGCACGCCACATTTCAAAAACAAAAAGTGTGACTTGGGGTTACCATCCTGAGAACTAGCATGATAAAAATGCGAAACCCGTGCACAGGCACGCACACGCGTACACGCGCGCGCGCACACACACACACGTGTGCACACATGATCATGGAGAGCTCACCGTTTCGGCGTGGTAGCTGTTTCAACCATAGCAACTTCCACAACTGCACGTTTGCTAGCTGCACAGGCAAAGCAAACAAAAACAATCAATATAAAAAAAGAGATGAGAGCAGAAGACATGACTACAAATGTAATGAACAGTTACACTACACACACACACACACACACAGGTATACACAAACATGCACCAAGCCAATATATCGTTATGCTTCTTTCAATCACACAATGCAGATGTGTACGACATTCCTCACCTTTCTTAGTTCCACTGGTAGTGGACCCAGTAGCGGGCGACTTGTGACCAGCACTAGGTGACTTCCCAACTTCACACTGATCCTCTACAGCAAACATGCAGTAGAAAAGACAACAAATTTAACGATAAAGAAAAGAGCTTCCAAGAGAGTCTTTGTAGCTTTCTAGTTTCATAATAGCAGCAAAGAAGTCGATAGACAATACCAGCCAGGACAAGGACCACTAAAGATTGGCTTTGCCAACTAAAGACGATTGTGAGCTCATGGCGCTTGCATCTGCCTAAAATGATTTCCCCCTGTTTGATGGGGATTCCCCTATGTATAGTGTCCTGTATACAGTGCATACCTGCAGGTGGATATGGATCCTCGTGGGCTGAAATCTCGTAATCACCATATCGCTGTCTGCATACACACACACACACACAAACACACACACACACACACACACACACACACACACACACACAAACACACACACACACACACAATGTACACACATGCACACATGCATGGACGCACACATACATACAGACACACACAACCACGAACACACGCAGACACACACAGAGATACACATAAACACACACGCACATAAACACACACACGCACATATATATATAGTTATACACACACATGCACACATACACACACACACACACAGACACACACATTAAAGGTTTCTACGGGTGGTTTCGATACCATCTCATCAGTCGCAGTACAGGCAAAAAGAAAATAAACAAGAAAAATGAACTTTATGTAGCAGAGATGTGATAGAAACAGAGTAGCCAGAAGAGGAGCCAGAAACAACACGATACAATGTATAATCTCATACATTGCATGCATAACAGTAGACGGAATGACAAAAAGGGTGCAAGTGGTAAGAAACCTAACACGGTTGTGATGTATTGTGACAACAATAGACAACGAATGGACATAACAATAGACAACGAATGGACATAACAATAGACAACGAATGGACATAACAAACGAGTTGTTGACGACCTACCCAACAGCCTACCGTATTTCCCTGACTGTACAAGTAAGTCACACCTTTTCGCACTACAAAACTTCAACGGCAAAGAAGGGGGTGCGATTAACAGTCGAGTGTGACTTCCTATGTATGTCAATGTGTTGAAACAACTCGGCTTGGATCTGAAAATAGGCTGCGACTTATAATCAAGTGCGACTTAAAATTGGGGAAATGTGGTGTGAATTTGATTAGTTTCTGCTTGCATAGGCTAGGCTTTCTTGTGTGAATATGAACAGGTTTTAAAACGATCGATAATAATTTAGCACTAAGAACACGTGACAAAATGGAGAAAACAAAACGATCTAAATACACAGCACGACATTCGGAACATTGAATACTTTCTACGCCCTAATGGTGATCACGACACACACACACACACACGCACGCACGCGCACACACGCACACACACAGGGGTGTGCGCGCAAGCGAGATCAACATCTTACTTCATGTAATTGTCCTGTTCGGTGTCAACACTGCCATGGCCAAACATACGATTGGCAGCTTGCAACCGTGGACCGGGTGACGGTGAACGCTCTGATGAGCAGAGAAACAGGCAAACAATGACACAATGAGACAAACGGCGTGCAAAGACTCTCTGTATTGCCGTATGTCCGCACCTTTAAAGCCATGGAGGTATATTCGATTATAAAGCCATGGGCTTCGTAAATGAAATGACATTCGAAGTATGTTTTGTGAAAATGAAGGAATAAGTACAATACTAACAAACTTTCATCCTAGCAGGAAGGGTGAACAAGTGGATTTAGACAGAAAATTCTGTGTACACTTTGATTTTTAAGACATGGTATAGTGAGTGCTTCATTTAGCATCTAGATTAGCTAGGAAAGCAGCGGAGTTGCATCCCAGTAGGAAGGATTTTCGAGCAGATATCGTGACTCCCCCCCCCCCCCCCACTAGCTTTTTATGAATACAGTAGATGGGTTTCACAGGAAATTCTTACTAGGTGTTGTCACAGACTCCTCCACGGGTCGAATGCTGTCAAGGCTGACCACCACATGACCATCGTCTTCATATCTACACATTCATGCATACACATGCGCGCGCACGCACACATGCATGCACACACACACACACACACACACACACACACACACACACACACACGCACACACGCACGCACGCACACACACACAAACAAACACACACACACAAACGGAAGGAAATGAGCAAACATAGACTACAGTTTGAAAATAGCATAGAGGTACAAGTCAGTGACTACGACTCACTTTGGGCCAACCATACCGGTATGCAGAAATGCCCCCCCCCCCCCCCCCCCTTCCCATCCCCACACACACACACATGTTGCCAGCAAGCACTTGCATGTATATGAACCTTTTCGGGGCACAGTCAAAAGGGAGAATACCAGCCTCGGGTACAACAAGAAATCGTGAATAACGACACAATCTTCAGACCCAGTAACCATTTGACTGCATACATGTACTTCCAACCTTGCAAACAAGAACAAACGTTTCTCGCGCCCGATCAAGGGTCGTATCAACAACATTGACTGTACACGGGATGGACATAAAAGCACACACTGAAGAGATTCAACAGCAACGCACTGCTGCTGCTGCTGCCGCTGGCCTTCCAAGCTCACCCGACAAAGACGACTTCTGCGGTCTGCTGGCGCTTGCGCAGTCGCACACGTGAGATCACCGCCTCGTAGTAGTCGCCGTCCTCATCAAACAGTGCCATGCAGTGGTCGCCGGCTTTCCAAGCTGCAACGCGTACCACCAGCAATGCAACGAGAACACAAACACACAACCAGAAAGAGCTCCCAAGTTGCACAGTACAAGTCCATGTCATGCAATACGTGCAGTGGTCCCTGGCTTTCCAAGCTGCAATGTGTACCACCACCAGCAATGCACCGAGAACACACAAACACAAAATCAGCATGAGCTCCCAACTCAGTCCCAAGTCGCACAGTACAAGTTCATGTCATGCTATGGCCACGAAGGAGGACGAGGTTTGGTCCGGGTCTGGAAGCTCTGCACAAATCATACCTCGTACCACCCGCGGACTTGGTAAGAGAAAAGGCACATACTGACAGCAATGCAGTGGGTCTGACCGATCGCAGCCCCCCGACAAGAGTTGGAGCCAGAAACACACCCACGGAGAGCGGTCGGTAAATACGAGATCTGCCCACTCGAGCAGAGGTTCGGAGAGTATGGGGAACGCTGTATGTAACATGAAGGGTAGTGCTGCATTAGCAAACTGTTTCAGGGATATTTAGGGGGGCATGCTGAGTTTAGAGAAATGGCTATCAAGAAATTCAAAAGCATGTCCTTAATAAAAAAAGTGAAGAAAGTGATACAGAAATCGGACACACAGTAGAGCGGAGACTGAGCCACGGAGCACAAACGAAATCCAATGACCGATGCTCAAGGAGATAGGCATCATCCATTCATAATAAAATCAGGCCTACAGTCCATTTCAAAAATATAGACGCATGGGATTTTTGAAATATTTCCAATTTGGCTAGAGCTTTTTGAATATTGCTCTGGTCCTTCCCACAATTACTCTCATACAGATTTTTGAGCGATTGGATAGCAAACACCCAATTTCGAAATTTCTGTGCACAAAGCGATCACAGATTTTATGTGGTATAGATGCTGGCCTTACGGTTTTTCGAAATTACGTGTCTATAGTTTTGAAACGCATTGTAAAGTGAGGTACATGATTGTATGTAAACTTGAACCTAACAGTCTTGATCTGATCATGTGGGGCTGAACTTAGACCAAGACAGTAATACTGGTTGGCACCTAGGTAGTGCTGGGCTCGCTGTGAAGACGGCTAGACGGTCTATATAGCCACAGCCTCTCATAGTGACTACTGGGTCTGGTCACTGAACGCGGCCATGCAGCAACATTCGGTTTCCAGCGCGCTCATGCTTACCAGTTGACGAAGATGATATGAAGGGTGAGGAAGACGCACTACTCGTGCTAGGAGAGCTTGTCGAGTGAGACGATGGCCGGGGCGTTGTTGCCATCCTGGGCTTCTCATCGTTCTGCTCGCAGGTACTGCCGAGACTGTCCGCACCTGCACGTGAGCTATTGCCCAGCGCCGGTGTTGACGGCTGTGCATTATCTCCGGTTGGTGGTGACTCTGCTGCTGTCAGGCGTTTACGCTGGCCATGGCCTCCCAGGTGAGGCGAGTAGGACTCATCGGCTATTTTGCGCTTCGCCGGATAGCGTCCAGCTAACACGGGATAGCTGAGCACGGAATATATAGAGGCAAATATTCGGCGGGAAATACAATTGTCACTGGAGAGCTACAGAGCTGAAACCGGTGCAGGTCAGAGTCGATTATAGTGTAGTGTACAGCTTGAAAGAGATTCCGCCATGTTCAGACTGGGCGTTCCACTAATTTCCTCAGCATGTGCAGCGTAGTCTACTAACATCTAACTTGTCTGTACTAGAACTGATGCTATCCTAACATGGATACATGATGAATAGCAGGTATGTAATTCCATGCATTTAATACCCTCAGGCTAATAGGAGAACATGTATTACGCAAATCAACTCCCTTCAACTTTTAAAATACTTGAATTTCTTTGCAAAATATAGAGAGTTCGCCTAAAAACCGCTTTATCCTTTTTACAGACACGTCCGACTTTCCTCTTTACCTTTGGGAAGGGTAGGACTGGTCATCATCCATGCTGAACATGAATGGAACGGAGAAACATTGCCATATTTTCTCGATTCACTACTGGACTGGGGGTGCATCCAAAAAACCACAGGTGCTAGGTCCAATCACGCTCCACGCCACAATCCTTCCTTTTTACAGATATCGCTACTGAAATACAAACTTTGAGATGAGCAACGACATGACAGCAAGGTTGTAAAACACTTCATGCCAACTTTACTTGCAATGCTAATTTATGCACATGTTTTTGTAATCTTGTTCAGACAAGAAAAGCTTGGTCGATCGAGTCCAACTCCGCGGAGGCGTCGACAAATCGAAAAATGTGCACTTTCGCGGACTTTTGCCTTCTGAGTTGTCCGGCCAAAAAAAGTAAAAACGCAGAGAAAATCAAAGGACGCAAAGGGGCGCACGTGCGCACGTGCGCGCGCACATGCACAAACACGTGAACACGCGCTTTAGAGTTTAGTCCTTCACTTATCTTTGACTGGTCAACATTGTAGGTGCATGAACCATGTGAACTGTATAAATAATCATATTTGCTTTGTTTTCTCTTCTGCGTTGTGCTGCCACTCCAATCCAGAGCTGTGGCAAGTAGCCGTAAGGTGTTACTCACAAGCTTCCCCCCCCCCCCTCGTGCACAAATAATTGATGTCATACAAATACAACAATACATGTACATGTACATGAATATAAGTAATAACTGTCGCAATGAGTTTTCTGTCCCCGGGGAAAATTGCGGAAAAAAATCGCAAAAACGCGGGAAAAACGCGGCATAATATGGCATAATTTGCGGTGAATTTGCGGTAAATATGCGGTGAATTTGCGGTAAATATGCGGTAAATATGCGGTGAATAATATTGATGTGCGGCAATTTTCAGTGAGTATGTAGTGAAATCAATCAGTTACAAGTCTCTGGTGTAAGCACTCGTCATATTTGAGTAAGAAGCCGCCACGATGAGACGTTGCTGACCGAACAGTGCACTGTGTGTACGTGTAGTGCAACAAAAAAGTTCAAAACCGCGGGAAAATCGCGGAAAACGCGGTCTTTTAAAAAATCGCAAAAACGCGGAAAAAAACGCGGCCGCGGAATCGCAATTTTCCCCGGGGACAGAGTTTTGTACTCTTGCAGTCACAAAACTGCACACTCACTCCATGGTTATCGGGTGAGTGCCCAGCCGGTAGCCAGGGAGTAAGTACAATACCATTACCGTAAAGTACCGTTGATCCGCCCCCACGCCATGTCGCTTCCCAGCTGGGTTTTCGGCAGGGGGCGGGAATTAGATCAAGGCTGTCAAGTGCAGTACGATGTACAACAACGTAGAAGTTCAGACTCGATGCGCTGGATTGTGCACATTTTGATCCTGGATTGGCAAGTATTGTGTACAGCAGTGCATGCGTCGGTTCAACATCGTATTTCGTTGTATACGCCGAAGTCGCTTCACAAGGAGAAAATCGACAGGGGGCGGGAATTAGAGAGGGGGCGGATCAACGGTACTTTACGGTACTAGCGGCAAGAGTAGATAAACGTTTATCTACTCTTGCTAGCGGGCATTAGGCATTAGCATGTTTTAGTATGACAGCATTTCACAAGACGGAAGACGCAGTGCATGGAAAACAGTGTTCGCCACATGCTGCCATCGTAAAACATGCTAAACTATCAAGCAAGGCTTGCATATACCATACAACACTATTGTACTAGTCGCTGTGCCGGGCCATGCGAGCGGCAGTGCGGCAGACACCGCACCAGAATAGTTCATCTGTCTGAGATCTTCCTGCACAGATGACTCAACAATGGTGAGTGTAGGCTCAGTACTGGCACTTATAAAAATGTATGCACACATGATAATTGAGCAACCAGAAAAAGCAAACAGAAATAAGACCTGTCTTATGTAGTTTTAAAATAATGAGCAGAAGGTATAGATCTGGAAGCACTTGAAAAGCAAATCCTCTAAACCCAATTGGGTAGCTGGGTAGGTAGGTGTAAGTGTGGGTGCACTGGTTTACACCAGGGACTAGTACTCCCTGGCTTACATGGTTCAGCTGGAGCACATTGGCGGAAATCAGGTGAGCAGTGTGCGTCGAGTAGCAGAGAAATAATAGATTCAAAGTGGCAGCAGTGAAAGACACAGCGTGGAGGGGGAGGAGGAACTGAACATAAAGCCTCTGTCCAGGGGGTGAATAGCAAAGACGTGGATGACAAGCAGAACAGCAGCAGCATTCAATAATCAGACTAGGCTAAGCTAGCATTCTGCAACAGCATGATCGTATACTGTATGTGACGAGTAGGAGTATACCATGGGTAGTGGCTACACTATGCGAGTGCCCGCGTGAGGTACACGACTTGCACAGTGGAGAGCATGAAGTCACATCCGTCCCGTGTATATCCCACACTGTTTGATGCCTGCAAAGATCAACACAGAAGTGACATCGCGGTCAGGTCAGGCTTTTATAAAACTACATGCACTGCATGATTTTTGAGAACTTTGAAATTCCACTGTAGCCTTGTCATCTAAACCCAAATCTAGCCTGTAACATACAAACACACCACGCCAACTGATTTTTTTCCAAAATTTCACCCAGGATCTAGGAGGGCATCACCTTGGATATATGGGAAGATCCAAAGATGGCTTTATTTTATTTTTTTATCAAATTTTTAATAGGGCAATCCCCTTATGATACTGTAAAAGCCATTATTCTAACGAGGCGCATATATAACGATTTCCTAAAATTGACTGGTTTATGCGAACAAAAGGTAACGATTCTGACTCATTCTCAACGCTCAATAGCAACAGTATTGTATCGATTTCTGTATAACGATTTCTATTCTAACGACAGATTTCCCCTCGTTAACTCGTTAGAGTTAGCACTTCGTTATATATATTATGGCTTTTACAGTATCCTATTGAGAGTGGAGAAAGAACTAACTCAACAACTGACCAACTCGAACTCAATTACTGGATACGATAAAAGCTATTTAGAAGTACACTGGCATTGAAACAGTGCCAAAGAACCAGCTACATTCTTACACAAACACAACACAATGCTGGCCAAAAGTGGAATAACTATAACCAAGAGTGCATAAAGTACTCTTGCTATAACATCAATACTCAAACCCTACCTCAATGAATAAAGCTGTTACTGTCGCAGAAATCTTGTCCTAGAAGCGGAGAAAAAACACACAGACAAACACGCACGCACGCACACGGACACAGACACACGTTTGTATGCAAAACGCCATGTTCATTTTATCACCAACTCCAAGTGGATCCACTTCTGAGAAGCGAACATGTACCTAGTGAAAACAGTGACTTTGTCAGAGAAACATTGCCGTTTCAAGTTACATTCCCATTATCATCAAGGGTAACCACCTACAGCGTACAAAGCCCACCTTGTCTTCAAGTTCCAATGCGTTCAATGCTTTGACAAACGAGTTGACCAAGTATTCCCCTTGCCGGCAAATCTCTTGGGAGAACCTGTAAAACGATAAAAGAAGAGCGTACCAATCATTACAATCACCCATACTTGAAACAACAGGTACGGCATTGCTCTGCATAGCGCAAACAGCAATCCACATCAATACATTCAGACACACATGGAAATGGTCACCACACTAGCAAGGGATACGTACGCAAAACAGGCTTCGCACTTTGAGTTCGTGAAAGCTTCAGCATCTTGGCCACCACTCTGCAGAGAAAAGGCATCAAGAAATGGGTACTTTCAAAAAGGAACATTGCAGCACATGGCATTCGATGAATATTCAATCATGGTAAACATCTACTGCAGAAGAAGACGACCAATAAGTTACGAGTTATGACTAACAGTCCACCAAGGTAACGAGATATTATACAGTCAGATAGTGCGACAACAAGGCACACATCTGAAAGGGATATTGAGACATTCAACAACCTGACTACTATTTACTGCTATTGGCTCAACATCCGAGTTTCCTTTTGAAGAGGGAAACCTTCCAGTATGCATGACAGGGTTCTTACCTCTGCGTCGGGAAGCAGGGATAATTCAGCAACCTTGTGGAATACCTCTATACTGAGTGCCGTCACTTGGGCAAGAGCTCGAATCGCACTTTCCTGGATTTTCTGCAAGAGGCGACAATGGAGGGGCCGCAGAGGAAATGGGAACGTCGGAGTGAGAGAGGGATACAAGCAGATACAGATATCAAGGGCAAGCATGCAGAGATAAAGTGCAGGCAAGTGCTACTAACGTTACAGGCTCCAATTTACTCCTAGGGCAGTGAACACCAATGTGCAGGAGTTTTAGTTCACTAGGTGAAGCTCTTCACGGAAGTCCATCCATACTATAGCGGTTACGCGAATGATTTCACGGTGGATTTTCGAACGGGCTCAAGTACACGAGCGTGAATGAGCAGATTATCGAATGGGCACTACAAGTATGCAGTGCGAGTCGCTAGTGCAAGTACAGCGCTGTGCCGCGAGTCCGCGACTTCGCCACAGCATCTCAACTGATGATGTAATCGCATAATTTAGCCGTGGTTGCCTATACAAACCCTGCAATCGCCACGCAAAGTGGTCACTGGCTACCTCAGCCATGACTGTATTGTTTCAATTTGTTTGGAATAAAAAAATAAAAAATAAATAAAAAACCTCTCCACCAACTGTTCCATGATTGCATGAGCAGTACAGTACTACCGGGCGCTGAAGAATGATGTGCACACGGACGCACAGGCTAGAATTTTACCAGGTGCAGAATACCCATACGTACATGGTGGCTCAGCTATGCAGACATTCAGACATGAAAACAAAGAACGGCATAGGCTAACGACTCTGAACCAATTGCTCTTCGCCACCATACAGACAGTACTGTAGGATTGCATTCACACCCAACACTTCACAGTGGCACATGGTTTGTTAGTGATGCACAGCTTACTCAGTAAGGTCGATTCTTAGTACCTGTAACTGTTACGTGTCCAAACGTGAACATGGGCAGAAAAGGTCCTATACCATACAAGCATACAGTCATAACGTTATGAGTTGGCTGTAAGTGGGGCAGGCTGGATATGCTGGTACATGTAGATGCACCCCCCCCCCCCCCTCCACCCACCCACCCAGGCATACACCCACACCCAAGCATACACCCACACCCAAGCATACACCCACACCCAAGCATACACCCACACCCAAGCATACACCCACACCCAAGCATACACCCACACCCAAGCATACACCCACCCACACCCACACCCACCCACACACACCCAAGCATACACAAAGCACAGCAGACTTACCGCCAGCTCCATCTTCCCTTCTTCCAGCTCCTGGCATCGTCGCTCACACTCTTGCGCCGCCTACACCCAACAGATACACAGCACAGAGCACAACTTCCATCAAACGAAACCAGGCAGAAAAAGGAAAACCTGTAGATCAAAATATTCGTTGGTTTGAGGGAAAGATGCACACGTGAAAAGTCTGAAGAAAAAATTGACCGTCACCACCAAGACTTGAACCAGGGACCTTTGCTTGAGGCCAGCGATGTTCTAACGACTGAGCTACGGTGTAGCTGTCATACCAGCAGAGACCGCTCAACATTTCCTTCAGACTTGAAAATCAAAAACGAACATGACTTCAGCGATCGACTTCTCTGTATTTTTGTGAATAGATGCAGAACTGTTTTCGTGAAACTTGCACAATTTTTCGCAGATGCTGACACGAACGGTTTTGAGAACTTTCGTTTTACAGAGTCTCTTCACATAAATAGTACCTTTGACACACTGGCCAGGGACAAGCCGACACCGAACGTATCGATCGACTTCTGTACAGCGTCCATGAATTGATCCTTGTCGAACAGGGTAGTCTCTGCAAGCAGCATGTTGCAAAGGAGAAAGAACACACGGAGAACTCTTAGCACCCCACCAGTGAAGGAAACGAACAACAGCAGGTCAGTGATGACCTAAGTCAGAATCTGAGAGCAAAGAAATCATGCCCATACACATCTGCATTCCTACTCTCTTACCATCGCAGTCGTCCAGGCTGTCGGCGTCTTTTCGTGTCGTTTCGAATAGATCGCCATAGCGACGGGCCGTGCGAGACACTGCCGGTTCAGCACCGGCGGTCATACCACTCGCCTACAGGGTAGTTAGCAGCAGCAGCAGAAACGAAGACAAGCAAGAAACACACGAAAAGGGCACATGCAGTATTGAGTACTGTTGACAAGCGTGCATTGCGAATCTGACCATGACTGATGTTCAATACTCGGCAGAAATACAGATTGGAGGAGCCTCGGCGAACTGGAATCAGAGTTCAAGTATCCTCGTAGCATTCATGATCAATGTGCAAGTTTAGAGCCTGCACAGTGATCTACGTTCTACAGAGAGATAATCCTTCGATAGCTAACCTGGACCTGTAGTTTTCAGTTTTTCGCGGATCCGCCGTGCTCTGTGTAGTTGCGCCGAAACAATACAAACGCGACGAGGAGGCCAAGCTCCGCTTCAACTGTTTACATATTCAAATTTCCCCAGTAGAAGATTTCCGTTTTCAAATTCTTCCACTTTGGGCAACGTTTTAAGTTGTTCCGTTTTGGTGTACTGCTCCATGTCCCGTGTAAACGAACCATACATCTGAAAGAATTCTGTTGCGTTTCCTCCCTAGCATTGCCGCGTTGACCATACAAACAATCAACCAAAACCAGCGTGGATGCCTCCTGCCGCTGGACCCACTCGCCAAGAGTTCAATAAGGAGATGAACAGAGATACAATGATATAACTAAGCCCCGACTGGGCTGTGCGGCACAAATTCAATGCACAACTTACCATGGAGGTGCTTTGCCGAGACAGCAGCTCCAAGGCTTCCAGGTGGATCATTCCTGAAATAAAGCGAATAAATAAGCACAAAAATTACTAAAGCACACAGCAATGAAACCATAATCCTTGAAAAAAAATGCTTCATGTCAACTATAGAGACTCCCAAGATAGGTATCCATTCATCTTTGGAGAATCCGTGAATAAACAATGAAATACAATACAATATATTAAAGTCATGCTCCACTACTCCATCTTAGTATAAGAAAACTGTTACCAACAACACTCCAAAATGTTGTTATGGCGCTTGAGTGATCTGGTTCGGGAAGTAATACGACTGGAGCAACTCGAATTTTGAAGACAGACGAGCCAGTGCATTCCACCCCCCCCCCACACACACACCCTCAAGTGCACAAACGCACAGTTGCAACCAGTTGAAGATGGCAAACGTGCAGCATGGGCCTTCTTACCGTGGTATTCTTCAAAGAAATCATTGTAGCCTTTCTCACGCGGTGTCAGTGCCTGGTCAGTGCAGCAAACACACATGCAAGAGCATAGAGTAAGGTGAGCCCATACCATCTCCGCTAGTCTACAATACAAGATAGGGGTTGCAGGAGGTCACCAAACAGTAGGCCTTGCTCAATAAGGGGATTACTCACTGGACTACAGTCGTGCCTCTTCACTCGTTTCGACTGTAGTGCACACGTAAAACCTGGTCTCAGCGACCACCCATAGGACCAGCCCATCGCAGTCTTTGAACGCACAATCCACACACCTGGTGTCCAAGAACAGTGGCCGCTTGACAAGGTTTCACCAGCAGTACGCATGCCAGTAAAGAGGAAGACTTCCTTTTGTTTACTCCTTTTCCTGGGTTGAAACGTAAGACCAGGATCGAGGGCACTCTAAAACCTGTCAAGGCAGCCACTCTGTGATCAGACGACCACCTCTCCTAGGGGACCACTACTGCTAGGACCACATGTTGTTGTTTCCAGTCAAATGACCCTGCATACGAAGACTGACCGTACACAGGGACCACGGTCAGGTCCCTTCAGCGGTCGGCTTTGGCAGGGTTTACTGCGGTCGACGTAATCATGGATCACTCTTTACTTGCTGTCAGACCCTGGATAACAAATGGCTGGGTTTACTTAAAAAAAACAAAAAAAAACAGCTGGCTGAATACTCCTGTCGTGGACATGAAAATCCGGTCACACGTCTAGCGGCCCCAGGGTACTGGCCATGCAGCCCACCGTGGATAGCGGAACATGCATTATGCGCTGCAGCGCGCTGGTCGCATCGGACCAACATGACTTTATGCACTGCACGCAGCGTTCTGTACGCGCTGAGGGCGCCGGCCCCGGTCAATCGACTGGATTTCCATGTCCGCTACAGTAGTACATGTACGCATACAAATGGCCACAGAACAGGTCAGAATACTAGTTGACATCATTGTTGCTACTCACAGCCGGTGCCCCGGTGGTCGCTGATCCTTCGGCTTGCGTCTTGATCACTTCAGTCTGCTCTTGCGCCTCACGCAACATCTGCAGAAGCGACAAGCAAGCATGCATACATCCACAACGTCCCGACTGGCTTACAAACAAAACCCCGGCGCAACCGCACTTACACCACAGGCACAATGGGTAGCTAGAAAGCCTATAGGCTATGTTGTAGAAGCTGCATGGCCAACTGGACTGGGGTCATGGGATGTACATTATACATAGGGGCCCAGGAGACGGAAACGAGCCTTCAGGCGAAGATAATTCTTGCCCAAAAAGACGAAAAAGAAGCTTTGTCCATTTCCGTCGCACCTCATGTGCATGTGCGACGAAAAGCACAACGACAAACTGTCTTTTTTCATTTTTGGACAAATGTTTTTTTCCCATCCGAAGACATGCTTTTCTGGAAAATTTCCTGTCCCTGGCCCATGTTATTTACACACATGATCAGCATTAGACTTTGAACAGCACAAGGAGAGGTGCTTCTATAAGAAGCATGCCAGCAGGAACACATCGACATCACCATGCATGCCTCTATTGGGCTACTTCACCTGTGAAAGGTTGGGGTTCTTGGCACGGCCAGAACGAATACGCTCACGGCTGCTCCGGAATCCTGAGGCAAACAGCGAAGCGGAAAGCGAGCAGGAAATTGTAGTATACCGGTATGTACTTTTAGCACATGGTACTAATACGATATTACAGCCATGGTCAGTAATACTCAATATTCATGGAAACCAAAGCACGTTCGATAGAATGCAGTCAAATATCTGCACATGACATGGATACAGAGCGATCACCCATGGAAAGTCACACACAATGCAACACTACATCTGTGCATTTGACAGTGGCAAGATATGCAGTATAGTATAGTACACAAACGCAACAGAAACACAGGAGAATGGTAATACATTATCATCATCGTGACTTACCAGGATCATCCTCAGTGAGGACTTGAACAGTCTTCTTCCCAATCAGTTCCAGTGTATCCAGACTTCCGGCAACAAGCGCTTCACCCTAGCATTAGCAACAAACAAGAACGATCGACAAGATATGTTACACAGACACACACACCCATGGCGAGAGGAAAAGAGAGAGAAAGAGAGAAAGAGGAGAGATAGAAAGAGAGAGAGAGAGAGAGAGAGAGAGAGAGAGAGAGAGAGAGAGAGAGAGAGAGAGAGGAGAGAGGAGAGAGAGAGAGAACAGTTCGCGAGTGATGTATCACTCTCCAAGGCGAAAATAGGACAATACAAGGAGTACATCACTACAGTCCATTTCAAAACTATAGACGCGCAGGGTTTTTGAAATATTTCAAATTTGCCTGGAACTTTTTGAGAATAGTTTTCGGAATATTGCTCAGGTCCGCTCCACAATTACTCTCATATAGTTTCTAAACGATTGGATAACAGACGCCCGATTTGGAAAAATTTATGCACAAAGTGATTACAGATTTTGTGGTATAGATGCTGGCATAACGGTTTTTGCCTAGGTACGCGTCTATAGTTTTGAAATGGACTGTAGTAGTAAAATCAGCAGCCTACAGTCTGTGTACACTGTAGAGCATGGTCCAAGTCAAAACAAGGGCTCGTAGCTTGCATGAGCTCTGTGACAGGCGCTGACGAAAGCCAACATAGAATATAGAGAGTGCAGGGCAAGCATCAGCACAGATCCATAGTTGTAGAATTACTTGAAACAATGCTTTCAAGGCGAACACTGACAAGCTCCGGAAATATTCTTTTTCTAAAACGGGCAAGCGGGGGTGATCGCTCTCCTCAAAACACAGGAAATGGAACTACAATGATAGGACCAAACACTAGATACAATGACAAGAACTTCTGAAGAAGGCTCTTCTATTTATTACTGGTCCACACAGTGAGAAAACTCCACTGAACTCTCCCTTTAATAGTGCCAACTTCAACTTAAAAATGATGGCCAACATTCACTGCTTTACCCAAAATGAACTTCAGGCAACATTCCTGCACGCAAAGCAAACAAATAATGCCTATCAAAACAAGAGAGCCTACCCGTTCTTGAATAACAGCACTGATTCCCGAGATTCCACCGAACATGTCAAACAAGCCAGGACCAGCACCAGCAGCAACAGAATCTCCAGCAGCTGCACCCGTCGGAGCTGATGGGGCACCCTCTTGTTGAACTTCGGGAGTCGAACCAGACTTTCCTTGCTCTACCACAGCACACAATCAGCCAGATACGAGACATGTCGTAATGAGTTGATAAGGTGCACAATTGCTACCGATTCAGCACCAAAGGAAATGTGGGCTTATGCCAGTCTACTCATTATTCACAATCACACAAATCAGGCCAAACATTGCAGTTCTAAACTCACCTAATTTCATGGTGCTACACACACAAATAGACATGAAAAAGCACAGCCTTGGCAAAGCGTGTTCCAAAATGGCTGCCATGTCAGACTTCAGGGTCGTCGCAAATATTTTTTTTCGTCGCCCTGAAACGAACATCGTTTGTTTCGTACTCGGGATTCCCTCCGAAATAAGCGCCGCTTGCTATGCTGAAAGACGAAAATCGCACGCACGCACATGTCATGTACAGTTGACTTTCGATTTTGCCCCGTGATTTTGTTTCAGGGACGACAAAAAGCTTTGCGGCGACCCCTTAGTGCATATGAGAACGTGCCACGTAGGGATGCCATGGCCCGTGTGACTCCATGTTGTAACAGTGCAATCACACATGTGTAGAATCCGTTCTATTCGACCGTGATACATGGTGCACTATGGTGCAACATGGTCATAATGCTACTGGCCATTGCATGTCCATTCCGTGACACGCTGTAACACTGCACTTGCACGCTTGTAGAATCCGTTCTATTTGACCGCGATGCATGGTACACTATGGTACAACATGGTCATGTTATTGGCCATTGCACGGCAATTCTCGGACATATAGCAGATCCACTACTCACTGGTTTCAGTGGCTTCACCTGCAGGACCTGGTGCCACGCCACCGAGCATGCCGAAGAAGCCAGCCGCGGCGGAAGCAGCGCTTGCTGTTACAGATGCCGCCTCTTCGTCGCCTTTAGCCTGCACTTCCTCTGCAGAGATGTGCCAAAGCAGAAACATAACGAAATGAATGAATGCCAGTGCCGTGCAAAGGTTTATACACCTTGCAATTCCAAATTGAATAAAAAGCTAGTACAGTCGACCTTGCAAATAAAGCCCTTCGATTGTACATGAGGAAAGTGTCAGTATCCACGAGTTGTCTTTATTCCCGTAGCTATGCAGAAGACGTTACTTCAGTAACGTCTGGCGCTAGCCAGGATCCACACAGCTTTAATTTGGTGTTTGTTTGTGTGTTTATGTGTTTGTGTCACGCCTGGCGCTATCCCGTATCTGTCCCGTACCGTACCGTACCATCAAACACAGCTGGCCACATACAGCTGGCCGCAATATTCAAATAGGGCTTTCAAACGCAAGATCATAACGTGAAGCAACTTGGTAGATTGAGTATGAATGCGAAGTGTATGGGGGAATGCATGTAGGCAAGAGTATACTCTTGATGTAGGAGAATTGAAAAATTTGTAACATCCCTATGCTTTTTTGCCTAGGTCATCAAGGCGGTAGACGGTGTCGTATTACCCTCGACCGTACCTGTCCCGTACCTGTCCCCTACCATACCGAGCCATCAAAGACGGCTGGCCACAATGCATATTCAAATAGGGTTTTCAAATGCAAGATCATAACGTGAATCGACTTGGAAGAATTAGTATGTATGTGAAGTGTATCGGGGATGCATGCAGGGCGATAGTGCGGGTTCGAATCCGAGGTTATGTCTAAAAAAATGGAAAAATTTGTATGAATTTATAACATCCGTATGCTTTTTTTGTCTAGGTCATCAAGGGCAAAAAAGCATAGCGTAGGGCCCTGAGCTTCCAAGCTCTCTCGTTCGTGATGTTGAAAGTACAGTACTGTCGGGCGCCGAAGAACGATCAGGCTAGAATTTTACCACGCTCAGCATACCAATGTATACGGGGTGACTCAACCATGCATAGACTGTAATACATGAAGATAAGAACGGTCTAGGCTAGGAGGCTGACCGCCAGTTCTTCGGCGACCGACAGCACTGTATGCAGTAAAACGGGCACAAGGTCCGAAGATTGTGTCGATATTCGCGAGTTGTCGTTACACCGGAGGTCGTTACTCACAAGGTTGACTGTACATCAGGAAACCAACTAGATATACAGCACAAGTCCACCGAAATGTTCTTTACCTTTGGTAGTCTCTGTGGCATCAGGTACTTGAGGAATAACTGATGCAGCCAGACTCATTCCCCAAGAAGACCATGAGCCCCAGCCACCGCCACCACTAGCTGCTGCTGGTGCCGCAGGTTGAGTCTGGACAGTTGGCTCAGGCTTAGCTGGCTCAGCAGGGGCTTGCGCTGCTGTGTCCGTCTTGGGTTCATCTTTGACGGGCTCATCCTGGGTGTCGGTGGCAGGCGTTGCCGAATCGACCTCCGGCTCATCACCGCCAGCAGCCAAGTCAGGTTGGTTTGTACTAGAATCGATGGCAACGCTATCTGGAGCATCGTCTTTCTCACCAGTGACAATCTCAGCGATCTCCTCTTTACCAGATTGCACACATTCCTGCAGTGTTACAAAGCAAGAGATAGTAGGCTCAGAATAGGAAGAAAAAAAGGTCATTGTGCTTGGTCAAATCGAGATGGTTTCTTAACAAGGGGTCCATACATTGTACACGATCTCGCTGGGTCAAGTGCCTGGGGGTTTTGTTTTAGAATTTTCAAGTTTGTCTAATACATGTACATGACAATTTCCAACTCAAGGACACCACCATCTGGGACAAGGTACCAGACTTTGATTGGCGAACTTAGTACTTCAAGGTCATCAAGACAGTAGGCTTCTGACCTCCTGCCTTCACGACCAGAACTGATTATAGATCACCGTTACATGACCAGCGAGGAATACCAGGCGGCATCGTCTAGGAGGAAACTGAATGCATGTACCGTACATGCTCTTGGTGAGAGTAATCAGTCCAAATCCAACTGATGGATCTGCTGCAAGACTAGGTTATCTTACTGTAAATCTATGTAACCCGAAACACCAGAGCTATTGCTAGTGTGGTTGAAGTTGATAAACTCACACTTTCAATGGTTTCGCCTACGTCTTCAACACAGACTTCAGGGCTATCAGCAGTGGCTCCATCTGCACAAGCAGTATTCTCGGCAGTTCCCACTGAACCAGAACTCTCGCTAGCTGTAGGGTTCTGTGGTGAATTATCACCATCACCTGCCTTGGCTCCACCTGGAGATGGGCTCACGTTCGCCTCACTGGAAGGAGCTGAAATATCCAGCGAGTCCATCTCTTCAGCGCTGGCATATTCGTCCGTATCAGGCTCGGAATCACTCATTGTTTTGCTCCACTTGATCCAAACGAGAAGAATATGGTAAACAAAGTCAAAGTGCTTGTGTTGCCAAGTACAAGTGCCTAGTACTAGTAGTAGTGAGTTGAATGGCTCCTCTTTCTTTCAACATTCACGTCAAGACAAGTGAAGACAAAGCATTGTTTTTCTCAAAATCATATCCTGCATTGATCTGGCCATACCATGATCTACGGGTTGACGTGTAAACGCCAATACACGCGTAGCCTTCTGCCAAGGCAACCAAAAATGTCAAAAAGTCTTTTCAAATCAGCTTCGTCGATTCAAATCAAAAAATGAGCACGTGCTACAATCTGAGTACGGCGCGAAATTTATTTGCTACAGAAATACCTAAGTCCTTTGCCGTTGATCTGGGGCTGGTTGTGTATTTGAATCAGAATACCTGTTCTTCTAAGATCTAAGCTATCTCCGGAGCTCCTACAATACAACATCATAATTGCTGATTTCTCGGAACGACTCTTATTTACATCGCGCAGTGTTTTGTTTTGCAGAGAATCATGTGTTTGAATGGAGTTTTCAGGACTGTAAGACAATAGTATACCATTTCATTGAAATGGCCGTTGCTCAAGAAGCAGACAAGGAGCTGCTGAAAAGGGAGTTCACTGGTACAGTCACGAACTTACAGAGCACGTATGGCCTTGTGGACCATTCCGTGTATTTTGAACTGGCCGTGGTGCGGGGCCAGAAGCCCAATATCGGCTCTGAAGTGTGCGTGCATGCCCACAGACAGGATGTGAGTAAAGGTTGGATTGCAACCAGTGTAGCGCTAGCCAACCAAGAGACAGAGTGGTCTGCAGGTGGGTTTCAAAGCGAGACCTGCAACAAAGTAGTGATCGGACAAGTCACGGAAGCGCATCGTCTGACCGGCACAGTTGACAAAAAGTACCATTTTTATAAGCAAGCGTTGCCGGACGGATACTGTCCAGTTCGTGGAGATTGGCTTCGGTGTCACTTGCATGGTAGTGATGATAACTGGTCAGTGGAGAAGGTCGAACCAACCCGGACACGCACTTACGAGGGCCGCATCACCAGCACGCGGAACCCTTCGATGATTGATCATGACATCATGTTCTTGCGCTCGGCGTGCATCCACTCGTACCGGCCACAAGAGGGAGATAACGTAGAGGGTGAAGCCATTGAACACGATGGCCGCTCTACGGAGTGGCGGGCATTGCACGTGCGGCCTGCCACGGCGAAGGGTGCTGGCCTCTTCCGGTTAGTTGACCATGATTTGCCCTATGGACTGGCTGCACTTGATGCAATATGGAAGTACAGTGAGACCTGCTAAAGGCGACCACTCGAGGATCCTTCAAAATATGGTCACTGTGTACAGGTGGTCTCCTTATCCAGGGTCATTTGACTGGAAATTAAAGCGCTGTGGACCCTGGCTAGTGCTAGGTGCTACTAAAGTAGCGTTTGTTTGCATAGCTTTGGGAATACCATCCCTTGGTCTTTGTAGTAGTCCCCTGGGATGTGTGGTCGCCTGATCAGAGTGGTCACCTGATCAGAGTGGTCACCTGATCAGAGTGGTCACCTGATCAGAGTGGTCGCCTTGACAGGTTTTACTGTGCAGTGGTGCTCGGTGAAGTCTGCCCATCCGTGTGTTACTGTTAGCGACTGTGCAGCCCTAGCACTGTGAAACTGAACTGTGCACTGGAGCGCGAAATGCTACTTGTAAAATGAGAACGAATGCAATCAAGCATCACGTGCATGCGCTGACTACTCTGTCAGAAAGTTGAGCTTTGCGCCAACTGCAGAGGTCGTACTCAAGCGAATTATTATTGTCAGTTTCTTGCATTGGTTTGCCTGCATGCTGGACTAGTGTGCACAGTTTTGCTCTAAGGACACGTTTGATTGGTAAATCCAGATTAAGATCACGCTCTCTGGAGCAGTTGGACCAGCAGTTCCAAAGAAACAGAGGAACGGATATTTTTGTCCGAAACAGTGCAATGATTAATGCGATGTGATGTTCTTTGGTTTTTGCAGCTTTGTTGCTCTGGCTGCTCCAGTCGTGGGGCTCGGACTGTTGAAAACACGTTCTGAGTATTCCTGAACCAAATGCAAGCCAATCAAACACTCCTGTTCTAAATGATCCTATTTCGGGTTGGACCAATTAATCGCACTGCAGAACCGTGCACATACAGCATGTCGACTCATCCAATGTATAATTGGACGGGTATTACGGCTTGCTACTGCTCGCTCTGTGTTGGGTAGCACCGTACATCAACATGCCATTCTCTGTTCTGTTTCCATTCCTCATGCTGTAGCGTGAATAGCGCGTTACTCAAGGCTGTCCGAGCGTGCATTCTCGCCTGTCGGCCATCCACCACTTCTGTCAGCACGTCCGTGAGCATGCCGGATAAATATGACCTGGGAGCGGTGGAAGTAGGTGGATGCAGCAGGCACCCGGTCTGTGTACGGTAAGACGCACATCTTGGTACTCTACTCTAATTTCAGAAATTTTAGATGCTCAATATTTTCGGTATGAGGGCAAAGGGCCAGGTTAGGTGAACAGAAAATTTAGGTACAGAGGAGCAATTCCCTATTGGATTATGTGTGTTAGTGTCTGTTCAGTGTATTGAAATTCTAGGTATGAAACAGACGCACCGAAAGTACCGAAAATAAAAGGACATCGAAAATTTGCGAAATTACAGAAAACAATCTGTAGGGACATGTGTGGTGGCAGGGTGTGAGATGGCGTATACTTTTCTCATTTCATTTTTCACAGACTGTGCTTGTATCAGTTCTGCACTTTCCGATCTCGCGTGCTCATTGACTCACTCATGCAATTGGCACGACGGCTTACTGTTACAGTTCCGGGCTGCGTTCTGACATTGGCAAGTAGTATTTCCCGCTTGGAACTACTTTGAGTACCATGCTACATTGTTGGCGGCCTGCCTGTCTTTGTATGTTCTATGACTGCTTTGCCTTGAGCTTTGACACGTTGTTAAGATATCTGGCATGTCAGCTGGAGCTTTTCAACCTGCTGTTGCCTATATGGTTGCTCCAGCTGTCTGTCTACCCCCCCCCCCCCTAATCACATTTATCTGAACGGTTTTAGTATTTCCAGTGCGTGTACATGTGTGTGTGTGTGTGTGTGTGTGTGTGTGTTTGTGTGTATGTGTGTGTGTGTGTGTGTGTGTGTGTGTGTGTGTGTGTGTTTGTGTGTATGTGTGTGTGTGTGTGTGTGTGTGTGTGTGTGTGTGTGTGTGTGTGTGTGCGTGTGTGCACCTGTGTGTGCGTGTGCGTGCGTGTGTGTCCATGGTGCAGTGGTATGTGCAGCGATTTCCAATCGAGAGGTTACGGGTTCGATTCTCGACGATTATGGTCACACACGTCTTTCTTCTCTTTCTCACACTCCTGACTTTTCTTTCATTCTCCTGGGTGGTTACCAACAGCCATGGGCCAGTGCATGCCGGAGTATGTGGTGTGATGTGTGTACGCAAAAAAATGAAAAAGACCAAAAAGTAGGGATTCACTGGCCAGAAAAAGTCACTTCATAGCTGTGTGGTGTAGATCAGGCTGAATAGAGGCGGTCAATTCTTCAGCCTTGCAAGCTGTTGAATGGTGTAATCCCAGCACAAGCTGCTATGGCTTCTGCTGTAGCATCGCTATCATTTCCGCCGGCGATGGGTGTCTGATGGTCAATTGTGTGTGCGCATGGCTGCTTGTGGCTTGGTGTGTGTATGGCGTGTGTACGGTTGGTGTTTGATCTCCAGGAACATAGGCAGCTCTAACCTGAGTCTGTACACAGTGGTTGCTGTATGGCCTGACCCCATGCTGGAAATCGCTGCTTTGCCAGCGGAGCTGTGCTTGTTGCCTGGCCAAGAAGGTTCTGTTGAGGTCATGCTCACAGCAAGGTTAGTCATTGTGAACATTCTTGTTTGCGGATGTGAGGTGTGAGGTGCTGAGCACAGCTGGTGTGCATGCTTTGCCGTATCTCATGGATGCTTGATCATAAGAGAGGCCATAGGGGTCATAGCTGTTAGCCTCACCTCATTCCTGTGGTTGCGAGACTTATCCCCTCACTGTTAGGCGCTGCATCTGCCATTGTGATACTCCGGATGTTCGTGGCCGCCGGGAATTCCCTCGAGAACAGAGATGATAAAAAATTCACGGTTCGCGTGAGACTCGGCTAGAGGCCGAGTTTTCCACATCCGTAGGAACGCCGCCACCCTTCAAGGATCAAGGCGCAGATGCAGCTCCTAAAGCGGTGGGAGGTGAGTAGATCAGCTCACCAACAAGTGGTCAAAGACCGAAAAACCCATTCACTGCATACCGAGATGATAGTACATTTTTAAACTTTTTTTCTCTGTTTTCTGCATGTTCTTTCCTCTTTCTTTCCTGTCTTCAGGTACCGAGGCACGTTTGAGCAGATACTTGTTTTTGACTTTGGTGAGTCATGCATCTCGCGGCCCCTGTCCTATCAAGTACTGGAAGCCGGCGAGGCCATGCTTGCTCCTTCGGCGCCGTTCCAGAAGCCCGCCCGGCGCAGTGATCTCGGCCCTCGCGAATCAAGAGAAGGCCGTGTTGTCGTGCCCGGGAGGCGTGTGAAACGGTAATTTAGCTGCTACAGTACAATCGTAAGCACTATGGAATGGGTATTTAACTGACTTTTTTAAGCAAGCAGGAATGTGTTTGTCAAGGAACCATTCATAATTTTTGTCACCATTTATGGCTTTTCGTCAACCACCACACCACTACTGCGCTCTCTAGCCGACCTCGACACGTTGCCACGGCGCACCATCAGCAGGCGTCACATGGTGTGGGTGGTTGATGTAAGAACCTGCACAGGGCCGAATGCTGCTGCTCACTTACCCCTTAGGGCCTTACCATTTACAACAGCTGTATAACGCATAGCATTTCCCATTGCTTTCTTGCACTGTGTTCTGGTGTTGAACTGGCACTGCAGGGGAATCGAGATGAAGTATCTGCCATGCAAGCTGAAAATGTACGACGTCCCGAACAGCATTCGCCAGTGCTGCTATGATGGTGGTGATGTGACCGAAGTTGCGCCGGAACTTGGGCATGTGAGATTGGCTAACCCGTCTGGCTGTTCTTCTCCTTTTTTCTTTCTTTTGACGTGCTCTGCCCTTCGCCGTCATTATACGATTGTGCACTTCTAGTTTTCCATGACCAGCAGCTCAGGCCATTGAGAAGTGACTGTTTTTGTGGTATTCGAGATGTGCTTCAGTTCTTTGAGCTGCACTGATGAGCCCTGATAGGGCAAACAGTTGCTGTCTGCATAATACCATAGTGCATTCGTCAAACCTGGGCCCATAGGTTTTTCACAGTCTTACTTCATTCTTGCTACACATATACTGGCACACACAGAGACATAGACAGCAATAGCGACAACACACAAAGTGAAGGGTAGTGGGCCGCAGCCAGATTTGAACCGGATAACGAGTGAGGTATGGAAGCAAGGACTGAGAACAGAGTGTCTCAGATAGAATAGGCGTGCCAGTGGATAGCAGAAATAGGCCATGATGCAGAACCACTTGGGACCGTCAGATTAATTTTCCTGGACCTAGCCAGCCGGAGGAAAAACCCTCGCGCCGACGGACGCAGTTGTGAGGGAAAAAACCGGGTGTATATGATCCCCAATGGCGATTAGGCATCATGTAGGTATGGCAAGCACATCACCATGATCACGGCAAAAGTAATAAAAAAGCAATGATAATATGCACAGAAATGAAGGGTGGGAAGGCAGGGACACTGGTGAGACTCAAAACTGACTGAAGAAGTCAGGAAAAGAAGCGACAATAACGAACACACCAGATGCCATATTTGCAACTGAAAATGTTTCGCGAGAAATCATTTCTCGCCTATCTCGCTGCGCTCGGCCGGCGAGAAATACAACTTCTTATTCAAGATGGTGAAGTCGATGACTTCTATAGGTCAGAAATATGATGTCCGTTGTTTTAAGCCTACTTGTAATGTAAGATGCAGTGCATGCGGTGAAAATTGATCAAGATAGGTGCAAAGTATTTTTTCAGACACAATTGTGACAGATCGCGTACGATATGCATTGACACAATACAAATGATTATTATTAGTATCGTGCAACACATGGTTCCGCTGCTGTTCCCGGGCTAGAGATCGCCTGCACGAGCGCTATGCCGCGTGGCTCTCCAAGCTGCTCGATCCTTGGTCGTCATGGAGAGTTCGTCAAGATGGTAAACATACATGTAGTTTTAGTGTATCAGGGGCCCAGATTTGGCGAATGCACTATAGTTCCTATTTCCATAGTGTTCTGTAATTTCAGATGTGCATGGACACTGTGTTAGGCAACATCTTTTCGATGTAGCCTTGTTTTTGGAGGCTTTCAAGGGCACAGCTCCACGGTGCTGAGATAGTTGTTGGGGCTGGTTATCGATAGCAAATATACGAGGAAATTTAGCTCTTTGCATCCTTCGTTTTGCCTTGTTTGTGCGCAGGACTTGTCATCTGCAAACTATGTCCAGCGCTTTGACGCGCTCTTGTTCCTCGAAGAAGTGCAGAATGAGATGGAAATGCAGCAGTTTGACATGCAGTCCGTACGCTTTGCCATCCGCGGTCCCTATCTTGCCCTGGACGTGCCGGGGATTGCTGAAGGTCGGCCGTCCTTGCTTCTCGGAGATGCCGTGTCGGCCACAGTAGCAGGCAAGGGTGCACGCCTCTGAATTTATTTTCTTAGCGTTGCTCAAGTCATGTGTTTACTTATGGATGATGTGGCAAATAATATGCAGTGAGATATGATCAGTGAAACTCATCATATTTTGTTGTCTTGTGTTGTGTTGTGTTGCTACAGGAGAGCGTGGTGCACGTGGAGCCATCTATGAAGGCTACATCCACCAGGTATGGCATGCACATCAGTATACCACTCCCGGTTCGTATGGAAGTAAACGAGAGAGCTTGGAAGCTCGGGGCCCTACGCTTTGCTTTTTTTGGCCTAGCGAGAGTCAACTTTCTCTTTGCATTCGGGGGTAATACGACACCGTTTACCACCTTGATGACCTAGGCAAAAAAAGCAAAGGGATGTTATAAATTTTTCATTTCTCCTGTTTTGTTTTAAGACATAACCTAGGATTCGAACCCGCACTATCGCACTGCATGCATTTCCCCGATACACTTCGCATACATACTCATTCTTCCTATACCTAGTTGCTTCACGTTATGATCTTGCATTTGAAAGCCCTATTTGAATATTGTGGCCAGCTAGCTGTCTTTGATGGTACGGTACGGGACAGGTACGGGATAGCGCCAGGCGCATGCCGATGCTGCCCTTGATGGTGCGGTACGGGATAGGTACAGGATAGCGACAGGCATGCCGATGGCACAAACAAACAAACAAACAAACACGGAATTGAAGCTGTGTGGACCCTGGCTAGCGCCAGACGTTACTGAAGTAACGTCTTTTGCATAGCTACGGGAATAAATGTCTTGATGGTAGTGGAGTGTCTAACAGCTTGCTCAACAGCCTGCCTGTAGATCTCGGTCAGTGTTGTGTTGTTTTTTCACCTCCCTGCTACAGATTGTCATCAATCCTGACCAGCAGTGCATCTTGCTGAAGTTTTCTGACCAGTTTCACAACACGTTTTCAGACTCTGATTACGACATAACGTTCTCGATTGGACGGTGAGTCAGTGTTCAGCACAGCAGCGCACGGTTGTCAGATATTTATTTTTTCTGTGTGTGTGTGTGTGTGTGTGTGTGTGTGTGTGTGTGTGTGTGTGTGTGTGTGTGTGTGTGTGTCTCTCTCTCTCTCTCTCTCTCTCTCTCTCTCTCTCTCTCTCTCTCTATCTATCTACTGTAAAACACGTAATTTTAGGTGCATTAAAGGGGAACTGTCACCAAAAAATTTCTTTGTCTTATCTTGTAGTTCTTTGGCTCCTGATCACGATGGTGTTATTCGTTTTTCTCTGCGATGACTGGAAGTGGGTGAAAACTTGAAAAGAAGGTGCCCAAAATTGTCCCGAAGTACCGAGTGACGTCACGCCGGACTTGACCTCCACGCGTACTTTCATCGTCAAAAACGAAGTCCAGCCCGTGTGCTCGTCGATCAAACCAACTGTTCGATGTACGGTGCACGCTTGCCTTCTGAACTCGGACACTCGATGTGTACTTTGTTTGTACACAATGAGAACGCCAAAAAGGGACAAAATAAACAAAAGTCGACTGCAGTTTGTCGCACTGGTACTTCCTCCACGAAGCTCCAGCTCTTTGTTTTATTTTGTGATTACGAAGGAGTCGAAGGATGTTTGTTTGCTGTTAGTGTGACACACATACCTCGTACTTGAAAATGATGTCATTGTATCGAAGGTGGCGATGTTGCCCACCCGGCTCTGAAATGAAAGACGTCGGAGTTCGTCATCTGCATCTTGAGCAACATCGCCAGATGAATCGCCTTCACGTAACTACATTGCGTTCCTTTGGGGCTCGGGTTGGTGGTGTTATCGCCGGCCGGAGGAGTACTGTTTTCTGCATACGCACTCATCACCGTGTTGTTCCTCACACGAAAAGTTCAAAACAACGACGTACTTCCGTGCTCACAAAATAAAACTTAGATCCTCGCGGAAGAAGTCAAAAAGGTGAAAGCTCAGCTGCTTTTTATTTTGATTTGGCTGTGTAGCTGCACGTGGGTCTCTGTCTCTTTGGCATTCTCCTTCGGTACGACGTACCCATCTGTGTTACAGTTCAAAAGGCACACGTGCACCGTCCAATGGAACAGCTAGCTAGCTCGATCGACGAGCACACGGGCTGGACTTCGTTTTTGACGACGAATGTACGCGTGGAGGTCAAGTCCGGCGTGACGTCACTCGGTACTTCGGGACAATTTTGGGCACCTTCTTTTCAAGTTTTCACCCACTTCCAGCCATCGCAGAGAAAAACGGATAACACCATCGTGATCAGGAGCCAAAGAACTACAAGATAAGACAAAGAAATGTTTTGGTGACAGTTCCCCTTTAACATTTCGGTGCCAGGGACCTTTCAGGTGTAATGTAGAATTAGGTGACCTGCGTTCCTTTCACATACAGCGCATACTACAGTGCCTTTTAGGTGTAATTTAAATTTAGGTGCTTGGTTTCTCTACCGAAATCGCCGAAATTAAAGTTACACCGAAAATTACACGTTTTACAGTATCTATCCATCCATCTATCTATCTATCTATCTATCTATCTATCTACTTCGAAGTATCTATCTTCTCTCTCTCTCTCTCTCTCTCTCTCTCTCTCTCTCTCTCTCTCTCTCTCTCTCTCTCTCTCTCTCTCGCTCTCTCTCGCTCTCTCTATCTATCTACTTCGAAGTATCTATCTTTCTCTCTCTCTCTCTCTCTCTCTCTCTCTCTCTCTCTCTCTCTCTCTCTCTCTCTCTCCCTCTCTCCATCTTTCCCTCCCCTCTCTCTCCCTCTCTCTCTCCATCTTTCCCTCCCCTCCCCCCCCCCCTCTCTCTCTCTCTCTCCCTCTCTCCCTCTCTCTCTCTCTCTCTCTCTCTCTCTCTCTCTCTCTCTCTCTCTCTCTCTCTCTCTCTCTCTCTCTCTCTCTCTCTCTCTCTCTCTCTCCTCTCCTCTCTCCGGGGTTACTCTTATGCTATGCTCACATCAGTTAGTATGTACATGTACGTTGAACGGAAATTTTATGGAATGTGAACTTCTTCCAGATTTGTGGACTCCCGGGCATTTGAACTGCACTTTCAGATGTTCGGTGTTGCATAATTTGTGCCATCATTGTCACTTCTTTGCCATTGTCATTGTTGTTGATTGTAGAACCCCCTTTAGACGATGTCACTTGGCGGTGGAAGTTGCTGCAGAAGTATGCCAGGAGGGTAAGTGACTGCAATTGGTTCACACCACTTTTTTTAGCTTGCCTTCAGCAAAGAAACCCATACTCGTAGAGTTCTCCTCATCTGTGACAAGACTTCATGATGTGCTAGCTTTCAGCCGTGCGTGATGATTTTCGTGATAGAAGTCACACACGCCAGATGTCAATGTTGTCACACATTAGACTTACCTGTGTATTTGCCAAGTGCCTGTGATATACAAATATTGCCTTGGCGGTTATGTTAGAACTTCGTGATACTGTGAATATACAAAATTCCGGCGCTGCAAAATTTCGGCACTTCACGATTTTTGACATTTCGGCGGCGATTTATTTTCGGCGTGGGGTAGAGGGCATGGTATAGTGCGACAGATGCTGTGAAAAATTTCATCGGCGTTTTAATTTAGGCGTTTTGGGTCGGTGCCGAATATAGCCGAAATTAAATAGCTGCCGAAAATTTGTGTATTTACAGTACCTGAATTTCATAAGTTACCACCCAAGGTTTTATGTAAGTGCAGTTCTTTGAAGAGGAGTTAGTTTTCTTTGTGTGTGTCTACAGCTAGTCGACTGCATTGTTGATGGAGTATTGTCTTTGTTCCTCTGAGCGCATTTCATCAGCTTTGCTTTGCCGTATGTGGTTCGTCTTGCTGTGTACGTTGGAATGCGTCTGGTGACAATGTGACCCGAGTCTAAGGTTTTTCTCTTCTCTTGACGTACAGTGGAGAATATTGCGAGAGAGTGTGCTTATCATATCAGCAGCGTGGTGTTGTCAAATCCTGAGGTGCCCGTGTTTATTTCTAGCCCGTGTCACTGTCAGATGTGCGGCTGCTTGTCTTTTAGAATCAGTGCTCAGTCAGCAGCCAAGGAGAGCATATTTGTATGTTGGGCACGTTGCTGGATTCAGTTTCTAACAAGTATTGCCAGTGCTGTCCGTCTAAGCATTATTTTTTTCCCATCGTGTCATTCTGCTTGGGTGCAGTTCTGTTTCCGACATCGCTCGCCTCTAAGCTGCCAATAGCTAGCATCACGCCGAAGGCCCTGATCAACAAGCAGCTGAACGCGCGCCAGCTCTCGGCTGTCAATCGTATCCTAAGCGGACAGGCTCGGCCATGCCCGTACCTGCTGTTCGGTCCGCCGGGGACCGGCAAAACCATGACGGTTGTGGAGACTATCCTACAGGTACTACCTGCTACTTCGAAGTACAACCATCCTTTGTTTGGCGAGCACTGTTTGTGCAGCAGAAATGTTCTTAGTTTTCTGGATAGACTCGTCTTGTGTGCTGTATTCCCCCGGTTTATAGGTCGCACCGAGAGTGCATGGCCAAGAGTGTGAAACTCCTATCCCGAGCTGTGATGGACTCATCCACGGCGGAAAATGTATTGCGTCATTTTCCAGCGGAAGAATGATTAAGTGTGCCTCTTTTCAGCACAAGAGAACTTGTGGATCATTGATCGACTCTAACGCGAACATGCAAATAATAATAATAACATGCAAGCCTGTACGGTGTCAGTTCATCAGGTTCAGGACGCATGTATATACAGTCTGTTGTTCTGCTTCGACTACCGTAGCTTCGGTGTAAAGATTCCTTGCAGTTTTGCTCTCTGGCTACCGGTATGCATGATAACTTAGCGTCAGTGAACCTTTTGGCTGCGAAAGACTCCGTCGATCCTTGAGAGATGGTGGCGTCCGGGTGTAGTGAAGTTATTTTATCACTACTTGTATACACCTCGGTTCTCATCTCTGTACTGTATTTTTGTATATTTGTGCTGTGCGTCTCTCAGGTATTTCGCTGTCTCCCGTCGAGTCGCATTCTTGCCTGCGCACCCTCCAATAGTGCGTCTGATCTGCTCGTAAGTTTGACTCACAACAAATAGCTCTAACTTGTTGTAGGCTCTGTTGAATAATATGGTGGTAAAGACACACCTGGCAATATGGCGGTAAATACACACCTGCCCACACACGCTCTCTAGGCTGCAAAGTGCTGGCACGGAGCTCTCCTTCTCACCACCACCACCATCAGTTCGCGCATGGTGCCTAGTCGATGCATGGTTAGCGGGATCCGATATAGCAGGCTGGTATATCAGGTAGCGCATGGCACATAGTAGATAACACAGCAACGACATAGCTCGCTTGCGATGTACGTTTCGTCCCCGCTGGACTCATCAGTTGTTGTAGGCTCTGTTGAGCATGCCAATCACTGAGAATGAGTACTGAGCTGACATGTGTTACTGTTGGGGTTACATTTGTTTTTGCGTTTGTCTCTGATTCGTGCACACAGGCACAGCGCCTGTATGCATCCGGTATGGTCACCCCGGCTGACATGATTCGCTTCAACGCTTATCAACGTAGAACCGTTAGTAGTGTGTGCTCGGTGTGTTTGTGTGCGGTTGCGTGATGTGGTGATTGTGTGTGTGTGTGCGTGCGTGTATGTGCGCGTGTGTACGTGCGTGTGCGAAATCTGTGGGTGCACATCCAGTGCATTTGCAGATTTGCATTCTTCTCTTGCCACGGGCGTACACATGGTATGTGGTGTGCGTGCGTGCATGCGTGTACATCGTGTAGTCCAGTAGCTGTTTGAAAGTGCCGTGGCTGACACAGCCAGGTGTGAATTCACGTGTACCGGTGCATATGTTCACGTGTTCTGCTGTCACATTAGCATCGTCTGTTGTAATCATACCCGCATCATCTCGCACAGTATTCCAGCTTATAGTATCCTATCTTCAATCTCATCTGCCTTTAGCTCTCTCTATACTTCATTGTTGTTTCCGCATCCCACTGTATGTCCGTATCTGCTCTTACTCCTTTCCAGCCCACTCCGGAAGAGCTGGTGCCTTTCTCTAAGAACATTGAAGAGGTGCACGAAGCTGTTCGCTATCGCATCGTGATCAGTACGTGTGTGACGGCTGGCATGCTTTACTCTCAAGGTCTGCAGCTGGGACACTTCAGTCATGTCTTCATTGACGAGGTAAGTGCTCCCGGACGTAACGTTTGCCGTTCACGCTGTTTCTCGATGGTCGGCTCGCAACATTCTGATTGGCTGCATTGCCGTGGGTTTTCATTCATTATGAAACATAGTGATCAGTGAACCCTTGCAACAGAAACGCGTGCGTGCCCGTGCACTGCAAAGTACACACATCCACTCACATGGACAGCGAAAATTGCAATCTGTCGTGAAGGTATGGACTCCTTGTGACCTAGAGTATGCAACTCGCCAATCCTCCAGCCCAATTCGGAATTTTTTTATACCGTCAAGTCTTTCTCTGGCACTTGGCTCACGTACCCCGTACTGCTTCCTCGATAGCGTACATGTACACGAGTGGCCCTGTTGCATCCAGAAAAAGCACTTGGCTTTTTGAATATTGCCGATCGTGGGACTTTGTCCGTGACTGGAGCTGCCCCATTACCAGCTCATTTATGAATGGAGGGATGGTAACATCTGAACCTGGATGCCCAAAGCGCTCACGCCATTGGTGCCGAAATCCGTTCGGAGCGCAGCTGGAAAAAGCCTCTTTCAAGAAGTCGGCATTTTCGCGGATACCTTTTGACCTTTTTTGTCTGACTAGTCGTGCACATCAACATCTTCCTCCGTCTCCTCCCGTTCTGCGGGTTCATCAGGGAGGGTAGCAAACGAACTACTGGCATTCCGTGCCGTGGACGAACAAGAGGTGCTCCACACCGATCTTACATGGGCACTCCATGCCGAAGACTCCAAGACGGAAACGCGTTCAGCAACGTTGGAGGAGTCGGAACCGATGGTCTCCATGCTTCCGCTCAGCTTGCCGAGAGAATCGAGGATGGATTGAACCCCATCTTGCAACTCCATATTGCACTGAGGGTGAGTGGACGACTTGAGACTTGACAGGAAATAGAATTGATGGCCGTCTACAGTAGACACAGAGAAACACCACGCTTTGATAGCAATGATCTAAAGAGCAGGAAGGGCGAGATCGAAGACACAGCTGTCAGAAGCCAGCTTACTCTGAGCGAGCTAGAAAAAAAAGGCCCAAGGCCTCCGAAGCGGCATGGAAGAGACAGTAATCTACGGTCCAATTCTGTGAGCCCCAGTAGCGTAGTCGGTTAGCGCGTCGTACTTATAAGCAGTACTTCTGTGACTGAGTTATGCGAAGGTCGGGAGTTCGATCCTCCCCTGGGGCAGCCAGCCTCTGTGTCAGGCTAGCTTTTTTTTGCTTCCGAATGAAATTTTTTGTTCTTGGTCAGCCCTGGTGCCAGTGGTAATCATGCACTGGTAATTTGAAGTCAGCAAGCCATACTGTAAGACATGTTATTATAACGAGTCGCAAATTTAACGATTGTCCAAAATTCATAGGTTAACGAGAAGATATGTTAACGATCTTGCAGTATTCTGCCATATCCACACACAGCATATATGAAGCAGTACGGCCTCAACGGATCTTATTATAACGAAGAAATGTCATCCGTTAAAACGTTAGATTTGCTTCCTCGTTATATATACATGTCTTACAGTAGTTCGAAGTTCAATGTACCCAAAGGCAAATTCTTTGACATGATCGCCCATTGAAGCGTGAATCCGAGAGTGTCCAGTGAGTAAACACTTGGTGTGATCAAGGTCTGCATAGAATAATAGGGAGGTTTCGCTCTACGGAATTACGTATGAAAATAACGTAGGAACTGCACGGAATTTTCATACGTAAAAATCAGAGCTGTTGGGTTTTGCTCTACGTGATTTCTCCACGACTGCGAAACATGCATTGTTGCTTTGGAGACGCGTTGGCTGCATGCGCCCACCACATGCACCACGAACAGAAACCGCGTTTCCATTTTATTTTGCACGTGGTGTACGGTGTGTGTACCTTGTGTTTCGAGCGGCTTGAACGTTGCCATGGACAAATCCGGAAAATGCGAAAAAATATTTCAAAAAGTTCTACGGAGGACCCAACGTAGGAAACAGCTTTCCTATGGAAATCCGTAGAGAGATGTACGTATGAAAGTTGCCCTCGCTCCCCGGCGCGTACGGCATACGGATTTTCATACGTAATTACGCAGAGCGAAACCTCCCTAAAACCAACTGACAGTAGAGGTTATGTGCGAAAGGCGTCCTACTGATGAGTCAGCGGAATTCCAGAAGGACCAGAACCACTTATGGGCGCTAAGTATACAGCGGAACCGCTTCTGGGTGCTATCAAGAGTCCATAATCCCCCAGAGTGCGCACCTGGGATGGGGTTGTGGGACGTACCTCTCATTTTTTTTGGGTTGGACTTGCGTCATTCCGTCGACGCAGTCCACCACGGAAATATCATGAGTTTCTTAGATGTCACACTACGACGTGCAACGCGGATTTCGCCGTCCCGGATCTGATCAGTGAAGCTGCGCACTCTGGAGGATTATGGACTATTGGTGCTATGTATACAGAACGAGTCGCTAGTGCAACGCCGTGCCGCGACTTTCCCAACGCCTCTCAACTGATGGTGTAATCACATAACCTCTATGCCCAGTGAACTTGCACTGTATTCTGTGAGCCCCAGTAGCGTAGTCGGTTAGCGCGTCGTACTTATAAGCAGTACTTCTGTGACTGAGTTATGCGAAGGTCGGGAGTTCGATCCTCCCCTGGGGCAGCCAGCCTCCTGTGTGAGGCTAGCTTTTTTTGCATGCAAATAAAATTTCTTTTTCTCTGCTTTTGAAGGAAAAGAAAGTTTTTGATTTTCTTTTCTATGCATGGAAATTTGTGTGTTTATGTATTCTTTTATTTTACTGGAAGGCTACTAAATGGAACGTATGGTTTGCCACGACCAGGAGGTCAGTAAATCTTTTCAGGACTCCGTTGCTATGGCTCTGAATTTCGCTGTCTGTAGATAGCTCTGCACATGTGTGCACCGGACACTATCAGCAGCAACTATACCTACGTGTCGCTATGACTGGCATGTTCTACCCCGAGTTTATTCACGCTACGGTTTGTTTTCTCTTATTTGGCTGCAGACAGATGGAACAGCGCTCCATCTGATATCCGCACTGCTGCATCGCCATCCCTATTTCGCCATGCATTACTTTCATTCTTAGGGTACCCCGTAAGAAGACCTTGAGTCTGTGGGGACTGCCCTATTAAAATATGAATAAATAATGTTTTAGTGATTGCTCTTGTGTGTGTTTGTTTAACACGCTCCTAGGCGGGACAAGCGACCGAGCCGGAGTGTATGATTGCACTGGGATTGGCTGCTAACCAATCCGGAGCTGTGAGTACTGATGGTGTGGATGCTGACTACAGACAGTGTGCTACTGCATGTGTGAAGTTATCATTAAATCTTGAAGCCCCTGTTGCTGGTGTACGTGTGAAGTTATCATTTAATCTTGATGCCCCTGTTGCTGGTGGACGTGTGAAGTTATCATTTAATCTTGATGCCCCTGTTGCTGGTGGACGTGTGAAGTTATCATTTAATCTTGATGCCCCTGTTGCTGGTGGACGTGTGAAGTTATCATTTTTAATCTTGAAGCCCCTGTTGCTGGTGCATGTGTGAAGTTATCATTTAATCTTGAAGCCCCTGTTGCTGGTGGACGTGTGAAGTTATCATTTAATCTTGATGCCCCTGTTGCTGGTGGACGTGTGAAGTTATCATTTTTAATCTTGAAGCCCCTTTTGCTGGTGCATGTGTGAAGTTATCATTATCTTGAAGCCCCTGTTGCTGGTGCATGTGTGAAGTTATCATTTAATCTTGAAGCCCCTTTTGCTGGTGGACGTGTGAAGTTATCATTTAATCTTGAAGCCCCTGTTGCTGGTGGACGTGTGAAGTTATCATTTAATCTTGAAGCCCCTGTTGCTGGTGCATGTGTGAAGTTATCATTTAATCTTGAAGCCCCTGTTGCTGGTGCATGTGTGAAGTTATCATTTAATATTGAAGCCCCTGTTGCTGGTGTATGTGGCGCTAAGGGCATGTAGCCCCCAATGCTATTCTATTCACCAGTTGTCGGATTTCTCTGGCCAGGATTGTACATGTAGGTACCTGTGTGTGTGTGTGTGTGTGTGTGTGTGTGTGTGTGTGTGTGTGTGTGTGTGTGTGTGTGTGTGTGTGTGTGTGTGTGCCATGTGTATATGAGTATTCCACTGGTCGGTTAACGTTGCGCATTACTTGCTCTCTGCGTGCAGGCGATGAGCATCTTGGCTGGTGATCCGTACCAGCTTGGCCCCGTGCTACAGTCGCCGCTCGCGAGCGACTACGGACTGCACGTGTCGCTCCTGGAACGAATGATCGAGCGGCCAATGTATCAGCGAGACGAGACCAAGTTCAGCGATCATGGCTGCTATGATCCGCTACTGGTGAGTGATCATGTTGTTGTTTGTAGCCACTGTAGTGACCACTGGGATGGGAGGCACTTGCCTTTCAAGGCCAGGCGTAGCCAGCCCTGGGCTATGCTGCAATATTGATTGATATTCTTGCTGCTTCTCCGTAATACAATTAAAAAACCACTTGTATTCGATCATGTTTAGCAAGTCCCAGTTCACCAATTTATGAGCATCCTGGCATTTTGTCTGGTCAGCTATGCCTGTCCATCTGGCTGAAGTATTGGGGGATTCACACTCACGGGATAGCCTGCGATCACGCGACAAGGACAAGTTCAGACCGTGAGCAACCTGCGCGGGTGTGGCAGTCCACACGCCTGTTGAGTTATTCGATGTCTGCATGTGCGTGGCCAAGTCTTTTGTGTCGGGGAAACTGACAAATCCACCGTGGTGTCTTGTATAAAAGCCTGTCTCATTTAGGGCATGTTCGATTGGTAAGGATCGGGATCCAGATCTCAGATCCGTCGGATCCTTCAGAGTCAACTGGACACTTTTTGGGCCTTGACTGTTGCCATGTTGATCAAGTAATAAAAAGTCGTAATTACCGTGCCAGTTGTACAAAAAGTCAACAAGCTCTATCTCGATCCACATGTGCGTACCACAATGTGTACAAAAACGATTTTTACCCGCCATATACGCACAAAGGTCACATTTGGATCCGTTGTATCCGGTCAACCATGCTCCCCGAGGTGGGTTAACCGGATCCAAATCCAAAGGATCCGGATCCGGATTCGACCAATCGAAAGGGTGCGAATCCAGTGGATCCGGTGGATCGGGATGCCGATCCTACCAATCGAACATGCCCTTAGAAGCCTGTTTTGAATACAAGCCTGATTTTCACACGACTTTATGGGTAAGTTGTACTTCGTTTTGCAGTACAATCATGTTTTAATGTGCTTCACGTTTGGCATGCGCGATTGCATGCTCGGTCAGCGCGCTAGTAGTGAGATCCGAAACAGGGCAGTTTTCAAACCACTTCAGAAACAATAATGCCGGCCCAGTCCTGGTATTGTCGTGGACATTGAAATCCGATGGGATGACCGGGGCCTGCGCAAATCCGATGGGATGACTGGGGCCTGCGCAAATCCGATGGGATGACCGGGGCCGGCGCCCTTACTGCTTTTAGCGCGTACATACACTGTAGTTCACATACACACTGCTAAAATGGACCAGCAGTGCTCGCGGCTGCAAGGCCAGCGACCGCTTGACTTCTCAACGGATTTCAATGTCCACCACTACATGTAGACAGTACTGGTAGATTATGATATGGTGAAATGTTGTCCTCGGTCTAAGAGTTGGTTTAGTGGGGAGAAAAGTTATATCTATTCCTCGTCGCCGGTGCGTTTAGAGGCGTCCATTCTTTCCAAGCCGTTTCAGCACGCTACAGTATTTGTGATGTTATAATATAAAAAGAAGCGCTGTTTTGTGGGTACTAGTAAGTTCGGCAGAAACATACATAATTATAATTACTATTACTCAATCTGCGGACAGAACTGTTTCGTCCTTTGTGGACTCGTCAGCGCAGCACCGAGTTATTATTACGTACTTCGAAGTATGTTTCTGCCGAAGTTACCCATGAAACGGCGCTTCTGGTTAGCTCATGAGAAAAAAACTTGAGAGAGAAGGGCTCTAGATGGGTCAGAAAGGTGCCCTGATGTGGGGTGTCCGGATTAGGGGGGTTTACTGTAATAAAACCCAAAGGTGTTATAACATTACAGCCACAAACTCTGCAATGGAACTATGTGATCTTTTTGCTGTTATTCCGAGTTTCAGCATGGATTCATTGCAGACTTGTGCCATTTGGCTCTGCCGTCGAGTATCGAGCACTTTGACAAGTAACTAGCAACTGGTGAGAATACAGAAAGACATGTCACACCACAATAAAAGGGAAAATGAGCAATGTGTTAGGAAAATGACTGATCGGCTTGAAGGCAAGAGAAGAATGCGGTTTGGAAAACACGTTACTTTCCGTATTTGCGGAGCAGAGTTGCCATGAACTCCGTACCCATTTGCTGCATGCGTTGCCCATGCTCTTCTGAATCCTGCACGAAACGCTATCCGTCACCTGCGATTATTGCGTAAATTTCAGTCGTCTCTCTTCAATAGCTTCATCTGCTGCCCTTCTCCTTCCTTCTAGCTCTTCTTCCCGCTCCACCTGCCTGTTTTGTTCCAGCTTTGCGCCGTGCTCCATCCAACGTTGCTGCATTTTCTCATCATGTTCAAACTGAGCAGCGTGCATATTGCCTGTATCTTTGCAACGTCCTCCGATATCTCGGCAGCTGGAGGTGTACCGCAGTGCCTGCAAACACGAGATTTCTTGCGTGAAAGCTCCTGGGGCGATGGCTCAGCTTTTACTGCACCACCTGCGACAGCCACTGCCGCATCATCCGGATCTTGGACGAGGGTCTGGACATCAGAGTCCTTGTCTGACTCCTTGTTCAGTTCATTCCGGGTTTGCTGGGATTCTGAGGTGAACAGCTCTTCACCCAAATCATGATGAATGCATGTTTGCTTGGCGTGAGCTGTACATTGATGATATCTCTAGCCAGGTCATAGATCGACGTATGTACTGGAGGACGTTCTTTGGCGGGCCGAACATCGAGCCTGTTGATACATTCCCCAGGATCCCACTGTGGATGTTGGAAAGACAGCCTGTGGTATACTTTGAATGTTTGCCATGAGGCAATCGCAGCTTGGGTGTCTTATGTGTGGCACCCAGCGATGTTTCCGTAGTGGTTGGAAGGCGATGGAACTTGTACGCGTCACGATATTTCTTGCGCGTCGTGTCAATCCTGTTTTGAACTTCGGTCAGAGTGAAGACTTTGGCAGATCCGTCCGTTTTTTTGTCTTTGCATTGAGTCGCTCGAGCGCTATCTTTTCTTTCAGCGCCAGTGTCTTCATCTCCTTGTCCGTCGACACAAGCAGATTTGACCATATCTCAAGGAGATAGGCTTCGGTCTTGGCATCAAACGTTTTGCTTGACATGATTGCAATGAAATATTGGATTGCCAGATTTTTCCTGAGAGATTCTTGCTTTTCTGCAGCGCCCTGGTTTCCGTAACAAAATATTCCCAAATCACGGGTTTACCCTGGTGTGTGTGTGTGTGTGTGTGTGTGTGTGTGTGTGTGTGTGTGTGTAGGGATTCACTGGCCAGAAAAAGCCACTTCATAGCTGTGTGGTGTAGACCAGGCTGAATAGTGGCGGTCAATTCTTCAGCCTTGCAAGTTGTTGAATGGTGCAATCCCAGCACAAGCTGCTATGGCTTCTGCTGTAGCATCGCTATCATCGCCTTCGGCGATGGGCGTCCAATGGTCCAATGGTGTGTGTGTGTGTGTGTGTGTGCGTGCGCGCACGCATGTGCGTGTGTGTGCGTGCATGTATGTGTGTGTGTGCACATGTGTGTGTGTGTGTGTGTGTGTGTGTGTGTGTGTGTGTGTGTGTGTGTGTGTGTGTGTGTGCGTGTGTGTGTTTGTATGTGTTTGTGTTTTGTGTGCCAAGGTGACTAAGCTCATCCAAAACTATCGCTGTCACCCGTCCATCCTGGAGCTCTTCTCTCGCATCTTCTATCACAATGAGCTGGAGCCGTGCGCCGATCTCCAGGAGCGCAACCGGTTCTGTGGCTGGTCAGAGCTGCCCAATCCCTCGTTCCCTCTCATCTTCCACGGACTTGAGGTGAGAGTCTCACGCGTGGTCTAATGGCAGGGGGTGTGCTGTTGTCGCATTCAGTTTGTTTCTTGCCACCATAGAGAGTCCGCAGCTGATTCAGGTCTTCTATTTGAATTCATGTCCTTGTACAAGTAACGTTGTTACATATTCTGCATCATGTAGTTGTGTTGTTGGGTGCACAATGTCTGCTGGACGCTCTGCACACCTTCATTGTTGCTATCTGTGTTGGCTGTATGCATGCTGCTGCTGCTGCTGCATCAGGGTAATGATATGCGTGAAGGAACCAGCCCGTCCTGGTTCAACTCTGCCGAAATTGTGCAGGTGAGTAGCTCTGGAAATATCTTGCATACGTACTGGTACCTAGTAGAACTGATTTACTTTGATATTTAGTTCGGGTAGCCAAAGGGTCAGAGTTGACGTGCGGCTAGTACTCAGGATGCCAACAAATGTACGCATTTTGGGTCTGAAAGGAAGGGGAAATGGACGACTTAGACCCTGGTGTGGCTAACAATCCGGGAAGCACAGTACAGTCAGACCTCGCTTATCCGGTCCTCGTTTATCCGGATCCCTCGCCATCCGGAAGAAAAAAGCTGGTTACATATTAACAGCATACGTGATGCATCCAACATAAACGGTGTTCGGTTAGCCGGTTCCCTCGCCTATCCGGATATTTTTTGGGAAAACGGATGTGTGCGGTTAAGCGAGGTCTGACTTTACATGTACTAGTAAGGTAGGTGTACTGTATGGAGTTTTTTTTTTTTGCATTTATAGCCTCTTTTACGGGCGAACAAAACACAATTTGCATGCCGGCGCGCGGAGGATTGGAAAACAAATCACTTAATAAGTTAGTGACTTAATGATGTCACATGTGATCAGAGAGCAAGAGAAGCATAGCATAGTCCGCACAATCACGGGCCAAGGCTCAACGGGACACCCTAGCCTCCACGACAGCCAGGGAGGCACAGCCATCCATTGGAGGCTGCCAAACTCGGCGAGCCCCACGCAGACACATGACACTCGAACGCAGCAGGGCGAAAAACAGCCTGCAGCGGAGGTGGGCAATTAGCACAGAATACGCCTCCCTCCCACGTAGCGACTGGAGATGTGCAATCCGGCTCACCAGTGCAGCGGCACCCTTGCTGCATCCTCCGGTGGAAGAGAGCACAAAGGGGAGAAAAGTGGATCGCTCCACTTCTCGGACTCTCCGATCGTATCGACGCCGTTTCTCTTGCTCGTGGTGCCGGTAGCAGGCAGAGAGAGAGGAGGAGGTGCGGTTCGAAGACGCATAAGGGTTGAACACCCGTACATCAATAAAAGTGCGTTCGAACCGACCCCCCCCCCCCCCCCCCCCCAAACTCCACTGGCCACCACATCCAAACGAGCTTGATCCTCGGTTGATGCAGACCGGAGCTGAAACTGCTCCCCAGTCAGGGGTTGGAGATGTGGCTCCACTGAGACGTTGTGGGCGACACCCTTCAATGAGCTTGCCAGTATGTCGCGCACCTCGTTGTGGCGGATCGAGGGGAACCCACCGAAAGGACAGGACAAAGCGTGAGCAGTGGTGAATGCCTTCTCGCAAACACAGGTGGTGGGCAGGCGAGAAGGCGTCCAACCGTAACGGAGGCAGAGGCCATCCCGGAATTCCCCCTTCGACAAAGCGAAGCCATGGCGAGCGATGGGTCGGCAGGTGAGCCAGCTTGATGCTCCCTTCTCCTCTGCCAGACTGATAGCGAGATCAAGTTCGCTGTGCTCGGTGCGGAACGTATCGGCAGCTATCTTCATTGCCTTTCTGGCCTCAGAGCGAGCCTGACTCTTGGCCCTGTGGACACAGGCAAGAGCATCATCGAGGTGCTCCTCTTGCGCCATGATCTTGTCGTACAGGGCAGTGGTGATTAGCCTGGAGGTGCCATACTGTGAGCCAAAAATGGTAGGGTTGGCCACGCCGAGGCCTCCATGCCGGCAGGGGAAAGTGAGCAAAATGCACTCAGCGTCACTTGGCGCCATCCGTCCACTAATGGCAGGGATTAGGCGGCGGTGGATGATGTCCTCCAAGGGTGCCAGCTGTTCTGCAGCGCCATCGAGAACCCGACACAGGAAGGACCAGCGGTGTTGGAGGCTGTTCACCAGTGCAGAGTAAGCTGCTTGAGGCTGTGACCGGGCGAAATCTGTCAGCTTGCACAGCTCCTGCGACCAGGTGGCCACCTTGGAAGCCACAAACTCCTGCACAAACTGATCAGTTCCGATGGCTGATCCAAGGTGGCGGGAGTACTGTATGGAGTACTGTATGGAGTACTGTATGGAGTACTGTATGGAGTACTGTATGGAGTACTGTATGGAGTACTGTATGGAGTACTGTGTGGAGTATTGTGTGGAGTACTTGAAGAGTTCGAAAAGCTTGCACTAGTGTTAGCATACCGGACCCTGCGTGTTTCCTCTGCATATCCGTATTATTTGTGTCTGGTTTGTCTTGAATAGAGTCATCTGTGAGTTACGTGAAGTGTTTGAAGAGATTGCTGTAGCGCTAGCATGCCAGTGTTGTTTGTGTCTTGCCTGTTTCCTCTGCATGCCAGTCTTATTGTTTGTGTCTTGTTTGTTTCCTCTGCATCACATTAGACTGCTGATTATCTCAAGTCTCTGTTCAAGTCGCCGGACCTGGGACTGAGAATGGACGAGGTCGGTGTCATTACACCCTACCGCAAGCAGGTGGAGAAGATGCGACAGTTTCTTGGCACCGTCTCGCTGGAAGACATCAAGGTATGCTGGCAGATTTTGGTGGCTGCACTCGCATCAGCGCGTAATATAATCCAGGTGTAACTTTGGTCTTTTCTTCCAACGGACTAGATTGCATTCCTGTCCGCTGTAGCTACATGTACCTCCTAATTATCTTTTTTCCTGCAGCATGAATGATGGGTAGATGTATATTGTATGCTACTCGCAGTGGATGTTGATATGTCGCGTAGCTTGCTTTATCACACAGCTGTTCTCTGTGCTTTCAGGTTGGATCCGTAGAGGAATTCCAAGGACAGGAGAGACCTGTGATTGTCATATCCACCGTAAGTTGAGTAGTGTGCTGGCTGTCAATCCGGACACCCTGCTTACCTGTCAGCCTGGAGCGGAGTAGAGAATACAGTACTGGTGGAATCCTGATAATTCGAACCTCCAAATACCAGGAAAACGCTTCTAATTATCCAGACATTCTAATTATCCAAACATGAAATTATGTATGTCAAAATGCTCTCATGGTCACGCAAAGTTGCGCTATGGACCTTAGACACAGATTTCACGGATACTGAACTGGCCAGCACAGCCTGCTCATGCAAACTGAACTGACCAGTACAGTGTACAGTGAACTTCGAATTACACTTTGCTAACTTCGAATTATCAGCACAAATTCCACACATTTTCAATGTAAGTGGAATCCGTGGAACTTCGAATTAACCGGACATGTCCGGTTCGAGGTTCGAATTATCAGAAAATTTTATGTGGGAATCGTATTGACAGAAATCGGTCCTGGAAAAACTTCTAATTAAGCGGTATGTTCGAATTAAGCCATATTCGAATTATCAGGATTCCACCTGTACAACCTATATTTGCCGGACCCCGTACCAAGCGGAATCCTGCATTGACTGGACAATTTTTCATGCACGAAAATGCTGTGGATCGAACGTGCATCCCTGGATCATCTTAATCCTGTCATATCAGGACAGTTTCCGCTGCACCCAGGCAAGGGTGTCCGGTTAGGGCAGGCTTTACTGTATCTCTTGTAGCAATATCACACAATACGAGGGTGTGTAGCTCCTGGGGGTGTGAGCCCATGACAAAGTGGTCTTGTTTGCACCACCGTAGCACTCGACTCAACTCCTATTGTGTATACTTGTGGATGGCATAGGTCTTGTTTTCGTTGAGGCCAGCTGAAGAGAGTGATGTGCCTTGTGCTGGAGCATTTGTTGAGGGATTTAATCAACACTAACTCAGCAAGACGTTGCATCTCAGATGTGCTTTGCGACATTCGGTGTTCTTTGTCTGCTCAACAGGTACGAAGTCAAGAAAGTCTTCTAGCGTTCGACCGCACGCATCAGATTGGGTTCTTGTCGAACCCAAAGCGATTCAACGTTTCGATCAGCCGTGCCAAGTCGCTGATGATCATCGTGGGCAATCCGCACATTCTCGTGCAGGTACTGTGCTTGCTGGAGAATATCTGGCCCTGGAACATGTTTGTGCCCAGGTCGCTGTTTTGTTGTATTGCGCCGTATTTTCCGGTATTTGCCGCCCACATATGTGCAGTTGCACTCTGTGAAATCCGACCAAGAGTGCACATCTGGTGCCCGCAATTTGCGCGGCTCTTGACGCCCTGGAAGTGGCACGAATGCGGTAGGTCGTGCACACGTACCAATACAATGATGTGATCGGAACTGATGCAGGTTGCCAGTTTTGTACTTTGAGTCGGATTTCACCGAGCGCATCTGTAGTAGCACGTGACCAAGGACTGACTGTAATCACAGTTTTCCTGGTCAAGTACATGTATATATCCCACCGAATGTCTCGAGTCGTGTGCATGCATTACAGATACAGTAATGTTCCACTCTTTGATGATGACGTGCTGGGTAACACAAACGCCTGTGCTCTGTGGTCCTGTTGGTGTCTTCGAACCGTCTTCTGTCTGCTGTACAGGACCCCTTTTGGCGACTTCTGCTAGTCTACTGTGCGCGCAATGGTGCTTATCGAGGCTGCTCACCACCGTCACTGGATGCTGACGGCAGCCTGTTTGCTGATACTGAGGTTAGCAGCTGTTACAGTGTCTGTATTGTAGAACAAAGCATATGATACCCCGTCTGGGATGTAGGTTAACGAGAGGGTATGTCAACGATCTAGGACTTTAAAGGCATGAGATGTATGTGTGTGTGTGGTGGCACTGTTTGTTTCTACACTAGGAGTGATGTATCAACCACACGTGCTACTTTGCCACGTCAGCCAAAGGCATGGTCACCAATTCGCCTAAGGGACGGTCAACACATTCTTATACACGCTACCGGGTGACGTGTCCGAGTGAGATGACCCTAACTTAGGAGGCGGCACCTTGCCCAGCAGATGCTCTTCAGGTGAGCGGTTTCGAATCTGTTCTCTTGTGTGCTGTAACTGTTGGATATGCTGCTGCTGCAGCAATCATTGTACGAATGATAGTGCCAACACTGTTGCCGCTAGCAGTCATTCACTATCATGTGGTGACTAGAATCGAACAGTAGCCGGCTTAGCTCTACCATGTAGTGCAGTGCAGTGCGGTGCAGTACAGGCAGAGCCTTGCTTCACTCTTGGATGTGCACAACTAGGCGACAGTTCATTCTCAGCTCTCAGTGCGGCCGGGTGAAGTCGCAATGCTCTACCCCCATTCAGATGACATCATTGCGTCGGTGTCATGATATCGCTCACTGGTGGCTCTGATAATAGCGTAGTTTGCTCCGTTGCTCCCATCCTATGGCACAATGATGGAGCAAGAGCCGGGGACTTTTTTCTCCGCCTTCTGAGTGATAGCATTTCTTGCCTTAGTAGATACACGTACATGTATGTGGCCTTTGTGAACAGCCAGCCAGCAGTTGTGATCAATATTAAATTTTCATAATGAACAAGTCATACTCACACCACACATTCCAACCCGCAGCTGGTTTTGCTTTTATTGTCGTCCAACAAGACACCTTTTAAAATGTGTTATAACTTATAACTCCTTTTGAAGATCTTGAATATTTCTGAAATACTTTCACCGAACGGATTATACAAGTATGCTACAGACCCCCCCCCCCCTTCTCTCTCCTTCCTTCCCTTGTCTTGTGTTCACCATTCTTAGGTGCTGCACCTTGCTGCTTTTCCCGTTTATACAAATTCGCTTGCATGCAGTCCACAGAAACACTACTTTCTAGGCTTTGCTGAAATCCGTGTACATCTGTCGGTTGTTTTCTAATTCTAGTCCCATCTTGAAATGATTTTCCTACAAAAATTGATTTTCTTGTGACGTGTACACCTTTTTAATATCGAAAGTATGCACTGTGCATATTGGGATGGACATGTGCAGACTTTTGACGACGAAAGTATTCACTGTGAACATGCATGATAGCAGAGTAAAGCCGACTCGCCGATCAAGCCAACTTTGGATGGGCACTCGTATCTCGACTTCCCACGCCTCCGAATTATGGGCGCCTCTGACCAGTGGAAATGCGATGCAAAAATGGCAGTCATCCGGCCTCACGAGCATGGCGATGCATGCACGTTCCAAGTTGCAGGATATCCAGGCTCCGGGCTAAACAACACACTGGGTTTTATTGGATGTCAGTCGAGTCAGGGTGCACGGGATATGATAGTATGTTTTGAACTTGGCTCCGCATATGCATGTTTGGACCACAGAACCTACTCTCGATAAGTCGCGTCGGCTAGGTGAAGAGGACGTTGGTGGACCGGTTGTTTTGCTGTCTGTCCATCTGCACATGCTTTACCCTGTGTGTGGCCTGATACACACCTCTCTGCTACTGTGTGCTACTGCCTGCGAGCCAGTCCTCAACATGCCATCATGCGGGATAGTTGTTGCATATATTCCAGTGCCAACGCATGCGCATCAGCAGGCCATTCTCCATGTGTATGAATGCTTGGAATGCATATTCATCATCGTGTACTTGTAATTGTCGGACCATTCAAGTTTGGGATTGTTTATAATTGCACAATTTGGATTGTCAAGCTCCCTAGCCACCAGGGCTACATAGGGGTGGTTCTGACAGCCTTGGAACCGTTAGAAAGGCATGTACCAGGAGCAGTATGTGTGTGCACTATCATTTCCACACGTTTCTATTTCCACACGTTTCTACTGAAATGCTCCGCATCCGTAGGAATGCCACCACCCTCAAGGATTGACCAACAAGGACCCAATCAGCAACTTTCCTTGGCAAGAGTGGACTTTTTGACCCAACTTTTGGCTTGACAAGCAAGATTTTGGTATTGTCATTATTTTGTTTAGCTGTCCCCGGGGAAAATCGCGATTTCGCGGATGCAATTTTTCTCCGATTTTGACGATTTGTTATAGATCCGCAAATTTTATGCGATTTTTGAAGTTTTTTGCATGAAAGCATCGAAAGACTATCCCTGCATCGCATCGTGGAGGTCTTCTCTCTCCAGAATCTGTAGATGTGAGTAGCAGGCACATTATTTGAGAACTGAAGTGTATGCATTTCATGGTGTCCTTTTCACTCGGTCAGCCCCCTTCTTTATGAAAAATAGGCAGTTTTCGGACCAGCGAACGGGTCTATCGGCAAGTCTACTTGCAAGTTCACCAAAAATGGTCCCAAATTTCCCGCAATTTTGCCGCGAATTGTGCCAATACTGATCACAAGTTGTGCCGCAGATTTTGACCTTTTCTTCCGCCATTTTCTCCGGGGACAGGTTGTGGTGTTGGCTGGCTATTATTGTTTTGTATACCACTATGTAGGGCAAGTGGCGTGTGCGCCTGTGTGCAGGCTGCCCCAGTGCGAGCATTTGTCATTTCCATACACATGACTTGCCTGTGCTCAACATGCATATAGGCCCGTCGGATAGGTTAAGGTCTGTTCGGGAGCCTTTTGATTTGAAACTGTTTTGTCATAATTATGGTGACGAAGCCTTGACTACTAAGCACTCGTTTTCATCCCATTATAACATTTCTGGCCTTACAGCACCAGATCAGAAAATAAGAACGTGTTGCCTGCTTTTTGCCAGGTAAAAAGGTTTGACATGCTTCTCGTGTGCTCCGGATGGCAGTCACGAGTCACTCAAGTCCCTAGTGTAAGCCAAGTATCCTTGAGCCAGACTTTAGTCACTTTACCATGATGGAAAATGGCGGTCTACAGTTGAGTACACTAAGTGCAGCACACTCAAGCGAGAGCCTTACAGGATCAAGGGTGCTCTTTGCTCCCTTCGCTGTTACTGTTACCAGAATGAAAAGGAAAGCCAACAGTAAAAACAAAACACATCGAATGAACACAAAATGGAGGTGACACAATTCCCATTCGCTTGACTTGCCAGTCATAATGCTATTCACGTTGGTTTTTTTACTATTGGCTTTCATTATCGAACCCATTGTGAATCGAGTCCAGGGAGTCGTAAAATACCGGTATTTTACGACTCCCTGATCAAGTCCATTTTCATTATGGTGACTTGGTCACAGCTAAAGATCACATTCTGTGCACCAGGCAGTAATGTCAGGCTGTCAAATTTACTGGATCAACTGTAGTGTTTTGTATTAAAGCCTGTCTCATATAGAAGCCTGATTTTCAAGATGCACTGCACTGTCAGCACAGGCACACGCCTGGTTGTAGTGTTCACATACATAGAAATACCTGTCTTGTATACTTTGAAGTAGGAGCCTGTCTCATGCAAAATTTCTCCCAAAAAGTCGTATAAAGCCGCAGCTTGATTTTTTGAAGGAGGGGAAAAGATTATCTTAGCGACAACTAGTACAAAGTGAAGAAGAAGTTGGTGCGACATTAACCAAAATGTCCGACCCTGTGCCTTTAAGGTGCTGAGTCAAATGCCTTCTTCTTGGGTCTGAGGCGGCAACCTGTCCCTCCAGGAAATCGCGATTCCATGGAACAAATTTGGGCCCAAATCCACGATTTTCTGCAAAATCCCCTTCTTTTTTTGCACTTTTTATACGTTTTATGCACTTTTCACGTAGTGCTTTCCATGATAATGCAGGCTATTTGTGCACAGTATCGTACTTGCGAGTACTGTGCAATTAGCGAATCCAAAGATGAAACAAATTTCGCAATTTTGGCCCAAATCCGCGAATTCCGGGGCAAGTTCCGAATCTTTTCCCGCACGGTACACGGACTGTAGTGGACATTGAAACCCGGTTGGAGGTCAAGCGGCCCCAGTGCACTGGCCATGCAGCCGCCGGTACACACGTTTTATTTTTATTTCTGCGCTGCATGCAGCGCGCTGGTCGACTGGGTCGTTGACTGGGCCGCTGGTCGCATCAGATCAACATGTGTGCACACTGCATGCAACGGGTGTAGAAGAGGGAAATGACTATGTGGTACCATACTAGTAGATATGCACACAACATTCTCGAATCGTCCATGCCTGCACGTGGCAGAGCATGGCAGAAGTACAGAGCTGCAGAACTACTACTCAATATGGCGGTGCTCTTCCAATCTATAGAAACTATTATCTATTGTTAATGCATGTTGCAATATGTAACAACTCATGGAAAAGGATATTGAAGAAAGATGGAGGAGAACGAAGAAAACTAACCCACAATTAGCACTATAAAACGAACTGCATATACCTAAACACTAGAAAACGGCAAGGTGGCTGTTGCAGTTATGGGAACGTTGTTAACAGAGCTATGTGGTAAGTATTGCCAGTTCCTCAGTAAGGGAGTAAGTAGCGTTTGACTGAAGAGGCTATGTCGGTCTATCAACGTGTGATGATGATGTGCTACTTGTTATATTCTTACAAGTAAGCTTACAAGTAAGCTGGCCGCACAGACCTGAATCTCCAACCGACCCTAGCATCTGCAGTTGCCTGGTAAAGTACCAGCTAGCCTAGCCATTCAAGGAGAGGAAGGTGTGCACATCTGTACGAAGGCCAGAGGACTGCAGCTAGTGTCCCTAGCAATCAGACTGTGCCGTCACCTCACAGCTTCCTGTGCGGAGCTGCGTACAGATCAGCAGTGTCGTCGTCGTCAGCCTGCGCAGTCGGCGAGGCGTCCATAGCCTGTGGAGCTGCAGCCCTCTTCCGAGAACTTGATGGTGTCCAGGGAGATGAATATATATTTCCGTCCTCAGACAGTGCTGCCGAGCGGATATCTGCTATCCGTGTTTTTGGAGGTGCGTATGCATCTTTGTCCTGGGCCTCTCCAGTTGAATAGGTTTTCGTTGCGTGTGCCCCGGGAGATGAATATACATCCATATTGTCTAGCAGATGAGTCAGATCAGCCTCTCCAGTTGAAGTGGTTTTTGTTGCGTGTGCCCCGGGAGATGAATATACATCCATATTGTCTAGCAGATGAGTCAGATCAGCCTCTCCAGTTGAAGTGGTTTTCGTTGCGTGTGCCCTGGGAGATGAATATACATCCATATTGTCTAGCAGATGAGTCAGATCAGCCTCTCCAGTTGAAGTGGTTTTCGTTGCGTGTGCCCCGGGAGATGAATATACATCCTTATTGTCTAGCAGATGAGTCAGATCAGCCTTCTTTGGAGCTGCATAGTTTTCTGCAGCACATGCTGAGAGCGGAGTTGAGCAGGCATGCATAGCTTGTCTCTGTGGAGCTGCGTAGATATCCGCGGTCTCTGTCTGTGGGGCTGAAGGACGATCTGCGACACGTGTGCGTGGAGATGAATATACGTCATCAGACTCGGTCAGCGGAGTTGAGGAGGCACCCGTGACATTCTTGCGCGCCCGCGGGGCTGCATAGGCACGTGAACCCTGTTCTGCTCGAGGTGACGTGTTAGTGGATTGTGTGGAATACGGATCTGGTTCGAGGGTGATTGGAGTTGAGAAGATAGTAAGCCGCTTTTCTGAAGTACCCTTTGACTCGACCCTACTATACAATTCAGCATCATTCGACTCTGCACCAGTTGACCTTGCATCATTCGACTCTGCCAACACATAAGTAGGGCCATCATTCGACTCTGCCATTACGTAAGTGGGATTACCTTTCGCCTTTGCCATTACATGAGCCGCCGACGCGCCTTTACCTTTGGCGAGTGAATAGATATGGCCATCCTCTGACACTGGGTCAAAAGAATAAATATCACGCCCATTGGCCATTTCCGCATCCGATGTTGATGACGGTCGTGTGTTCTCTTGGTGGAATAAGGGAGACATGGGGCCCGGTTTCTTTTCGTCTGTTTTTGGCAGGTGGTTGACCTTTTCCGGCCGTTGTATCATCTCGTCCAATACGCTTGTTTGGCTGATTTGTGATGTAGACGTGAGATGGGAGTAGTCCGGTCCTAGTGAAGTGCCTGTTTCCACATTTCGGCGACCCAGTAGTGGTGTGGCCCTGTGCGATGCGCTCTGCGATGCGCTCTGTGACGTGTTCGGTGACGTGTCCGCTGATGCACTCTGCGAAACGTTCTGGGAAAGGTTCATTGGTGTGTACTCAGAGGTTATGCTGCTCTCAAACAAGCGCCCTGGTTGGCCTCGCGGTTCATCCTGCATTGGACAACGCACAGCACATGCACAGTGTATGTAAACAAGATGATATCAATGCCTTGGCATTTTCAAAAATAACTCGTCCACTATCGGCAAACAAGTAGCGCAGTGCTTCTAATCTCAAGTGATCACTCAGGCAAATCAGCTGCCAAAAAAGCGAAGAAAACAGCCAATCCCACCAGAACTTGAACCCTGGACCTTGCTTGCCATGAGCAATTCTCTAACCATCTGAGCTGTGGGACCAGGCCTGAGCTATGGCAGCAGGCCAAACCTAGAAGGCGCTGACAAATGTTTCACTTCGCAGGCAGGTCAACACAAGCCACACATATTGATGGCACTCGGGTTTTTTTCCTTTCCCCGAGACCAACCACGGTCAATTTCTGGAACGTGCTACCAGAGGTGAAAGAAAGTGATCAATTTCAAAAGGATTGGGAGAACTTCAAATTCATAGTGTGATCAGTCAGGGAAGTGAACTGCTAGACAAGCGAAGAAAAGTGCACTTCCATTGAAGAAAAGTGCACTTCAATTGAAGAAAAGTGTACTTCCATTGAAGAAAAGTGCACTTCCATTGAAGGTAGTCACTAGTTGAGGGAATGGGAAAGGGAAAAGTCTGAAAAAATAGACTGTCACCAGCAAGACTCGAACCAGGGACCTTCGCTTGAGGCCAGCGATGCTCTAACCTCTGAGCTATGGTGTAGCTGTCATCCCAGCAGAGACCGGTCAACAATCTCTCCAGACTTCGTAACTGCACTGAAGGTGCGGGCGGATTTCTTAGAGCTAGCAGAGTTGCGTGTCTTGTTAACTTACGCTCTCCAGCAGGCCATTATGACTATTGCAGCTGAGCACGCTACCTCCACGGTGATTGCGCTGAGCACCACCACCACCACCACCACCATTGAGATTGAGCATAGCAGCGCCATTGGGATTACTGGGCATACTGGCGTCATTGAGATTGGGCATACTGCCACCATTGATACTGGGCAATTTGTTGACATTGAGACTGGCCGTATTGTAATTATTGTTTGCATTGAGACTGCGCATGCTACCACCATCGAGATTGACCATACTTTTGTTGAGTACTTCCACCTGTTGTGTGTGCATCTGTTGCGCGCCGATTTGAGGCTTGCTCTGACGCATTGCACTCTGACACTTTGCAAGTGGTGTCCTGTGCATTGATACCCGTGCAGGCACACACAAGCATACGCACACACCCAGGCACACATGCAGACAAGTAGACATACATACAGACAGACAGACAGACAGACACACCGACACACAGACACACAGATGCGGTCATTAGGTTAGCAGCAGGCTATCCTAGAATCTGACGGGTAGTTGGGTAGAACTCAAAAGATTGTGCAGTGTGGCGATTCAGTCAGTGTAGCAGCAGAGCTGTATCTCTTTTTTGAAATTTTTGTATAGATTAGTGAGAGCAGATGTACCTGGATGTCTCTGATTGTATTAAACTGGACCTGAAACAATTACCTAACACCCATTACGAAATATTGGTAGCGACTTTGGTGACAGTAGAGCAAGTTAGTGCATTGCTCCCTTCTTGGGACGTTGCGCTTTTCCTGGTGATTTGACTTGATACTTGAATACATCTACATGTGTGTCCGTATCTAATATCCCTGCCCTGCCTGCTGTATCGGTGTGTGTAGTACCTGCCTTGCTAAGGATGAATGCATGGTCTGCTGTATGTAGTCACTGCCTTGCTAGGGACGAATGGAGTGTCTGCAGTGTGTAGCCACTGCCTTGCTAAGGATGAATGCATGGTCTGCTGTATGTAGTCACTGCCTTGCCAGGGATGCATGGAGTGTCTGCAGTGTGTAGCCACTGCCTTGCTAGAGATGAATGCATGGGCCTTGCTAGAGATGAATGCATGGTCTGCTGTATGTAGTCACTGCCTTGCTATGGATGAAATTGAATGGAGTGTCTGCTGTGTGTAGCCACTGCCTTGCTAGGGATGCATGGAGTGTCTGCAGTGTGTAGCCACTGCCTTGCTAGAGATGAATGCATGGTCTGCTGTATGTAGTCACTGCCTTGCTAGGGATGAAATTGAATGCATGGTCTGCTGTGTGTAGCCCCTGCCTTGCTAGAGATGAACGCATGGTCTGCTGTATGTAGCCTCTGCCTTGCTAGGGATGAGTGGATTGTCTGCAGGCAGGTATATGTACGTACTTTATGGCGTGGTTCTTCCACTGGATTGTAGAATTGGTGCTGGTAGATGTGCTAGGTTCAGCTAGTGGGTGATCCATCGATATGGTACTCGTGGACATGCTCGATTCAGCTAGATGGTGTTCTGTAGATATGGTACTTGTGGACATGCTGGGTTTAGCTAGGTAGTGATCAGACGATCCTTGCGCTATCAATCCGTAGTGTGAGGTCACAGGAGCGAGCCGAGAGAGCTGGACGTGATCTTTGTCCATTTCACCTGCAACACATGCAAAGAAAGACGAATCACAGCCAATATATAGGAGGACCCGTCTTGTTTGTTTAACTACCATACTGGGACATCTTGGTCAATGTGGCTGCTGCAGCCAGTGGTCAGATTGCGGACATTCATCCGTAGTCCCCCTTGAACCAAACCCAACTGAACTGTTCTTCAAAGTGTAAGCACATATTTCTGAACCGCCACCTGGGTTTTAGTCAGCTTGAATAGATGTCATTCAGAAATGGTATTGTATAGCATATTGCACGGTTCCGAGGGGATTATTTTTCAAATCCCCAAGGCGCGCAGCGCTGCGGGGATTATGAAGAATAATCCTCGCGGACACTGTGCAATATCCTGTATAGACCACACTTTTCGGGTGATCAGCAGCATGAACCAGTGCAGTGTGAACGGAACACTGAAGTTCTAACATAGTCATTTGCTCGTCGCCTCTCCGGGTTTAGCAGGTTTTATCACTCTTCTTTATCGACCTCCACTAATTCTCGTGATCCTTGACTGGTCCTATATTACCCATATCGCCGCAATATCGACCGCTTATAATCGGTTGTGGCGACAAACGCGATTAGGCCGGCTGCAGGGACGCCGTAATGTCGCACTCGCCCCAGCACCATTCAAACAGTTCCCTTTGGCAGTTCACGGCACGAACTTCAACAAAGCCCCGTGAATGCGTACTAGGGGAAGGCTAGACAGCATGTCTCTAGACATCAATAGGCATCGTATGAAAAGCCAGTCAATAGCACTAAAGAGCGAAAGCCTTTGTCACGGTTCGGTTTCACTCGCGCACCGGGCCCGAGCTGCCAGCGCAAACAAATGCCGGGCGCGAGCTGGCAGCACGAACAAACACCGTACTCACACGAGACCGCTGGGCCAACGGATGGCCACAGCCATCAAAAACAGGAACAAACCCATCCACGGCTCTTTCTCTTGCTAGCTGTGCTGCTGCGTGCATCCAACTGTTTTGCAATTTCTTTCTTCCTTGTTGCAATTACTCGGCGAGATTTGAAATTTCTAAAGTTCCGCAGTCGCAGGAGATCCTGAGCCGTCACCATGAGCTCCGTGCCATCACTTTCCGATCTCCGCCAACTCAAAGTCGACGGAGTTGAAACTCGACTGCGAGAACTGGGGCTTTCTTGCTCAGGCAATTTTAGAGCCCAGGTGAGCCGTCTGCATGAGCATTTGTCGGCCCAGGCAAGAAACAAAGCTAAGTCTACGAGCCAGGTCGCAAAAAAGACCACGCGTCGGCGGGCTAGTCCTGCAGTCCCGGCCACTCAAAGCCCCGCGGCCGCGACCCAGCCTGACTCGTCGCCCGCGTTCACGTCGCAGCAATCTGCCGAGATCTCTCGGGTCGTGCAAGATGCAGTGGCGTCCTGCATGACGTCATTGACAACTTCGATGGGTCTACCGGTGGTACCTCCACATGCACAGCCAACTGTAGCAGCAGCAACAGCAGCACAGCGGGCTGGTCCAGTCTCTGGTGATGTTGTGGTGCCTGACTCTGAGCCTGAATATGTCCAGCCTTCACTGGCTTCAGCACTAAGACCAGACCAGGAGAGTCTCTTCCTGGACGGCGATTTGCTCGCCCCAGAGCGTCCACCATCCATCCCATTACCTGCCCTCAGCGACCATCTCACGGACAAGATTATCAAACGTGAGTACGTTGATTTTGGTAGGGTACTGGGAGAGCTGGCTTTTGATACGAGCATGGGTCCGGACAGTGGGTTCACCCTGCAGGGGACGGGGGACCACATCACCCTTGTGCCATCTGCCATGTCGTCGTCATCCCGTCTAAAGAAAGTTGTAGACTTGACATCGTGGTTGGAGGCGTTCTCAGCCTTCGCCCAAGTAGCCCTCCACCACGACCCCGGCAGAGGTCCGGAATTATTCAAGTACCAAAGCACAATCGTGAAAGCGGCCGCACGCTATACATTCGGTGCGTGGTCTGGCTTCGACATGTCGTTCCGTGCAAGAGCTGCACGCAGCAAATCTAGCCTTGCCACGTCAGATCCGGAACTCTGGTCGGAGTGGTTTACAAACTCCATCCTGCCTCCCTGCCGTCACTGCAACCGGCAAGGTCATTTAACAGTTCGCTGCCCCCGCGCCCGTAGCCTAGCTTCACTGTCTGACGGGCCAGCAGCCAAACGCCCCTTCCGGCACAGCGGTCAGGGGCTACCGCTCACCCAAACGCCCCAGCTGTCTGCCGCGACTACAACCAAGGCCGCTGCCAACGCGCAGCCTGTCGCTACGGCCACCAGTGCAGCACATGCTTTGGCAGCCACCCCGCCAAGTCATGCCCAGGAAAGCCAGCCGCCGCCAGCCGCGACCAATAGCTCGCAGTTGCCCAGCTTGGAGACTCGGTCACTCCAGTCACTCACCGGTAACTCTACACTCACCCAGGCCAATAGCACTCACACACTCTGCCCAGCTGCTCACATCTCTCCTACACGCACCCTCGCTCACGAGCCAATCCATTTGCACACGCCTGTAACCCCCATTAACGTTTCTTACCTGCAGGACGCTTTGTGTCAGCATCCTGATCCGGCTTTTGCCTCATTCGTAATACATTCTTTGTCTTACGGGTTCGATATTGGGTTTGCTGGTCCCCGTACCTTCTGAGTCTCTCGTAATCTCAAATCAGCGATTGAGCACCCTGACATTGTCGATGCTGCCATCGGTCGTGAAATTGCCGCAGGTCGCATGGCCGGTCCCTACCAAGAGCCCCCCTTCACACTTACACAGGTCTCCGGTTTGGGTGTGGTTCCCAAGAAGTCACGGTCGGTGCAAAAATGGCGCTTGATTATGCATCTGTCAGCACCACAGGGCCACTCAGTGAACGATGGTATCCCTGTCGACAAATTCTCTGTACAGTACTGTTCGGTCGACGACGGCGTAAATCTCGCACGGTCCCTAGGCCGTGGCTGCCATCTGTGGAAGGTCGACCTCCAAGACGCATTTCGCATTTGTCCAGTACGGAAAGAGGACTGGGAACTATTATGCCTGTTCTGGCGCGGGCAATATTACGCGGACAAATGCCTACCCTTCGGCCTTCGCTCATCACCGTCGCTGTTTAACAAAGTCGCAGACGCCCTCCAGTGGGTCATGTCGCACAACTTCGACGTAGCCCCAGTCATCCACTACTTAGACGACCACCTTGGTGGAGCGACGGACTCTATCGGCGCACAGCACCAGCTTGACCGTGCCCTGGTAGCCTGCCACGACTTAGGCTTCCCGGTCAATCCAAAAAAGGTGGAAGGCCCTAGTACAACCCTGACATTCCTCGGTGTCATGCTGGACACAGAGCGCTTCGAAATCCGCCTCCCACCCGACAAGTTAGAAGACCTTCTCATTGCCCTCAAGGCTTGGCAACATACCCGCCCTACCGCCCGCAAGTCTGAATTGTTGTCCCTGATAGGTCACCTCAGCTTTGCCTGCAAGGCGGTCCCTGCGGGCCGCATGTTTCTGCGCCGCCTCATTGATCTCAGCACGACGGTCCCGCATCCAAACGATTACATCAGAATCACAGAAGACGCCAAAGCAGACATCCAGTGGTGGCTTGACTTCCTCCCTGCCTGGAATGGCGTCGCCTTCTTCCTAGAACCCACGTGGTCAGCCGCCGCCGATATGGACCTCTACACGGACGCATCTAGAGCCATCGGCTATGGTGCTTTCTTCGCCGGCCGGTGGCTCCAACACCGGTGGCAGAGGCACCAATCCCAGAGATCCATCGCGTGGATGGAGCTCTTTGCCATCGTGGCCGCAGCATCCACATGGGCACCGCAGCTGCATCTGAAGCGCATCCGCTTCCACTGCGACAACCGTAGCGTATGCGACATCTGGCTCCGCTCACGCACAAAGTGCCCCGACTTAATGGCGCTGGTACGCACTTTGTTTGCCATTGCTGCCCGACACAACTTTCACGTCATAGTCTCCCACATCCCCGGCACTGACAATGCGATTGCTGACTCTCTGTCTCGGTTTCAGATGGCCCGATTTCGCCGACTGGCACCCACAGCAGAAGACACGCCATCTCCGGTGCCCGAGAGCACCTACTCCCTCTGATGTTGGAGGGTCAGGCCTACCAGTGGCTAGGCCTGTCAGCGTCCACACGTGCCACATACGCGACAGCCTGGAAACGACTGCACCAATTCTGCCAACTAGTCGGCACCAAGGTGATTACAGACACCATCATGCTGGCGTTTGTAGCCTACCTGGCGCGTCAACATGCCGCGTCAACCGTCCGCCTGTATGTGTCGGCGATCCGGGCAATTGCCAAAGAAAACGGCAAAGATCTCTCGTCGCGAAGAGTGGACCTCGCAGTTCAAGGAGTGGCACGTGCACAGGCCAACCGAACTAAAAACGCCAGTAAGCCAATCCTCCTGCCCCACATGGCAGCTATGCGCAGGGCCCTGATACGGTCTAACCTCAACGCGACCGACCGAGCCATGGTATGGGCAGCTATTTGCCTGGGCTTCTTTGCGTGTCTCCGGGCAAGTGAGTACACTTCCACAACCGCCACGACCATGTCAGACGGTGGCCTCCGAACAGAAGACCTCTCCATCACGCCGCAGGCAATACAGGTCACAATCAAGAAGTCCAAGACCGACCAACTCGGCAAGGGTCACTCCGTCCGGCTCACAACCACCAACTCAACGGTTTGCCCGGTCAAAGCCATGCATACCTATCTATCAAGACGCCCCAACCTGCCCAATAGACCACTGTTCGTTGACAGCTGTGGCAAGTTCCTAACTGCACCAAGACTCACCCGTCTAATCCGTCAGCTACTGAGCAGCGCAGGGTACCCACCTATCCAGTATTCACTGCACGGCCTCAGAGCCGGAGCCGCAACCACAGGAGCAATGAGCGGCTTCACCGAATCCGAGATCATGAAACTCGGCAGATGGCGAAGTGCCTGCTACAAGAACTATGTACGCTGTGGAAAGTAACTGTTCGCCGTCCGCAGGCGCGCAAGCGCGCACAGCCACACCCACATACACGCACCCGCAGACACATACACACGCACGCACACACACCCACGCATGCACACACACATGCATGCACGCGTACACGCACCCACAGTCTGACACCGCACAAGCATGCATGCAGGTACACACGCTGCGCGCACGCTGGTACGCCCATTCGCGGACGTATGCACTCACGTTCTAGCACTGACTGTGCACGCACGCCTCTGATACTTATGATAAGTTATCTGCACCACTCTGTTGCTGTGCTATAGCTCCCACCTAGCGGTGTGGGACACCCCATGCTATGGCGGTGTGGGACACCCCAGACCATGGCGGTGTGGGACACCCCATGCCATGGCGGTGTGGGACACCCCATGCCATGGCGGTGTGGGACACCCCATGCCATGGCGGTGTGGGACACCCCATGTGTGCACGCACGCTCCGACTACATGCGATTCAAACCCTTCTCGGTGTCACTAAGGGAAAACAAACATGCGAAGGGCACGCATTTGAACTACGTACATGTAGCTGAAGCGCTTGAATACCACACTAAGGTCATTCGGCTGACCAACGCGGAATTTGGGGGCATTCGGCGGCTTGGTCTGATTCCTAGCTTGTTGGTAACCGGCTTGAGGTTTCCAAGGTTGCTATGACAACGTGCAGTCATGCGCAGGGCCACCCAACATGCGTTGGGGGCCCAGGAAAGACAGAAACGCGTTGCTAGGCAACAGCAAAAGCGCTCAGCGAGTATCACGCTACTCATGCAGCACGCACGCTGGCTTAGGGTATCACGCTACCCTTGCGCTGCGGGGTACCACATTGCCCCTCGCTGGAATCAGACCCGCGCCCCGGATACCTTGCGCTGGCCTCCTGACGGCCAAACTCAACCAACTTGCGCGCTGTGACTGGGGTTGTGCATGCCTTAGCAACATAATGTGGCCCAGGTCGGCAGACTTTCAATTAGCCAAGCGAGCTACTCAGGCCAGGGCGCATGATCACTATTCGCAGCACTTATCGTCCATGCAGCAGTCGGGTTAAAATCGGTTGTGGCGACAAACGCGATTAGGCCGGCTGCAGGGACGCCGTAATGTCGCACTCGCCCCAGCACCATTCAAACAGTTCCCTTTGGCAGTTCACGGCACGAACTTCAACAAAGCCCCGTGAATGCGTACTAGGGGAAGGCTAGACAGCATGTCTCTAGACATCAATAGGCATCGTATGAAAAGCCAGTCAATAGCACTAAAGAGCGAAAGCCTTTGTCACGGTTCGGTTTCACTCGCGCACCGGGCCCGAGCTGCCAGCGCAAACAAATGCCGGGCGCGAGCTGGCAGCACGAACAAACACCGTACTCACACGAGACCGCTGGGCCAACGGATGGCCACAGCCATCAAAAACAGGAACAAACCCATCCACGGCTCTTTCTCTTGCTAGCTGTGCTGCTGCGTGCATCCAACTGTTTTGCAATTTCTCCCTCCCACCCACGCCTCTTGATCTGTCCTAGCTCACTATTCTGGACAAATATTAATTCAATTGCAATGAAGCGCCGGGGGCCGGCGGGGGCATTCGGCGGCTTCGTCTGATTCCTAGCTTGTTGGTAACCGGCTTGAGGTTTCCAAGGTTGCTATGACAACGTGCAGTCATGCGCAGGGCCACCCAACATGCGTTGGGGGCCCAGGAAAGACAGAAACGCGTTGCTAGGCAACAGCAAAAGCGCTCAGCGAGTATCACGCTACTCATGCAGCACGCACGCTGGCTTAGGGTATCACGCTACCCTTGCGCTGCGGGGTACCACATTGCCCCTCGCTGGAATCAGACCCGCGCCCCGGATACCTTGCGCTGGCCTCCTGACGGCCAAACTCAACCAACTTGCGCGCTGTGACTGGGGTTGTGCATGCCTTAGCAACATAATGTGGCCCAGGTCGGCAGACTTTCAATTAGCCAAGCGAGCTACTCAGGCCAGGGCGCATGATCACTATTCGCAGCACTTATCGTCCATGCAGCAGTCGGGTTAAATCGACCGCTTGTATCGACCACTTAGGGGCCATCCGGCATTATCGATAATTTTCACGGAACGAAAAAGTTTAGTTATGACCCTCCCCCACCCACCCACCCCCTTCAACGAAAAATATAGACTTGACAGCTAAAATTGATTGATGTTTCAGCTATCAATAATTTTCAAAACGAAACTCTCCTCAACCCACCCACCCATATACGAAACATTTTCTCTTCGTGAAAAAGATCGATAATTACGGACGGCCCCTTAGGCATTGTAATCTTTCGACTTTGGAGGGACTTAGAATTTTTCTCTCCACTTCAAAAAGAAAAATTGAAAGAAAGAAGACAAAGGAACAGAACAAGCAGGATTCGAACTCACAACAGTATGATTAAGAACCTCAAGCAACCCCTTATACCACCCAGCCACTGTGCTGCAGATGCTGAACCCTGTTGTTCTTACAGTCTTGTACCCAAAATAGGCAACATCATATGTACACTATAGTACAAATGCTATACTAAAAAGGTTACAATAGCTCCTAAAGGTTCAAATTTTGGGGTTATGGCAAGGGAATCGTGATAAATAGGATATTGACCTCGACTTCGGTCTATATGGGAAATATAGGCCTCGTAAAAGACCTCGGCGGACCTCGGTCTTTTACTCGGCCTATATTTCCCATATAGACCTCGTCTTGGTCAATATCCTATACATAGTACAGTGCGTATCGGTTATAGCGTGGTCGTGTAAAAGAATATACTGCTTTAATACAAGAATCAACTCTTATGTTTTCATAATCATAACATGGGTTTCAAGTGCACATTTATTCTTACAAACAATTTTATCGTACAGTAGAATATATCGGTCCTAAGAATGGACTTTGTGTAGCGAAACATGCCAGATTAGTACAAAGTATATCGCCTGTAGTAATAACTTCCGTCCAATGCAGTTCCGCTCTGACTCGCGTTGGGTCGTAGTGCTGCAGGTTCAACTGTTGTGGTCATGTAACTCATGTTGCATAGTCACATGGTTTGCCTATGATTGTGACTATGACCAGCCGTATGCACAGTAGTAGCACTACATTGCATGTGCGATGATCTTCCTGCCCGTAAAAGAGGATCTGCCCGAAGAGGCTTTAGTATAATCTAAAAATCTTCCTGCTTCTGCGCACATGCACATGGTATGTCACACTTGATTTATTGTGCGTAAGAAATATCGGAAATAAGAATAAAAAGTCGTTTTTTCAAACACCCACGCTATAACCGATACGTACTGTAGAAGGACTGGGTCTGAGGGGATCCAGAGGATTTCCTTCGGATATTAGAGAGGTTCCGCATAACGTAATTACGTTAGTAAAAAACGTAGTCGATCTACGGAAAGTCTCTACGTAAACTGCATGCGCATCTGGGTTCCGCCATACGGAGTTTTCAAATCACGTAGCTGCCCTTGGCAACTCCGAACGCGGCAGTGTACGACCAGATCGACCTGGGGAGAGAGTCATAAATTTGTACCCCAATCCACTTACGGACCAGCTACGTTATCAGAGCCCTATCTACGTACTCTCCGTAGACAACTTTCCGTAAGTGGAGTGCAAACTCGCGAATTCACGGGTTTTTCCCGCCCACTAACGTAAAGTAGCTCAACTTTACGTAGTGCGGAACCTCTCTAATAGTTCCCCTCGTTTGAGGGGATTATGGCTCAATAATCCCCTCAAACGAGGGGACATCCGTACATAACCTAAAAAGGGTGGTCTATTGGACGATAGCCGATTACAGATTGGGAATCCAGAAACTGTTCGCGGTACAAAACGGGGTCGAGATGAGCTGAGTAGTCGTCTGTCAGACTGAGCATGGTAGCTTACTTTACAGTGCATCCTGCACTCTCCTTATTCTCGTCCAGGCAACCCACACTCCCAACCTATGCGCATGAGTCGTTGTGAAAGGATTGCATGCGACATTTTCCCAGACCCCTTTCCTCCAAGAGCTCCTTTCAACCCAAGACGTTCAGTCTTCGTTCGCACAAAATCGGAAAGAAGACATGATCATGCGCTGCTCTTTCTTTTATGATTTTTTTAGACTTTGCACGGGTTATGATTTTTGCTGCCTATACCGGCACTGAAAGTCACATTGTCGACCAGCATTACGTTAGTCCCCGGTTGACTCACATGCGATACGCACCTACACCGCCAATAATGGACATTACAACCATCAAGTACATTACCTTCTTCGGACGATGAGTTCCTCCTACGGATGAGATAGAGGAGAAGTGCTCCGCACACAACACAGACGACACTGCTCGAACCAATGACAGAATACAGTGTCATTTTGTTCTTGCTGCTGACAAACGATCCGTCGTCTGTGCTTTCAACGGGCGAATTGGGCGATGGAATATCATCTGGAGGAGCCGCAGTACAGACACACATGTGCAGAGTGCACACACACACACACATACACACATACACACACACACATACATACACATACACATACACACACACACACACACACGGAAACACATGCATGCACTCCTCCCCCCCCCCCCCCCCTCCCACGCACACATACACACACACACACACACACACGTACACGCACACGCACGCACACACACACACACACACACACACACACACACACACACACACACATGGACATACACCCACATACACACGCGCGTGAGCATACACATCAGTTGTTTAACGAACTGTAGCTCAAAGGAGTTCTTGTCACTAGTCAGCAAATCCAGCACGCCACATCACTTTGTGCATGCTGTTACAAAAGGGCATTCTATCAGCAGAAATAATCCCGATAGTCGTGCGATCTTCACATGCAACAGAAACGACAAAAGCGGCGAGCACCCCATTCTCGCCAGCCTGCTCCTTGGTGTGTGTGCGCGCGTGTGTGTGTGTGTGTGTGTGTGTGTGTGTGTGTGTGTGTGTGTGTGTGTGTGTGTGAGAGAGAGAGTGTGAGAGAGAAAGAGAGAGAGAAAGAGAGAGAGAGAAAGAGAGAGAGAACAAGATATTCAGACAACTGGCACGAACCTGTTGGCGACGCCGTGTCCTGGAGTTCGGGAATGAACGCGGCACCTGTTCGATGAACGTTCCCGGTATTGTCCAAGATGCGATACTGGTACGTGTTACCAGGGGAAAGTCCCGTCAGGTCGTACTTCGGTCGAGAGCTAGGAAGGTGTACATGTGTCTGCCAAGGACCATACGTTCCATTTGCGTCTTGCTGACGGACTTGCACGTGCCAGCTAGTAACGCCGGGTACTGAGTCCGGCAGGAGAATTGGAACTACAGGAGTAGTTCCTATACTCATGCAAAAGAAACACACATAGACACATGCACACACATAGACACATAGACACACACACACACACACACACACACACACACACACACACACACACACACACACACACACACAGACACATGCACACACACACACATACACATACACAAGAAAACAACAAGGGTTACAGGACTTGCAAGATTTGTTCGTCCGAGACCCGTAGCTTCTGCGGCAGCACTGGACTGGACACGACTTCATTTTCAAAGCCGTACATTGCAGTAGCTGTTGTTATGGTACCCTTGGAAGCCAACTCTCCAAGGATCCTTGGAATCAGAACTGTGGCTGGAGTATGGACCCCTGGTATTCCACCTTGACCCATTGGCTACATGATATGTATTGTTCTGCAGCTACTGCTTTCGACAGCCTCAGTCAGGTCTTTGTACAGCTGCGAGAGAGCTAATGGGGTGCGAGTCAAGCGGCTTGGCCAAGGCTGTCACACAATGCCTGGCATGCCAATAGGGCAATAACGCTTTTTTTCTCCAGCCAGAGATGTTTCTCTAGTGTACTTCAGAAGTAGTCACCCAACCGGGTAGTAATACCACCCAATGGGGTACCAACATCACCCATAGTTGCTGGACCTCTCCTGGCATCAGCCACCATCAGTGTACATCTCTCAGTGCCATTTCACACACAATCCAGTAATTTTCCCCGTTTGTGTCTTTCCCTCAAACCAGTGAATATCCAGTAATTGTCAAATTACTGGATGGCGCAAACAATTCAAGAAAAATGAAGCTGTGCGAGGTGTCCTTCAAAATTTTGAAACATGGGTTATTTCACGAATCCCCCCTCTCAGCAAACACCCTATCTTGTGATACCAGGCAATCAGTTCTCAATGCGTAGCTCTACATGTCCACAAATCGACATTTTCTATGCACTTCTGAAGCAAACACGTGCCGCATCCGCTTAGCCAGCCATGCTCCTTTTGAGGTACTGGTAATAATATTGCCAAAATACAGACAGCGTTTCTCTACTTCTTTAAAAAAAAGTGTCTGATGTATCTCCCTTTCCCCTTTTCATGAAAATGGTTCTTACCAGAAGGAGTTGCTTCAAATTGGAGAACGTCGCGGGGTGTACCGTCTCCAGTCTCCTTCACGATAATCTCATAGTTTTGTCCTGCCATCACTCCTCCCAGAACAAAACGGGGTATAGTCGATGGGACTCGAGCTATCTGCTCAAAATCGTCAGTCGAGCCTGCCAGTCGAACAAATACTGTGAAGAACTTTGAATCGTTTCCAGCTGGTGGGAAGTCGATGAGAATGCTTGCACTCTCTGGGATCTCGTCCATTGCTAAACAGGGCACACCCACATGAACATACACCCCCCCCCCCCACACACACGCATACGTACACACACGCATACATACACACACACACACACACACACACACACACACACACACACACAGCAACAACAGCAGCACATAAAAACACACAGAGACAGATCCAGTAGGCACACTTACTCTTCTCTCCATGAAGATGACCATGGGGAATATGTACCGGTATCTCATCCCCTGACACCCCCCCTCCCCCAAACAACAACAACAACAACAACAACAACAACAACAACAACAACAACAACAACAACAACAACAACAACAACAACAACAACAACAACAACAACAACAACAACAGCAGCAACAATATTGTCAAGCATAGTGCCTATGTCATGACCCGGACTCGACTCGTCGTGAAAGCGACCACGCAATGAGATTCAGCAGCCAAAAGCTGGGCTCCGAAATATTCTAGAGTTCTGTAAGAACCATGATTAGTCCTACGAAGGATTTGGCACTTTCGTTAGTTGAGCAATCATGGCTTACAACTCGTGGCCTCGAGTCACAAGTGTTGTCGTACGGCGGCTACACCTTCAGTACAAGTCGTCAGCATTGTACTCACTACACTGTTGAGCTTGAGGGGACCCTGCTTAGTCCTGCAAGGGAGCTGATACCTTTGTTAGTCGAGCAAGCAAGGCCCCTCTTCTCGCGTCGTACGACGTAAAGGGTCCTGCAAGTGCTTCGCGCACTGCGGACTCCGTTATCCCATTTTGGGAGAGGTCACGGCTTGACCGTGAAGCGCCCTACGCGGTAATGAGAGGGAAGAGCCTACGGGGCAGAAGGTGAAGGGTGACCCAATCAAGACACCGTACGAAGGCGGCGCGCTCTAGCTGCAGCAACATCCGACAGCGTACTCCAGGCTCCGTCGCACGATCGACGTACGAATAACCTCGGACATCACTCATATTTGTAACTCTATCATGTAATGTGGGTGAGCGAGCTCCCCAAAGCTATACTAATATTTCCTACTAATTATTATATCACAATTATACTATAACCAAAATCACATAAAAGCCGCCTTCTTCCAACTAATAAAAGTATCTTTGATCGCTCCCCTTCAACCTTCGACTACCTTGTGTGAGCCGGAAAACAGGTGAGCTACTTATCTGCTTGAGTCAACTATATTGGTTGACGACCTGGTGCCACTAGATGGATCACCGGCCCGGACATTTGGTGTTGTGACCAGGATCAAGCGATAATGCTATAACACTGTTATGTGGGTCTCCTTCTTGAACAGTGTTGAGAATGGCTGACGGACAGCAACAGCGTGGCGCACCCGAGGCGCGACTGCCGCGACATGCTGCGCATCAACAAGAACTGATCGTTGCATTGCAGGCAGGTGCCTCAGCACTGAAGGCCCTGCGCCAGTACTCGCATGCTCAGAAGCTCCGGGCTATCGCTGGCGGACTGACGTCCCTATTAATGGCCCTGAAGAAATTCTCGGCCGCAATTGAAGAGGGCCCTCCCCCGAAACGACCAAGATTCGCAACGGCGGCAACGCCTCGAAATCGTGCGCATGACGCCGCCGTCACTGCAGCCCGAGACGCCGCCAAGGCTGAACGTGAACGCCTGACGGCAACGACCGACGCGGCCGTCGACGACGCCGCCAGCTTGGCCTCGGCCGAAGCCGAGATATTGTCGTAACTAACTAAGTGTTAGTTACTTGAAGATGGCCCTTGAGGCGAACTTGAACAAACTTGTGTTTCGTGTGTCAAAGCATGAGGGTTGATATTGGACTAGTGGTATAAACTAGTTCCAAGGACTGCATGTACAAGGTAGTCAAACGAGGACGCACCCCAGCATGCTGCGTAGCTCCACACCCCTGGGCTCTTGAGTCAAGAATGGGAGAATCAGACCAATTGGGATGTCCAATTGCCTGCAATGCTAATGGCATACCGCGCCACCGAGCAAGCCAGCACTGGCTTTACGCCAGCGTATCTACTTTTTGGTAGAGAGTTGTGTTTACCACAAGATGTAGCCTATGGGTTACCCCCATCTGTGATGGCAAGCAGTAATGAACCGACTTACGTAAAATCTTTGCGTGAGCGGTTGGCTAATGTACACACTGTGGTGCGTGACCGGCTACGAGCCGTACATCAGCATCAAGCCCACCTCCACGATAGTGGAGCGGTACGGGTGTTGTTTGAGGTCGGCGACCTAGTCCGGCTACTAGTCCCAGCCATACCGGTTGGAACTAGTGCAAAGCTAGCTAAGCTATGGAAGGGCCCGTTCACTGTAGTGACACGGTTGTCTAATGTGGTGTACCGTATTCAGGACACGGTTGTCTAATGTGGTGTACCGTATTCAGGACACCACCTCTGTTGCACAGAAGCTTCAAGTTGTTCATGTAAATCGCTTGAAGAAATGTCGAGTGCGGCCTAGTCGACTGCTACCCCCGGTAGTGGAAACCTTAGCCGAACCGATCAACCAAACGGTTGACCCACAAACTGACCAGTCTCAGGAGACTGCAGCGTACGTACCGGACGCAACTGATGTGCTGTACTCGGACGACGAAATTGATACTCGTACTGAGAGTTACGGTGGGGAGGTCCCTCTGTTAGAGCCACCTCCCGTACCCATGCCTATACCCGCAGAGGTACCCCACGTATTGGCACGGCCAGTACGGAACAGGCGGTTACCGCCACGACTCGCCGACTTCCAAGTTGGGTAACATCACGGGGACGTGATTCTTGAGAGGCCGGGGAATTGTCATGACCCGGACTCGACTCGTCGTGAAAGCGACCACGCAATGAGATTCAGCAGCCAAAAGCTGGGCTCCGAAATATTCTAGAGTTCTGTAAGAACCATGATTAGTCCTACGAAGGATTTGGCACTTTCGTTAGTTGAGCAATCATGGCTTACAACTCGTGGCCTCGAGTCACAAGTGTTGTCGTACGGCGGCTACACCTTCAGTACAAGTCGTCAGCATTGTACTCACTACACTGTTGAGCTTGAGGGGACCCTGCTTAGTCCTGCAAGGGAGCTGATACCTTTGTTAGTCGAGCAAGCAAGGCCCCTCTTCTCGCGTCGTACGACGTAAAGGGTCCTGCAAGTGCTTCACGCACTGCGGACTCCGTTATCCCTTTTGGGGAGAGGTCACGGCTTGACCGTGAAGCGCCCTACGGGGTAATGCGAGGGAAGAGCTTACGGGGCAGAAGGTGAAGGGTGACCCAATCAAGACACCGTACGAAGGCGGCGCGCTCTAGCTGCAGCAACATCCGACAGCGTACTCCAGGCTCCGTCGCACGATCGACGTACGAATAACCTCGGACATCACTCATATTTGTAACTCTATCATGTAATGTGGGTGAGCGAGCTCCCCAAAGCTATACTAATATTTCCTACTAATTATTATATCACAATTATACTATAACCAAAATCACATAAAAGCCGCCTTCTTCCAACTAATAAAAGTATTTTTGATCGCTCCCCTTCAACCTTCGACTACCTTGTGTGAGCCGGAAAACAGGTGAGCTACTTATCTGCTTGAGTCAACTATATTGGTTGACGACCTGGTGCCACTAGATGGATCACCGGCCCGGACACCTATACCCCCCAACACACACACACACATGTGCACGTGTACAGAACCTGTAGAGAGGACAGGTCGGGTACAGAGGGGAGGGGGAGGGGAAGGGGAAGGTGGTCTGTGGTATTCATACCTTGGGTCTGGAAAGACGTATTCCTAGCCTCTTCACTTCTGCCAAACTCGTTGAGCGTGTGGACATCTACGATGTATGTCGTCTCTGGCACCAGGTTATCAAGAATATGCTTGCCATTGTCATCTGTGATGTTAATCGTAACGTTACTGACACCTTCTCCGTCTTGAAGTTTCACTGCGAACATCAGCTGCGTTGCAGGGTACTCGTCCTTGGCCAGATCCACACGCCAGAAGAGCTGCACGTGATCCGTACCGTTCTCTGAGAGTTGCAGGTCGGTGAGCGGACTGGGTACACCTGCAAATTGACATACACATGTACCATGAGAAGTCTGGTTCACCAATGACTTTACGCACCCGTAGAAATACAATCACCCTCAAACGATGCGGGTGCGGTGCGGAGCTCCTGAACTAAAACAGTGCGAGGGGAGCAGATAACACGCACCACAAAGTGGTCAAAGACCGAAAAATCCCGATAGCCGCATGCAAGAACAAAGGATGTTGATTGGATAGGAAAGGAAAAGCACCAAGGAACTACATGTACAAGTTGCGCTATACTGTACACTAGCACCACTAGTTGCTGGGGTGGATGTTGATGTGTTTCTGGTTTTCTTCCTTACCTGGGATTGTTTTGCCCAGTACTTCAGTGCTATTGCCAGTAGCGTATCCATTGTCAAACGTGATGTTGAATGAGTACCGAGAGTCGTCCTCCAACCCGGTGACCGTCAAATTTCCCGCTGTGTCGCCAGCACCGACGACAACACTGGTGGTGTTTTTCAGCGGTGCGCCTGCTCCGTCATCTGCCAGTTGCTCGTAGGACACGAGAACGTTGCGCAGTGCTCCGTGCTCGGCAGTCCACGTGACAGGTAGCTGCACAGGGCAACAGCATACATTTATGCTCAGATATTGTGCTGATTTGATACTACATTATGTAAGCATTACACCTTTCTGCTATGCACCTTCGTCCAGTGTGATCGGGTTGTGTACGCTCCAAACGAATGTGCATTTTCAGTGCATCAATTAAACTCAGCCACTCACCAATATGCAGTGTCTGCTCCGGAGCCGGGTCAGCCGGGTCAGCGACCCGGTTGGTGGGTGCTTGGACCAGTTTGGAAAAAAGAACACCGGGTCACCTGTGACCCGGTTGGGAAAGCAACATACATCATGGAGCCATAAAATATTTACAACTCCCTGATCCAAGGCTGATGTAAATGCAGTAGCCGCACTTGGACGGACCCGGCTCTGACCCGGCTCTGACCTGGCTCTGACCTGGCTCTGACCTGGCTCTGACCCTGCTCTGACCTGGCTCTGACCTGGCTCTGACCCGGCTCTGACCCGGCTCTGACCCGGCTCTGACCCGCTTGCAATGGTTGTGCCAGGTACACATGTACCCTGTTGGTTTGACATCCTAGAGCAGACACTGATAGGGTCAGTTTTTTGCATAGTGCGATAGATACCCTTTCAAGGCTCATGACATAACGAGTTCAGTTGCGAAAAAAGATGCTGTATACTAGTACATAGACGGCTTATTCACAGCAGAAATCCAAAATGCAACCCTACCTGCCAATGAAGGGTGATCGAAGTTACTCCTGCTGACGTCACAACACCCTCGGGTGCCACCGGATCTGGAGGAGAGCAAGCGCACAGGAAAGCACTTTTAAGTAGACAGCTAACGTACTGTCAGCACAGCAGTGGCAACGACAATAACACAACACGGCACATTGTCATACCAGAAGAGAATATTGTAAGCCACTGTATCATATAAGAGCATGGGCAGCTCCAGCTAGGCCAGTAACTTAGACAACACACACACACACACACACACACACACACACACACACACACACACACACACACACACACACACACACACACACACACACACACACACAACACACACACACAACACACACACAACACACACACACACACACAACACACACACACAATACATAACTATCTTAGTTTCCATCTTCAATAGTTGCGCTGGTGGGTAATGATACAACAGGCATCTGGGGTATGAAAAGCTCCCCCTGGCTCAAGCCCCCCCGGCTCACAGTCTCCCACTCGCAGAATCCTTACCACGTGGCAATGTACGCGTAGCGGCGGTCTCCTCGCTATATTCACTGTAGCCCAGTGATGTCATCGCTCGCATGCGCAAGTGATATTCAGTCCACGGCCTGAGTCCAGTGACAGTGCTGGAGAGGGTCTGAACAGCAAAGGAGGCCAGCGTCCAAGTGCTGCCATTGCCATGCGGCCTCACCTCTACCGCGTACCCTTCGATGGCGATGCTGCCGGGGTACTGAGGCATGAGCCAGCTGATTCTCAGCGAGCTGGTGGTGATCTGCGTGCTGTCCACTGGCTCCAGTACTGGTGCTGCAGGCGGATCTACAAGAGCACAAACACCAAACCAAACCAGACCAGACCAAACCAGGTTTGCATCCTAATCAACGGTGCTTGTTCCTGCACACATTTCGCAAGCGGACAACTGTACATCTACTATTAGTCACAGCACCATTAATTTTTCAACAACAACATCCTCTTATTGTCAACAACAACAACAACAACAACAACAACAACAACAACAACAACAACAACAACAACAACAACAACAACAACAACAACAGCAGCAGCAGCAGCAGCAGCAGCAGCAGCAGCATCAACTGAGAAAGAAAAGATTTCAAACTGTCCTGACCGGATGCAGAACTACCCAATCACTACTTATCCCCGACCACGGTCTGTGCTCCAAAGTAAAAAGTTTGCCCATCTCCATTGCCACTGGCTATACACTGTACAATTGGTTTCAACTCGGGTACTGAGCCAGTAATAAATGGAAAAAGAGAAGAAACAGATGAGAGCGAGCTAAGCATCAACTATCCGCGATTGTAACAAGCTGATAAACAGTCAGAAAGTGCGATAATAGGGCACAAACCTGGCAAGTTGGAAGGCTGTTGGTTTGCGCACTGGAAATGTGTCAGAGCTAGGTCTCGGGTCGCTGAATGTCTCAGTAGCCTGTCAGTTTTGTGCCCTACTATCGCACTTTCTGACTGTTTATCATCTTGTTACAATTGTGGATAGTTGCTGCATAACTCGTTCTCATGTGATTCGTCGCTTTTTTATAATTGGTTTCAGAAACCATTTTAGAATATTGACTGGAACAAGAAACAGTATCTGGGCACGGAAACTGGGGAGGTATGAGACAGCTCAAACAGTAAATTATAACAATTTTACGAGGACCAGTAACGATGTAGAGACGCACGCATGACCCAGCCTTAACTTGCCTGCAAGCGTCACCCGCACATCTTTCATCCTCACAACCCCGCCAGCTTGCGGGGCGTGCAGTTCGCACCGGTAGAGCCCCTCCCGTCCAGCCGTCATATTAAACCTCAGTGTGAGCTCGCCGAAACTGCCACGAACACATCAAAGGAAACAACCGAAGAAAGATCACACACACACACACACCAACAGAGAAGCACACATTTCATTAATGCAGCCATCGTATAACACACACACCAACAGAGAAGCACACATTTCATTAATGCAGCCATCGTATAACACACAAACCAACAGAGAAGCACACATTTCATTAATGCAGCCATCGTATAACACACACACACCAACAGAGAAGCACACATTTCATTAATGCAGCCATCGTATAACACACACACCAACAGAGAAGCACACATTTCATTAATGCAGCCATCGTATAACACACACACCAACAGAGAAGCACACATTTCATTAATGCAGCCATCGTATAACACACACACCAACAGAGAAGCACACATTTCATTAATGCAGCCATCGTATAACACACACACACCAACAGAGAAGCACACATTTCATTAATGCAGCCATCGTATAACACACACACCAACAGAGAAGCACACATTTCATTAATGCAGCCATCGTATAACACACACACCAACAGAGAAGCACACATTTCATTAATGCAGCCATCGTATAACACACACACCAACAGAGAAGCACACATTTCATTAATGCAGCCATCGTATAACACACACACCAACAGAGAAGCACACATTTCATTAATGCAGCCATCGTATAACACACACACCAACAGAGAAGCACACATTTCATTAATGCAGCCATCGTATAACACACACACCAACAGAGAAGCACACATTTCATTAATGCAGCCATCGTATAACACACACACCAACAGAGAAGCACACATTTCATTAATGCAGCCATCGTATAACACACACACCAACAGAGAAGCACACATTTCATTAATGCAGCCATCGTATAACACACAAACCACCAGAGAAGCACACATTTCATTAATGCAGCCATCGTATAACACACAAACCAACAGAGAAGCACACATTTCATTAATGCAGCCATCGTATAACACACACACCAACAGAGAAGTACACATTTCATTAATGCAGCCATCGTATAACACACACACCAACAGAGAAGCACACATTTCATTAATGCAGCCATCGTATAACACACACACACCAACAGAGAAGCACACATTTCGTTAATGCAGCCATCGTATAACACACACACCAACAGAGAAGCACACATTTCGTTAATGCAGCCATCGTATAACACACACACCAACAGAGAAGCACACATTTCGTTAATGCAGCCATCGTATAACACACACACCAACAGAGAAGCACACATTTCGTTAATGCAGCCATCGTATAACACACACACCAACAGAGAAGCACACATTTCGTTAATGCAGCCATCGTATAACACACACACCAACAGAGAAGCACACATTTCGTTAATGCAGCCATCGTATAACACACACACCAACAGAGAAGCACACATTTCATTAATGCAGCCATCGTATAACACACACACCAACAGAGAAGCACACATTTCATTAATGCAGCCATCGTATAACACACACCAGTATAAACAGTGCCTTAAATAGCGTACAGTATCGTACTCTAGCACAGGGATTCGGTTCGACACACAGTGGTTTTGTGAAGGGTGCCAGGCCGCGGGAGCCAAAGCGAAAATGCAGTGCGACTCCACGTCAGCGTCAAGTGCAGGGGTTTGCCGCTGCGTCCAGCTTCAAACTTGCAGTAGTGTGACCGAGGCCTAAGATGCCCCAAGCTAGGTAAGTTTAGAACTCCTAACCACGCCCGCCCGCTACCGCTACTGCTTAACGTGAGTGACACCGAAACGTTAGGGCACCAGTTTGGGATGCATGGACTAAAAGCAGATGCTCAGTACTGCAAGCTACTACTCACGTGTTGTTCCTCTGCCAGTCGATATGGTTGGTAGGCGAAGCACTGAGAGCAGAGCCGTCATGCATCCACGCCACGCTGACCGGCACCGTCGTGTGATACGCACAGGCCAGCGTTACAAGTCTGGCGTTTCCTTGGACAATCTCCGACGGCAGATTGGTAGCGAACACAGGCAATGCAGCTGCACAAAGTAGAACGAAACATAGTAGATGAGTACATAGCTCGGTGAATGGGTAGCCGGTTCAGTGCAATACAGATGTACATGTAAACTACGCACACATCCGTACATATACACATACTGGCAATCAATGTACTTGCTCACTGCCAGAAACTGGTCACTGGTCACGTGAATCTCTTCCAGGGGAAAATGACTCAGCTAGCTATTGAAGCGCTCAGCGGCCTACAGAGCCCAGCCGCCGAACTCTATGTTGTCCTGCAAACGTTACCCTACATATTAGCGGTGTGATGGGCAGTCGGGTACCCATGCTGCCCGTGAGGACCTCGGGTAGACGGGTACAGAATAGTACCCAAGAACCTGACGTCGCAGATGGCATCATGTACAGTGCGTGTGAACAAGTTCATGCAATACTCCGCATGGCTACCAATTTTCAAGGGAAGGGGTGCATTGTGGTGTTACCATGGAGAGATTACCCGATCGGGTACCCGTGCTACCGGTGGAAAACTACCCGAACCCGATACCCGAAGAAAAAGCTACCCGACTCAGACCTACTATAATTATACAAACGCGTTCACCACAACGTAAAACGTGGCTGGGGACAAGGTGCAGAACAGGATTGATGGTGTCATGCTCTCTGTTCCCGGTTCCCAACTGCATTTGCCCATCCCAGTGAAGGTAACACCTCGTACATGTACATGTACATGTACTAGCGTGGATTCCTAATTCGGAGTGGATCTGATGGGCTTCACTAGCACCCTTGATTACCCATCAGCTGATCTAGCCAGACGTAGTCCATTGATCAACAAGTACATGTGCATCATGTATACTACAAATAGGAAGTACAGTAAAACCTGTAACTAAAGACTGGCACCGTGACTAGCGACCAGCCTGGTACTACCGACCACTTCACCAGGCACGGACGGTCTCACGTTCAAAATGCACTGTGACTAGCGACTACCTGCTGAACGCGACCAGCGACCGCCTTTTCTTGTCCCAAAGACAACTTTGGACCCGTAACTAGCGACCGCGATGTAGGAAATCAAATGTTGCTCGAAGCTCCTTCTTGAAATTTTGCTGATTTTCCCAAGGTCCTGAAAGGAATCTTTCGATACTACAGCTGAACAAATGAACGCAGGTCATTTTGACTGTGCAGTCGGTGTGGACTGCACTGCACCTGTCAAAGTTTCAAGCCCTGTGAAGAATAAACATGATAGGAAACGTCTTGGAGAGCGCATCGGACGCGCTCTCTGATCGATGTTACTACTCGGAGGAGAAACGAAGACTGAGCGGCTCCGTCACCCCAGTCATACAGACGAATCGACGATGGCATCAAGGAATCCATAAACCATGCAGCACCACAAGTTCCTGATGCTGACGGATCGCGTTCATGCAATCGAGAAGTCTGCACAACAAGGACAGTCGGTACGGTTGATTGCATGAACAAATTTGAAGCCCAGTGCAAAACGAAACATACACAGGGCCAGGGAGCGTTTGACTCCTGGCTTCAGAAGTAGCAGCTGAATTTGATGTCTGCAAAATCAAACTCTTCTCTCTCTCTCCCTCTCTCTCTCTCTCTCTCTCTCTCTGACTCTCTCCATCTCTCCGTCTTTCTCTCCAAGTGTTGTTTGACCTAAAATAAGAATGGTATTGCGCAAGTTCTGGGGAATTGTATTGGCTGCATTTTGACATACATATCATCTAATGGGATCCATATATGGTCACGCAGTGCAAACCTCCAACTAAAGACCACCTGGTACTAAAGACCGCTTTTGCTGGAACCAAGGGGTGGTCGGTAGTCACAGGTTTTACTGTATACGAAACCTAAAACAAACACAGGTGATAGTTATAGGTAGACTCCCTCTAATTCGAACCTGAAATTGCCAGGCCCTAAATTCGAATTACCCGGAACTTCTAATTCTCCAAATGCAGTCCCATGTACTGTAAATATACAAATTTTCGGCAGCTATTTAATTTCGGCTATATTCGGCACCGACCCAAAGCGCCTAAAAATTAAAACGCCGATGAAATTTTTGCACTATACCATGCCCTCTACCACACGCCGAAAATAAATCGCCACCGAAATGTCAAAAATCGTGAAGTGCCGAAATTTTGTATATTTACAGTACTGATATGTATGTCAAAATGCTCGAAATTGCGTGCTGATTATTTTTGCACATTGTATCTGCATCAACGAAACATAGGTGGTCACGAACTACGAAATTAGTTCATTTCACCAAAACACTGGATCGACATGAAGTCATTGGACATTATTTTCATCTTCTACAAAGTTCTAGTGACGTGAAGCAGTTTTCAATCGCTGCAGTTGTCCTGAAACGATTTCAACGCAAAAGAACAGCGCTGCTTTTTCTGCGTCATGAAAGCCCTTCGGAGAGCAGCACGTCGTAAGGCATAGACAATTTTTACAACTTCCAGTTGTTGTTCAGTCCCAAACCTCTTTGCGCATGAGCTGGCGCGGCATGACAAGCCATTGAGATCCGCGAAGGGAACCAACCACCTGGAAGAAGTCTTCTTCAATCAAATCTTTGCACTTTGCCTTGCACGGGCTTGGATCAAATTTCGAGAGAAGGTAGGTGAAGAAGTCTTCTTCAATCAAATCTTTGCACTTTGCCTTGCACGGGCTTGGATCAAATTTCGAGAGAAGGTAGGTTTCTTCAACGCTATTGTCGATCCTGGAGCGGACCAGGGATCAATTTTTGAGTTACTCTCGGTAGAGAAGGAGAAAAAATGAACTTCGAATTACGAGTAGAGCAACTCCATCTCACTTCGAAATAAGCGCTCGAAGGACATAGTCATTGTACTGTAAACTGCTCTTCTGTACGAAGGCAGAGTTCGAATTATCCAGCGGGCGCACTTTTCGTACTTCGAATTATGCATTCGAATTTGACTTGAAGTGACTTGCAGAATATTGGTACGACGAAAAAGTTCGAATTGCACGGAATGTTCGAATTATACCGTATTCGAATTAGAGGGAGTCTACCTGTACAAGAACACCACTTTAAGTAGCCGAGCTCAATAGCATAGCCATAAATACTACTAACAACACAACGCGCTCACTCAAAACACATACACATGCATTCGCACAAATACATCATGGACAGCCGGTATTATCCATACCTTGTGTGCGGAAGGACTGTTGCTTCGCCTCGCTGCTTCTTCCAAACGCATTGACCGCATATACTCTGACGGTGTATGCTGTCTGCATTGTCAGGTTATCCAGAATTTCTTCACCGCTACTACCTGTAATGTCGATAGTGACATTCCTGACATCTGCTCCATCTTGTCCTCCAAGCCTCAATGCATACACCAGCTGTGTTGCAGGATACCCATCCCTGGTCAGATCCACACGCCAGAATAGCTTCACGCTATCCGTACCATTTTCCGTGAGTTGCAGGTCAGTGAGTGGACTGGGTGGACCTGCACATGAGCATAGTTACAATGATCAAACCTGTCACTTACACCATCCCTTTTCTATAGGCAATTTGACTTTCCACACACATCTCCCAAGGTGCATATTCGGTTCTACACACCACAAGAAGTAGGTGAGGACACGGTGCAGAAAATGTAATGAAAGCGTCAAGGAATCTGTAACGAAATTCAATTTGATTATCAACTACACACCTTGTCGAATACCGGTAATGGTTCTTGTCTTGTAGAGTTTGATACCAGATGTCATTATACAGTCTAGCGTACGTGTTAGTATGGTGATGTGTGATGCGTATGATAAGAGTATGCGTTGTCAGAGTGTGAGAACCTGCTCCCGTCTGTGTGAAAGTGATTGCCAGGTGAGTGTCGTGCATGCATAGTGCTAGTTTGGTCCGGGAGCGCGAGTGATGAGTGATTTGTCTGTGGTCTGGTTGTCTTGGTCATGTGTTTTTGTACGTATTGGTCCCTGATTGGTCGTCGCGATTCGTCTGCAATTTTATTTCTGCTTGTTCTTTGAGGTCCCTTCATCTTTTCTTTGGTCTTTCTTTGGCAGTCGTGCCAGGCCACGAGTTCCCAATTAACTGTGGGTCGCAACACGGCTGGAAAAATCCTTCCGCTGCCAAGCAGGACTTGAACCTGGTACCCTCTGTTTCTCAATCATGGTCTTAGACCATCCCACTATGCCTGCCTGTCGCGCTATAGTACTGTCTTTATTATCAGTATTGCTCTCAAATCTAGGCTACCTGTCATACTCCGGATATACCTTGAATTACAAAACGTCGCTCAACAAAGGGGTGTGCGCATTATACTCAGGTGCGCAATATACTCCAGCAAATACATCTGCATCCGAATCAAACTGCATCTGCCCATCTCAGTGAAGGTAACGACTGGTATTAGTGTGGTTGCTAATTCGGAATGGATCTGATGGGCTTCACTAGCACCATTGATTACCCATCAGCTAATCTAGCCAGAGGTAGTCCATTGATCAACAAGTACATGTACATGTACACTACAAATAGGAAGTATACAAAACCTAAAACACACACAGGTGCTAGTTAGAAGAACACCGAGCTGAGCCGAGCTCAATAGCAACAGACTCAACCACCATTTGGCAGAAATGTACCCAACAACGCAACTTGCTCGCTTTAACACATACACATTCAAATTCATATACTGTAAAACTGGAAAGTCTAATGAGTCACAAAGTCTAACGTTTAAACGACCAATTTTTTCCGTTATTTGAAGAAACATTATCGTGAACCCGGTCTGAGATGCCTGTGTAAACATGAGCATAGAGATGGGTGGCCAGGTGGCCATCGTTAAACTTTCTGCACGTTATCATGCAAAAATTACAAAAACGTTTTGGTCGTTTAACTTTCCGATTTTACAGTACGCATACCCCCACCACACACACACACATTTGTACTGTCTGAAACCTTCTTAGTCACCTAGAAAGGCTGGCAACAGGATTTTTTTTAACTGGCAGGGAGTACTAGCCATGGCTACATCCACAAATAGTAGGTCCAAACGCATCATGAGCAGTATCCATACCTTGTGTGTGGAAGGACTGTTGCTTCGCCTCGCTGCTTCTTCCAATCGCATTGACCGCATATACTCTGACGGTGTATGCTGTCTGCGGCATCAGGGGACTAAGATTGCTTTCCCCGCTACTACCTGTAATGCCAGTAGTGAAACTCCGGACCTCTGCTCCATTTTGTCCTCCAAGTTTCAATACAAACAGCAGATGTGTTGCAGGATACACGTCCATGGTCAGATTCAGTTGCCAGAAGAGCGTCACTTTCGTCGTACCATTTCTCGTGAGTTGTAGGTCAGTGAGTGGACTGGGTGGACCTGGACACGGGCATAGATACAATAATAAAACATGTCACTTGTCAGCATCCCTTTTCTATAGGCAATGTTGCTTTCTGCACAGATCATGTCTATTTGTGCACCACACCGCAACAAGTCGGTGAGGACAAGGTGCAGACAATGATTGACGGCGTCAAGGTATCAGCACCGAGATCCAACTGTATTTTCCCGTCCCAGTGAAGCCAACAACTGGTACTGGCCTGGGTTGCTAAATCGGAGTGGGGCTGGTAGGCTTTACTAGAATTATTGGAGCTCTCTCTCTCTCTCTCTCTCCCTCCCTCCCCCTCCCTCTCTCCCTCCCTCTCTCCCTCCCTCCCTCTCTCCCTCCCTCCCTCTCTCCCTCCCTCTCTCCCTCCCTCCCTCTCTCCCTCCCTCCCTCCCTCTCCCTCCCTCCCTCCCTCTCTCCTCCTCTCTCTCTCTCTCTCTCTCTCTCTCTCTCTCTCTCTCTCTCTCTCTCTCTCTCTCTCTCTCTCTCTCTCTCTCTCTCTCTCTCTCTCTCTCTCTCTCTCTCTCTCTCTCTCTCTCTCTCTCTCTCTCTCTCTCTCTCTCTCTCTCTCTCTCTCTCTCTCTCTCTCTCTCTCTCTCTCTCTCTCTCTCTCTCTCTCTCTCTCTCTCTCTCTCTCTCTCTCTCTCTCTCTCCTCTCCCTCTCTCCCTCTCTCTCTCCCTCTCCCTCTCTCTCTCCTCTCCTCTCTCTCTCTCTCCCTCTCTCTCTCTCCCTCTCTCTCTCTCCCTCTCTCTCCCTCCCTCTCTCCCTCCCTCTCTCCCTCCCTCTCTCCCTCATGGACAGCCGGTATTCTTCATACCTTGTGTGTGGAAGGACAGTTGCTTCACCTCGCTGCTTCTCCCAAACGCATTGACGGCATATACTCTGACGGTGTACGCTGTCAGCAATTTCAGGCTATCCAGAGTTTCTTCACCACTACTGCCTGTAATGTCAATAGTGACACTCCTGATATCTGCTCCACCTTGTCCTCCAAGTTTCAATACAAACATCAGCTGTGTTGCAGGATACATATCCGAGGTCAGATTCACACGCCAGAAGAGCTTCACGCTATCCGTACCATTTCTCGTGAGTTGTAGGTCAGTGGGTGGACTGGGTGGACCTGGACACGGGCATAGATACAATAATAAAACATGTCACTTGTCAGCATCCCTTTTCTAAACGGGCTAGTTGACTATTTAATAATATTATACAGATCTCTTAGCCCTTTGTGTACGGTGTGACATGACTCGACCGTATATGAAGAGTTATGATCGATTCCTGAAACCTCCGTAACTCCATCATTTCCTGTGCAAATTCAACAAACAGAGGGTTTATGTGCCCCCCCCCCCTCCCGCCCACACATATAATTATACATTTGTACTGTTTGAAACCTTCTTAGTCATCCAGAAAGGCTCCAAACAGAATTTAAAAACCTGACAGGGAGGACAAGTCATGGGCATACACCCTAAGAGGTCCAAATACATCAGGGACAGCCGGCAGTGTCCATACCTTGGGTGTGGAAGGACTGTTGCTTCGCCTCGCTGCTTCTTCCAAACGAATTGACCGCATATGCTCTGACGGTGTATGCTGTCAGCAGTTTCAGGCTATCCAGAGTTTCTTCACCACTACTACCCGTAATGTCAAGAGTGAAATTTCTGACATCTGCTCCATCTTGTCCTCCAAGTTTCAATACAAACATCAGCTGTGTTGCAGGAAACCCATCTGTCATATCCACACGCCAGAATAGGCTCACGGTATCCGTGCCGTTTCTCGTGAGTTGCAGGTCAGTGAGTGGACTGGGTGGACCTGTGCATGGGCATAGATAGATAGATAGATAGATAGATAGGTAGATAGATACAGTGATAAAACATGTCACTTGTCAGCATCCCCTTTCTATTGAGGAGACTTGGCTCTCCACACAGATGCATATGTTGGACCCGAAGATAGCCTACCTGTGAAGATAGTGGTTTCTTATTACAGTAGCGGCACAGGATAGGATATCTTACTGACATGAGCAGGGGAAAGCCACACAGTAGCCAAAAAAGCATGCATGTACTCATAATCTTATACGATTCTCTGGTACAAACACATTGCCCTTGCACAAGGGCAGGGCGCTTTACCTAAATTTGCACAAATGGCACCAGCTATGATTGAAGATATTATTGTTGGTGTAGCAAGCAAGAGAAAGACTCAGGAGAAAGAGAGAGAAAGAGAGAAAAAGAAAGAGAGAGACAGAGAAAAAGAAAGAGAGAAATAGAGACAGAGACAGAGACAGAGACAGAGACAGAGACAGAGACAGAGACAGAGACAGAGACAGAGACAGAGACAGAGAGAGAGAGAGAGAGAGAGAGAGAGAGAGAGAGAGAGAGAGAGAGAGAGAGAGAGAGAGAGAGAGAGAGAGAGAGAGAGAGAGAGAGAGAGAGAGACTGGAGATCACAGACAAATCATAAAATGGAGCTATTCTCATCTGTTTAGATCATTCCTTCCTTCAGTCACTCTCAACAGATACTTCTTGAAACATGCCGTGGAGCAGGACCTTCCTTGTGAATGGCCGGCAAGCCCTCTGTGTGAACTAGTTTGGAATGTCGACTATATCGGGTAACTATGTGGTTGGTCACTAGATTGATCTGCGACAAATGCATTTGGTGCTGAAACCTGAACAACATGTACAGTCGTGTTTTTAAATGTTTAATACAGGGGGAAGTTCACACCCATACAAAGTCTATCTCTCTGACGTCATAAATCCGGCCTAGTCTGGTCAAGTTAACGACGTCATCATGATGTCACCAAATTTAGTGAACACTTCGAGGCGGTATAACACCGGAACGGCTGCTCAGATCAACCTGGGACCTCCACCATTGGAATTAGTGCATTTTTCGCTACAGGTTGAGAGGTTTTCATTTTAGGGTGAACTTTCCCTTTAATTTAATCCAGTACTTTACAAACCAGCACCCGCTATAAGCCAGCATAATGTTCAGCAACCAAAATGTCCTTTTCATGTGCATAGCAGCAGTAAATACGATTTTTTTTCTAATCCAGCACCCTCCCTAATACCCAAGTAAAATAATAAATACTACTGCTGCTGCTGCTGCTGCTGCTGCTGCTGCTGCTGCTGCTGCTGCTGCTACTACTACTACTACTACTACTACTCCAGCAGATTTTCCATAGCAGAAATGGACTACTAAAGGAACTACTATAATATCTGAACGCACATGCCTGTCTACAAAGAAACGTGATAAAAAAGTATTCGTAAGAGATGATTGGAAGTGCATTTATGGATTTTAGTTAAGAGACATTCACATCTATACGAATGGGTTATTCCTACCATGGGTGTGGAAAGACAGCTCTCTGGCAACTTCACTCTCTCCAAACGTGTTGACCGTGTAGACACTGACAATGTATGCTGTCTGCGGTACCAGGTTATCAAGAGTTTGTTCACCACTGTTCTCTGTAATATTAGTTGTGATATTCCTGACATCTGCTCCACTTTCGAGTTTCAAAGAGAACATCAGCCGTGTTGCGGGATACTCGTCACTAGTCAAGTTCACATGCCAGAACAGCTTCACTCTGTCCGTACCGTTCTCTGAGAGCCGCAGTTCCGTGAGGGGACTGGGTGTACCTGCGCGAGGGAAAAATAGAAACGATGAAAACCGTGAGAAGTAGACAGCCAGCAGCGCAAGTCACAGTCTATGTGTCCAGGTTGTCTTTACATACAGATCTAAACGGGCATTGCTTGTTGTCTGAGATGAGAAGTGCATGTGAAGACAGGCGGTCGAATTCTTGAAGTGGTTGCGGCTTTAAAAAACAAATACAGGTCCCTTGTTTACTGCACAAATTGTGCGATGCAGCACATGGCGTCCTAGCATTCTGTGTATATGCTCGTGGTGCGATCCAGTTCACGAGCACTACGAGAGACCGCGTGCAATGGTTTGTAAAAGTATGGTCTTAATTAATCTTCGTGAATTACACCTGCATGATTGAACGGCCATGCCACAGTTCTAGTCAGTGAAGTTCAACATCAGGAATACAGCAGAAACTCATTCAGGCCACGAGATCAAACTATACGAGTCAGAGCGCGCTAAAACATGACCACAGCTCTTGTGGAAAAAGTCGAGAAAACCACGATTAGAATTCCGCGGCAAAAATTACGAAGTGGAGTGTGACATGAGTTGCTGTTCTTGCTCTCCTTGGGCGACTGGACTGTTCTGGATGCACTTCTTTGTTGCGAGTAAGTTTATTTGTTTGAGTTTGTTTTCCATGTTGCGCTGAGTCGCATCAAACGGATCGCCATCGATGTATCGAAGGAAGAGCTTAAGGTACTGTAGAGCGGAAGAAGATGACATCCTCACGCTCCGTGCGCAGGATGAAATATCTTGTGGATTCCCATCGGAACCAGAAGTAAGACGATGATGGCTACAGTGATGAGTCATTAGAGGGCAACACTTTCATCGAGCATAATATAATTGATGCTGGCAGTCCTACGATCTGCAGTGACGAGGAGTTCTACTCTGATAACCTGGCAAGCGATTGGCATCGCCACTGACTTGGGAGGTGAGTCGGCCGATGATATGACCAGAGTGCACATCGCTGCACATATCCGCGACAATGCCAGTAGTGGTTGCAAGTGAAAAACACAATCACTGGACTCCGCTGCTCCCTCAAGTCGATGATTTGAGTGCCCTTATGCGGAACATCGCTAACGAGAGCAGTAGGCAGTGAAAGCAGTACTCCCTGGTGAGCGGAGCAAGCCGCGTGCAGTTGGGCTTTGGTGTGGGGAATATGAGTGCGACGTACAGTATGTTGAGGAAGACTGTGTGCCGCAGTGCATATCTGAAAGTACAGGTGGATTGTGATGGAGAGGACGTGTACCAACTTCTTCGTACGTCTACAGTTGTTGACCGCGTTTTCACTGACGGTTCTCCAGTGGTGCTCCAACCAGGACGTATTTCAGACACCCAGCTCAGCTGCCTATAGAAACTTCAGATGTGGCCGAATACCGGTCAGCTCATGCTACAAGACCCTGGACAGAGGAACTGACCCGGAAAGGATGAACCAAGGGACATATCAATTGTATACAAAAATGACAATCCCATTGCTGTACATAGAATTCCACAATTGCAACAGTGCTGCATATAATACCACTGTAGCAGCATTTATATACATGTCAGATCAATCCAAAACTTTCAGGCAGTGAACATTAAGAGTATGTTCGATCAGTTTTGAACTCGAATTTTTTGATCTGTGGTCATATTTTAGCGTGCTCTGGTCATATAAAGACACCACAGGCCATATCTACAATTACAATGTACAGCCATGCACTGCCTGTACATACACTGCGGCTCATTGGACTTGCATACAAACTATGGCCGACATGACACGAAGCATAACCCCACAAGGAAAAGGTAGTGACCCCGGCAGTCTCATTGAGCAATTGTTGCCGGTCAGGGCGTTGTTGTTGGCCGAAACGCATATGGCATGATCTGGTGACAGTGGCTTCAATATCGCTGACAGATGTCATTCCTACCTCGTGTTCGGATAACCTGCTCCTTGGCCTCTGCGCTTAATCCAAAGTTGTTAGCCGCGTAGACACGGACAATGTATGCCGTCTGTGACATCAGGTTCCTTAGAACGTGCTCGCCACTGGTCCCTGTGATGGGTATCACTTCATTCCTGACATCTACTCCACCTGCGAGGCTCAACAAGAATATGAGCCGTGTTGCGGGATACGCATCTCTGGTCACGCTCCACAGCAGCTTCACCTTATCCATGCCATTCTCTAGAAGTTGCAGATTCGCGAGTGCACTGGGTGGACCTGGGCATGGGTATGGATGTAGAAAAACAAAATGATAAAACCTGTCACTTTCCAACATACCCATTGTACACAACACGTACACAGCTGGTCTTCAACAACAACAACAACAACAACAACAACAACAACAACAACAACAAGCAATGATGCTATACAAGCTAACAAAGATCAGCTTATATACGGGGTGTGCTCCGTCAATAATCTGATAATTCTCCCGCCAACTGCAAGGCGGTAATTGCAGTGCAACATGAAGAACAGCAGCTAAGATGCTAACGGCAGCAATGGACACCGTGAAGAAACAGCACCAGCAAAGGTGTGGGTGATAATGCAAGTGCCCAGGAGAGCTGTCACTTCAGCCTGGCTGGGGCTACTGCCAGCTTTCTCCAACGTCCTGTATTTCACACGTCAACGCTACACCTCACAACTACCCAATGAGCCAATGGGAGAGCGTGGCTACACCATAACACGCTGCGGATGGCGTCAGGATTACAGTCCATTCATTGGAAACTGGCACCCTAACTTTTTGGTGTCTCTGTCACATAGTTGTAGATATCGTGAAAACAACAGTACATCCTGCATTGTGTGACCCGTGCAATTACTCCTTGCCACATTTGAGGCCAGAAAAGTCCAAGAACAGGGAAATAGAAATTCAGCCAGGTTTTACAAAATTAGGACAGGTATGCCATGGCAAAATGTATGGAGAAGCAAATCCAAAACCCAGATTTTTGAGATTTAAAGTGGGTTTTTGATCCTCAATTCGGCCCAAATCCGACTTTCAAAAGCCAGCTGGCCAGTTTCCGATGAATGGACTGTAGGTTAGAATGCCAAGTGCAATTCCCAATGTTCAATTCCAAGTAGGTGTGACTTGTCCACTAGAAGGTCCCGTCTGGCGCTGGTGCTGGCTTGCAAGCCAGTGTCCTGGGTCTCAAATTGTCTCGCGCGATTTTTTTGCGACAGGCCCCATCACCCAGTTTAGCACCTACCGGCACTGTAGCAAAGGCACTTTGTCCATACACAGGAGAGTAATGGCATTATATAAACCTTGCATTGTAGAAACGCGCTTTTAATTTGAAAGCATTATTACAAGGTGGTGGAACACCGTGTTCGGAAACTGTGTGCCTTACTACAACCATCCACGGTTGGTAGATGGTCGCAAGACCGGGACTCTCCCAGCCGTGGATGGTTGCAGTAAGGCACACGGTTTCCGAACACGGTGTTCCACCGCCTTGTAATAATGCTTTCAAACTAAAAACAGGAGAGTAATGTGTGGGTGTCCAGTGCAGTAGAAACCAACCGAGGGCTTGGCTTTTGTTCTCTTCTCTACTTGCTTCACCGCTTAGGAGCTGCATCTGCGCCTTGATCCATAGAGGGTCGTGGCGTTCCTGCGAGGCCGAGTCTCACGCCAACCGTGACTTTCTTTGCTTCACCATATTGTGTTCCTCCAGGCGTGTCTCCAGGAACGGCCCCGGTTCCATCAACGTACTACTGAGGACAACGGCCTTTGGGTTTTACCATGCAATATTCTGCTGTGTGTGTACCCTGCAACGATTCAAAGCCTAGTGTGTAACAGGGCAGCACATGCTCTGTGCAAACTAGTTTGGTACTGTGAGCCACCTAATACTCTTTGTCAGTAAATTAGAACTAGAATGGTTTACTCACTGGGTTTGAGGGAAAGACACAAACGGGAAAAGTCTGAAGAAAAAATCGACTGTCACCACCAGGACTCGAACCAGGGACCCTCGCTTGTAGCTAGCGATGCTCTAATAACCACTGAGCTATGGTGTAGTCGTCATCCCAGCAGAGACTGTTCAACATTTTCTTCAGACTTGAAAGGTTTACGATGGCGAATGTTTGCAGTGGGGGGGGGGGGGGGGTTAGGGCGGTGTTCGCATTACCCCCCCCCCCCCCCACACACACACACTAGAAAAAGAAAACAAAAAAGATGGAAATAATATCATTGGTACAAATCTTTCCTACCTTCTGTAATGAAAGACTGTTCTCTTGCCATTTCACTTCTTCCAAACTCATTGATCGCGTAAACGTGGACATTATACGCCGTCTGTGGTTTCAGGTTCTCTAGAATTTGCGAACTGGTTTCTGCTGTTACATCAACAGTGACATTCTTGACACCTGCTCCACCTTGTCCTCCAAGTTGCAAAGAGAACATCACCTGTGTTGCGGGATACTTTTCTCCGATCAGATTCACATGCCAGAACAGCTCCACTCTATTTGTGCCATTCTCAATGAGTCGCAGTTCCGTGAGTGGACTCGGCACACCTGGGCATGGCAATAATCACAGTGCAACATCTCATTACACGTAGGGTGCCTTTCAACAAAATTGAAAAGGAATGTCTTTTCAATGTTTTCACGCTCCATGAAGTGGGTTTTAAAAGCATGAGACAGTTTGGGTCTCTGAGTTGTGGACTTGAACCCCATGTTGGATGTCCCAGCCATTATACGACCTCAATGAAATAAAGTATCTTTTCCTTCAACCCGCTTCTGAATGCTCGTCTGAGAAGCGAAACTGGTTCACTAAAGTGAGAATGATGATCAGCTTGACTGTTTGACTACACAGTGAAACCTGTCTAAACCAACGGCTCAAGGGATCTTACAAATGTGGTCCCCGTGTACAGGTGGTCTCCTTATCCAGGGTCATTAGGCTGGAAATTACATCCCTTGGTCCTGGCTGTTGTGGTCCTGTTGGACAGGTGGTCGCCTTATCAGAGTGGTCCCTTGGACGGGTTTTGCTATAGTTGTTGACTGCCTGGCGGTCGCTGGTTTAATCAACGGCTAACAACGCACGCGTACATCACATGCACACACACAGTAGATACTCTGACGCCGCACCCAATAACCATGCACGACGTCACTAACCGACTATTGAAACGAAAGTGGAATGTTTCACCATTTTTTTCTCCAAACAGAAGCACTACACTACTGCTGGGCGCCGATGAACGAACAGGCTAGAATTTCACCAAGCACAGCATACCAATGTACACACGGTGACTCAACTGTGCATAGACTGCAATACAGTCAACTTCGCTAATAACGACTGCGGATCTAATGACGATTCGCGAATAACGACAGAATTTCCATGCCCAGAGCAAAGTCACGTCCAACTGTAATACATAATAATGAGACTTCGGGTATAACGACACTTCGCGAATAAGGACACTTTTTTGATGCCCCGCCGAGTGTCGTTATACGCGAAGTTGACTGTACATGAAAATAAGAACGGTCTAGGCTAGGAGGCTGACCTCACAGTTCTACACTACTGTACACTGAAGTAGGTGAGCCTAAGAACTACCTCCGATACAGAGTGCCATACACACTGTGTTCCCCAGGTGTACACTGAAGTAGGTGAGCCTAAGAACTACCTCCGATACAGAGTGCCATACACACTGTGTTCCCCAGGATGTGGTGGGGGGGGGGGGGGGGGATCATAGCTGAGCTCTGGGGAAGGTTGGCGTTCTACATGCATTCCGTGCGTCATGACTTCATTGGCCATGTGCAGTGTTGCTGGTGATGCATGCACCTCTTACCATTTTCAGTCCGGACTGTCTGCTGGCTGGTGAAGTTGCGTGCGGGCCCATACTCGTTATTCGCGCGCACTCTTATGCTGATGGAGGAATTGTGCTGAAGGGCGTCAAGGTTATATTGGTGCAATCCCGGGCTTGCTGTAACATTGACCTCTTCCACTTGCATCAGACCGTTTGTCTGCCATTGGATCGAATAGAACGTGATGGGTACGAGCGGGTTGCTGTCGGACAGGTTCCAAGTGATGAGCACCGACCGTGCTCCCGGGGATGCCACCCGCAGCTGCATCTCCGGTGGATACTCTGCGCACAGAAAGTGGAGCGTCGCATGATAGTTTTCTCACAACATAGAACAGTGGTGTACAAAGTCAGAGGGGGGGGGGGGGGTGTAGGGGATGCAGGGTTGACATCCGGCAGATCTTGTGCATGCTTGCACGTGTGAGTGCAGAGCATACATAATATAGAACTATGTATCGCACTCGCACTTGTCTCGGGCTGTGCATGCAATGATGTACTGGACCAACCCAGGCACTAGTAACACAGGTAGTAGACGGCGTGTGTGCAGTGTGCACCCGGCATAAACCAGGGTCACCAGTGAAACCTCCCAGCAAGTCGAGAAGGCCATATGGGAGTGATCATTGCTGGGCCTTTTGAGTTTAGCATTGTTGTACAGTCGTCCCTCTCTAATCCGGCACCTTTTGCTACGGCATTTTCTGCTGGATTAACGAGGGTGCTGGATTAAGAAATCCTGCTCTCTGACCCGGCCCTACCCAATTGCATGCATGTATCATACGTCAAAACGCAGGGTTTTTCCGTGTCGACCCCAGTAATTGGTGCACGGCTTTATATTCTCAACTTTTCTCCAGGAATATACACAGTGATAAAGTAAAACAGAGAACATGTTCACATGTATACGTACTCTTGCACACACACGCACAGTCGATTTACGACTGCCGGATTATGAAATCAAACTAAGTGCAGTTTGAGCGATTCGTTTCAAAAAGTCACTGCCGGAGGCGGAATTCAAGTGCCGGATTAAGATGTAGGAATTGAACGAAAAAAATCGGTTTCGTCAGAAAGTGCGTCGGTTGGCAAGGGTTCCGGATAAACAAGTGCCGGATTAGAGAGGGACGACTGTAGTTGTTAACGGATCATAGCTGTTCTCAAGAAAGAACTACTGGACCAATTCACAAGCATCACGTTCTTGACTAACCCCAGCATGGACATGCCGGTGTCAGTAGAGAATGGCTGCTCACCATGAAACAATAGGTTCAGTTACAGTGTCAACAGGCAGCTGAAACTACATGTGCATCTCTAGGCACATCAAACCCAACCTCGCTATAGTTTAACCTCGCTATAGTTTTGTGGGTCGCCTGTGCTCGATTGTACTCACGGAAATCGAGCGTGGTGATGCCATCTGATGGTGGGGAATGATAGTATCTGCCTGCAGTGTCCTCGACCGTAAGTCGAAAGCGGTAGGTGGTGAGAGTATTGAAGCCAGTAAGAACCATTGTGTGGTTCGCAGCCTGTAACGGTATGGCTGGTGTTGGACTGTCAACGGGGATCCAGGTGCTGCTTTCGCTGCCCACCTCAATATATTGCAGCATTACGTCAGTAAGGCCGGTAGAGCTCTCATTGAAACCCGTCCATATCACCTGAATCTTCTCATGGCTGAGTGCAGTTGTTTTCAGCAAAACACCGCTGACCGCCGCTACAAATGTGTGTGTGTGTGTGCCAACAAAGACAACAGCGATAATGAGTATTAATGACGACAAGAATTGAAAGGACAACAGCAGCAGCAGCAGCAGCAGCAGCAGCAGCAGCAGCAACACCACAACACCAACACCAACAGCAGCACCACCAACAACAGAAACATGAAACGGCAGAGATGTCAATGATTTCATGTAGACAACATATACGTAAGCACCCAGTGAGCATTGCCATTGGCAAAATCACCATTCATACACTCCAACAATCTCTCAGTAGAATAGAGTGAGCAGATCTGGACATGATAAGCGGCTTGGAATGATAATGATCTACACATGAATGACTGCGTGAAAGGAAGTCAGTGAGGAGAGGTGTGAGAGAGTAGGCGGGAGGATGCACGTTGGCACGTACTCCTGTGTGTGTGTGTGTGTGTGTGTGTGTGTGTGTGTGTGTGTGTGTGTGTGTGCGTGTGCGTGTGTGTGTGTGTGTTTCTCACGGGTCTCCGATCGAACGCGGCACAAGTGCACCACTCAGAGACGGCTTCCCATCCGGCTCCAGCGTGGATCAGTGCAGTGCCAGAACTGGCAGAGGTGGTTCCGCAGCAAGGGTGGCTACTCTGTTCATCGATGCCAGCCTGTCACGAGTTCTCCTACACCAACAGCCAGTCTGTCTGTGCCACTTTCAGCTTGTTGCCAGCAGCACTGCCCAACATGTCAGCGATGCTTCCGTTCTGCGGCCGGGTTCAAGCGTCACAACTGCAATCGTGGTGCGAGACCATCTGCTGCTGAGAGAGCAGCTCTGCCCCTCAGCTGCCCACATTGTAAACGCAATTTCCGCCAGCAGCAGGACCTAGCCAGACATTCGCGGTCCTGCCTGTGATCCGACTCCCGTTTTCTGGTCCCCTTTTCATAGGGGTGACACTTGCCCATCTGGGCAGTCATGCTGCTAGTAGTAGTAGTAGTGTGTGTGTGTGTGCGTGTGTGTGTGTGTATGTGTGTGTGTGTGTGTGTGCATGTGTGTGAGTGTGCACGTGTGTGTGTGTGTGTGTGTGTGTGTGTGTGTGTGTGTGTGTGTGTGTGTGTATGTGTCTGCGGCACGCACGCGAATGTGCATGTGTGCGTGTATGTGCATGTAGAATTTGGCTTTGGCCATTCCAACAAAGGAGATAAACATGGCATGCTAGATGTGGCTAAATTCACAGTGCATTTAAAAGCTAAGGCAGTGACATGCCTGGGAGGGGTTTTGCCCAGACCTGTCTTGGAGGGATTCCGCCCAAATGTATCCCAGTGAGCGAGAGTTAAGACTGCAGATAGCGGTGGCAGCTGCACAAGCCTGCTATGCAACAAGCGCGCTGCAGTCACCAGCTGGTGTCCAATTGATAGTACTTACGGTGGTCGAATGTGGTGACGATATTCGACCTAGAGGGTTCTAGGTTCTTGCCTCTGCTGTTCCAGGCGATAAGTCGAAAGCGATAGGCAGTTGCCGGTAGCAACCCGGTCAAGACCATACTGTGGTTGGTAACAAGCGGTATCGCGCTGTCCGTTGAGAAAGATAACCAGGGCTGGCCGGAGTTACTGATAATCCTGTACTTCAGCGTGAGCGAAGTGAGGCTGTCACCGCCATCGTCCAAGCCAGCCCATGTGATGCGGATCGTTGTGGGGCCGAGTGCGGTCGCGTTGAACGTCGTAGCATTGCCAGGCTCTGCGAGTGGCAGACATCGAATGCAACAAAACAAATGGACAACAGCGGTGATTAGAGACTCTGTGCAAGCTAAATTGGAATGTTTGATTGCTGTATACTGGTTGGTTAATAACGTTGATAATTCGGTCGCGGCACCAGAAAAGTTGTCCCAGAGTTGCTGGGAAGCTGTCGGAGAAAAGCGTACATTTTTGCCTGGACAGAGAAAGTAATTATCCTGCTCACAGGCAGGTATCGCACAACAAATTACAGCACGCTCAGTGCTAAATTCGAGGCCAAAAAGAAAATGATTGACATTCCTGCTTTCGTCTCTTACGGGTGATATCTGTGCGGCCTAGCACTTCCAAGCTTCTGCTCAGGGTAAATCCATTGTCAAAGGCGATGCTGAATGCGTACTGGGAGCCCTTCTTCAATCCAGATACTCTAACATCTCCCATAGTATCTCCAGCACCAACAGAAACATTCTCTTGTAGTAGCATGCCTGTTGCGCCACTCGTCTGCCGTTTGTAGGACACCAGAATGCGCGTCAGTACACCATGCTGGTCAGTCCACCTGCTCGCTAACTGCACAGAGCAACAGCACGCACGCACACCCACACGCACACCCACAGGGACACACATGTGAACAATACGACTTTGCGAACTCCCAAGCAAATAAAATTACACCCGAGGAGTCGTATTGGGCTACAGTTGAAAGTCCTCAACTCCTCATAGCATCCAAGAACAATGAACAGCATAGTTGAGCCATTCAGGTACGGAATAGAGTCCATGCAAGAGTCATATAAGATACTTCCTAGCAAATGCAAGAGTCATACATTTGCCAGTTCTTTGCAGAGCTGTGACCACTGAAAATAGGTATTTTTCATATGGTAACGACTCTACTGCAGGGGAGGCACGGCATAGGTGGATTTGGAGAGCACTGCAGTTGACATACTATACGTGCACAGTGCACACATATACACATGCATGTGATCGCTCTGCACGTCTTGACATCACCCCTGTGTGCCGTGGGGTGAGCCGTGAAGTCGAGGGTAGCTATTTCCGCGTCATCGTCCAAAATGCTGTGTTACCCGTCCACACTGACTGTAATGAGTCGCATCCGTTCTTGTTCAGCAAAGTTTTGACATCAACCTCTGCATTCCGTTTTGCTCCTTCACCAAGCAACATGTTCAATAGGTTGCCCGTCGCTTGTTTGTTCTCAGAGTCACTTAATTGTGTGACAAACATCCTTCGTTTGATGTCTAATTATGGCAAGCGACACTTGGCATAAGGGACTACGCCATGCAGTGTGCAGCCCTGCATACGTAGTACATGTGTTACATACAGCTTTTATCTGTCTGATGACAGAACTGACACTCATCACAGTCAACGTTCACAAGAAAGGTTCACAAAGGTGCTGGCAAAATGAATGGGGACTGGATGCCAATACTCCTTATGTGTACCATGTTTGTGAACTGGGTGTATCTACGCTGCGTCCTTTCGACCTGTTTGGGATGCATACGGCTCTAGTGTACAAATTAGGTGCAGTGCATTACATCATTGATGTCCATTTGAGGAGCTATTTCCTATGGCAAGTGTCGGGTTTTGCTTGCCACAACTGTACCAGTACATGATAGCACACTACAAAAGAACTGAGCGTGTGTCAAGGTGATTCGAGTGCAGTGCAGTGCACCAACACCCAACAGTGCTCTACTGTAAAAGCAGAAAATTTCAGTGGTGTAATATTTTTGGTATTCTCCAAAATCGGCGGTTCGGTGGAGGGAAATTTTTGGTAAAACCCAGTTTAAAGGTAAGTGCACATGTATACAGTACCGGCAGTACCGAAATTTCCGGTGCGTTTTATTTTCGGTGAAAATTGTCGGCACCCAAGTAACCGAAAATAAAACACCACCGAAATTTTCTGCTTTTACAGTACCTTCCAATGCAGGATGATTGAAGTTGGGTCAGCTGATATCGTCACGTTCTCCGGCGCCTCCGAGTCTGGAAGAGAGCAAGCACAACATGGAAGCACTTTTAACACAGACGTCAAACCTGCCAATAATAATAAAGGCAATAACAGTGTAAAACAGCAATGAAAAATATCAATTGTGCACTCATAACCATGTATAAACAATTAAAATGAAACAATTCCAACGGTTATGAGTGCACAATTGATATTTTTCATTGCTGTTTTACGACTGTTGTCTCCTCGTCGGTTATTTAAATGCAATAACAGTGGTGCGTTTTTTCAGCCAACTTAGGAATGAAACCGAAATAGCTATATTTCTTTATTGAGAATGACGTCGCAAGCTGTGGTGAGGTGCTGGCGCTGGTGTGGCACGCTTCAGCCTCTTCTTTTTCTTGCATTGCAAGGTTCCCACGCACCCACCCACCCCCTCCTTCTAGCCGCCCTTCGCTACAGTTGATATTGTAAAGACGTTTTTATTATTCGTCGAATAATACTAATTGGATACCTCTCCACTAAATTACAAGAGAACAACGCTACAACGTTAGAATTGCCGCTAAATTATCGCAAGTGTAGAGAACGAGTCCAATACAAATGAAAACCATGAACAGACTGTCCCGAAGTTATTTTGAGAACAAATTGTACTACATGACTGTACTTGCTGATACTGACGCTGACGGAACACGAATTTGAGTTGAATACTCACGAAGTCTTGTACATGCACATCATTATGGGCCGGTGTTGTGGAGTAAGCAGGTACGTCAGTCACCAATCCAGCTTCAGCTCCACGCTCGCTTCAGCAGAATGTTGCCCGCGTTTGCTTTGCCTCCACACGGATAGACGACCAGCGCAGAGTCCCGCAGCTCCGTGGCCGTAAGGTCTTGATATTCGCCGTTAGCGCCGTCACGGCAAGTCTCAGTCCACCTCTCACACCAAGCCGCCCTATAAAAATCTTTCTCTCTCCATTGGAGTGCTCCCCAGTTTCGTTACATTTTCGTCAGATCTCCTGTGTACCGGTTTTGTGGCACAATGATTATAGCCATTATATTTGGTCGTCTCCATTCTTGTGCAATCATGCATTATGTAGGTTGGTTCTCTTCATGTTATTGTGACCAATTTCATAGATGTTGGTTGCCTTGTTGCTTTCTCTCCCCTCTCCTCTCACCCAAGCCATTCTGCATAAGCGAAGCTGTGGACGCAGCATACTGCTGCTACACTTCAACGCGGGAATGCGTATAATAATAATAATAATAATAATACCTCTCCACCACTGCAACTAGATACTACTGGAAAACATGTAATTTTAGGTGCATTAAAATTTCGGTGCCAGAGACCCGCCAGGTTTCAGGTGTAATTTAGAATTAGGTGACCAGCTTTCCCATCACATACAGTGCATACTCTAGTGCTTTTTAGGTGTAGTTTAAATATAGGTGCCTGTTTTCTCTACCGAAATCACCGAAATTAAAGTTACACCGAAAATTACATGTTGTACAGTAGTATATTCTATATCATTCACGCCGGAACTACTGCTGCATAGCCCCAAGTCTGAAGACTTGGCAACTTCACGCCTGCACCTGACTCTTGCGCTATGATACGCGTCGCCCATGACACCCATCAGAATTTCCCACCTTGCTCTCCCTTATGTTCTGGCTGCCCGTTTTGGATCCATCAGTTGCCTGATGATCGTAGTAACACGTGAAACTCAGAGTTGTAACAAAGCTTCCAAACTCTCTCTTGTGTTTTACAGTATATACAGTCAGAAAGTGCAACAACTACAGTACCGTCGGGTAGCGCCGAAGAACGACCAGGCTAGAATTTTACCAAGCACAGCATACCAATGTATACCCAGGTGACTCAACTGTGCATGGACTGTATACAAGACAACAAGAACGGTCTAGGCTAGGAGTCCATGGTGTCTGGATAAGGGACTCCTTTCGTAACTCAACATTGGCGCCCCAATGTGCATGTGCGGCTCAAACTCACGACCCTGAGATTAAGAGTCTCATGCTCTACCGACTGAGCTAGCCGGACGCTCAAGGAAAAGATTCCGAGGTCTACAAGAGAGTTAGCTATTTGGCTGCTCGCGGAGCCATCCAACGCCATATCACTGACCTTGGACATGACTTCAGTATCGACAAGGACCAAGTCTTCAAGAAGCCCAAACTCGTTCTCAATTCAGTCTTGAAGGAGAAAAAGCGGAGTGGTCTGGAATCCGCGGTTGAACAAAGGGATGCCAAATAATTAGTCGCGCCAACACATAACACTGCACGTACTCTATGCATTCCATAAGTGGTCTGTAATCTTCTTTCTTTATTGCCTGATGAATATTGAGGATCTCCTTTGCATGATCGCAGCCTAGTCTACCCTTTGTGGACATTTGCGTTCTCTCTCTCTCTCTCTCTCTCTCTCTCTCTCTCTCTCTCTTCCTCTCTCCGTCCCTCTCCCTCCCTCCCTCCCCTTGTTGGCTAGCGAGGTGAAATGCTAACGAATTCTGTCTGTCAAAACCGGCGAATGACTGTACGCGTACCAGTACATATCGTTTTGCACATTTTAAATATTCGTTAATATTAGTGGTCTTAGGGGCCATACGCAAACACTGATATTTATTTAGAAACGAATACTAGTCGTTTCTCTTCAACCTCTCCCCCTCCCCAAGAAACGAACACATGCAAACGGTACATAGTGTCAATTTTTTCTTCTTCTTTTTTTCTGGACGTGCCCACACATGCAAACTGTGAATCGATATTTTTCGAGAAACGAACAGGCACTCAAACCCCTCCCCCTAAACAACTAGTTTTCGTTTCTAAAAAATATCGGTATTTACGGATGGCCCCTCAGGGGCCATCGCAGAAGTTTTTCGTCGTCCCTGAAACGAACATCATTCGTGGGTGGGGGGGGGGGGGAGGGTGCGAGCCAAAATTGCAAGTCGACCAGCACTGTACATATGACATGTACATGCATGCGATTTTCATCGTCCAGCATAGCAAGCTGCATTCGTTTCAGAGGGAGGGGAGGGGTCCGAGTACGAAATGAACAATTTTGCGAGAGGCCCCGAATCGCAAACTTTGAACAACGCAAACTTGCGCCATGTAAAGTTCAAAGAAGTATGTATTCAATATGTATGTATTCAATATGTATTCAATCGCAAACATTAAACAGTGCAAACCAGTCTCAATTTGTAAAACGCAAACATTTATTGTCGCAAACGTTACCCGTTTTACAGTATAACGTGTTCTCAATTGCTAGTCGCGTACTAACAAGTCCGTATTCAGAACGGACAGCCATGCATTAATGCAATCAGCACATCACGTCGTGGCTGAGCAATCTGCCGTAGCAAAGGATTTGCCCTCTCAGCCATTTTCCAATTTTACTTAGGAATTTTACGGGTAGCCCCAACGTGTGGTAAACACTACACAGCCACCCAGGGTTTCCACAAACAAGCAACCTTACGTGCAAACTACCTTGGCTCACACACATGCACAAGACTCCCCAGTGAAGCTACAGAACAGGCATATTAGGGAAATATCAGGAGTCACCGAGAAAGAACCGCTCCTGTTCAACGCCATTAATTCCAGACAGCTTACCAAGTGGCAATGTACGTGCAGCAAAAGTTTCGCTATAACCACTGAGTCCCAGTGAGGTGTCCGCGCGTACGCGGAAATGGTATACGGTAAACGGTACCATGTCAGAGAAAATGGTGAACGAGTGTTGTTCAATGGGTAATGCCGTCCAGTTGGCTTGGTTGCGCGGCCTCACCTCCAACAGGTACCCGTTGATCGTGACATTGCTGTACTGCGGCATGCGCCAGCTAATCGTGATAGAGTCGACTGTGACGTCCTGGCTGCCGACTGCGTTGATCACTGGTGCTGTTTGGTAATCTAGAGGGTACGCATCGGACAACACACATCACAACACATACACACCTAGTAGAGTATGCTGGTTACTGATAGCCTGCACGCCATCCTACTTCCGCTGCCTAGCTTAGTCAATGTTATCACATGAGCTGGTTGTCTAGTACCTAGGTGGGGTTAGTGGACATAATAGCGGAACTTGTAGTTCCTTTCTCAAAATGCGAAGACTCCACTGAAGCCATCCACTACATCCATACATCTTCACTCTCCAAACTACATTCCTGAAGATGGGCCTTGCCCGAAAATTCCAATAATGTAATATCTGTACAAAAGAGAAAGACCAAGTTCAAAGACCAAAGACAAAGACAAAGACCAAGTTCCTTGGCCTTTCTCTTTTGTATAAATTTAATATCTCTGTTTCTTTTAGTGATTGGTGTAGCCCAGAGACCGTTTGTAGTTCCTTGGTCCTTTTTCTTTTCTTCCAGAACGAATAGTGATTAGCCTACAACTGTTGGGAACACTGTAATACTGTTCAGATCACTGCCATAGTTCTTATACAAAATAATTGTTGCAAATAAGCAGACCTGAATTGTACCGATGCAGCAATATGTCTGAATAAATAGATCATAATGCTTAACATAACTTCCCAGACCCCCAGGTCACAACAAACGTTCTGGATTCGGAATTGACCACGTTGCTCTGTGCGACGACAAGGCAGCACTGTTAACAAAATAATTCATATCAGTGACTTGTCTTTCCTTGCTGCCTAAACATACGATTGTCTTTGAATAGGCGGAGTGGAGTTTCTCGGACTCAACCCTTCAAACTTTGCTTTTGGGCCAATTTTAACCAAGATAGTGCTAAATTATCAATCCCGTGCACCCATACGGTAGCCGTTACCTTGCAAGAGGACCTGCACGGTGGATTTGCTGATTCCATTGATCTGATTTGTAGGATTTGCGAGTACACACCTGTACAGTCCCTGTCGTTCAGCCGACATGTTGAAGCTCACTGTGACCCGTAGAACACTGCCAGAGGAACATTGCAGCAAACAAAGACCATAACTATATCAACAGAAAAGCAAGCATTCCACCCTTGTCGGGAGGCTTTACAAATTCCACACTCAAAATTTGACAGCTTAAAAGTACAAATTTGAGACTACAAATAACGTTACAGTACAACCTGCCCTAGCCTAGCCCATGGTGCAACAGAAGCTGTCCTGATATGACGGGATTCCGCTTGATCCAGGGATGCAAGTTAGTTCGATCCACAGCACTTTGGTGCATGAAAATGTGTCCGGTCAATACAGGATTTCACTTGGTACAGTGTCCGGCAAACGCAGGTTTTGCTGTAGTCCAAACTTCAATGAGCCGTACTCTTCTTCAAAGCGGAGTTGTGGATGGATTTTTGTGCCTCGTAAAAGTGAAGTCCAGAAACTGTTGCCACAGAACAACTCAAGCTTTCCAAAAAGTCGACGATTGCGAATTTGACCCTAGGGAAACTGGAAACGAAAGCTACCATCAAAATGGGACACGGTGCGTCGCTGGGACTGAAAATCTGCCCTGTATGTTGGTCGGATAAGGGTTAATTCGTGTTACTTTGCCGCACGCTCTCCAGAACAGTCATTTTGTCTTGCCTTTTCAGAGAACCGGCTGTTATTTCTACCTCCTCTGACGGGCGGGGATTTTACTGCTGAGCTTGCGCCTTGACCATTGAAAGTGGTGGCGTTCCTGCGCTTGCGGAAAACTCAATCTCTAGCCGAGTCTCACGTGAACCGTGCTTTTATGTGGCCATATCCACTTTCCCCTCCCTCTCTACCCTCTCACTGGAGGTCGGTATCCTTCTCTCACTCCTCCATTGCTATGACTATCACAAGCTATGACTACCGTAAAGTCGCGGATAAAAGCCGGGCGTATAAGCACATAAGCCGCTTTCTGCATCAGGCTTCAATGCAAACCAGGCTTGTGTGCAAACCATGCTTATATGCACCACTGATATTTTTGCCAGGCTTGTATGCACATCGGCCGATCCGGGCTTGCATAGAAGCCAGGCTTCTACGCGCGACACGCGTAGATCTACCATTGACTACCGGTATGGCGGCAGTTTTACTATGCACTGTACATAGCGCATGCACTCTTGACCTACCCGATCCGCGCTTGCATAGAAGCCAGGCTTCTACGCGCGACAGGCTTATATGCATTCGACCCGTTTGATTTTCAGGCTTCTATCCGCGATGTGCTTGTATGCAAACCCGGCTTTTATCCGCGACTTTACGGTATCACACAAGCTATGACTATCATAAGCTATGACCATCACAAGCTATGACTTGTCTCACAACGAGACCGTGTGGAGTTAGTATTTTGGTGTGCTCTCGACACGTACTAAGGACGCCGGGAGAACATTACAATGACTATCACAAGCTGCGACTATCACAGTGGTCAGCACACCTATGACAGTGTAGGTATACGTGTGTCAGGTGAGCATAGTCTAGCTCCGCAGCTGCCCAGTGGTCCAGTCTCAGTCACTACTGGTCACAGTTCCTGCTCACTGCGGGCCCGCTTGTCTCTATGTGGTATGTGCTCCGTTCAGCCCGAGTCATGGCTGTTGAGTTCAACCGCACGCCGACCCAACTCGTTACGCACTCTGAGTCATAGCTGCTGATCAAAGGCAGGTCAGGCCAACTAACACATGCAAGCTGCTCGTACCCACCCCTGATACGGTAACCAAAGCTTGTTGGAGCCTATGTGTGGAGAGAGAATTAATATGCAGAAAGGCAGTGTCACAAGTTACTTACTTGTCATTCAACTCGTTGTGTAGATCTACACCATCAAAACTGTCCTCAAATACGATAGTTTGAAAACTCTCATTAGCTGCTCTCGTGTACTGCCAAAACAGAGACCAACGCCCAGAGTCATAATACGCAGAACAGTTCAGTGAGACTGGTGCGCCAGGTTCTTTGAAAAACCCTGGTGGTAGCACGTTCAGGAACAGTGCTGAATGCACACAGGGCAAAAAAACAATCTCCTCAGCGTACGCAAAATACAATGCCATGTAGACAGGGGCGAAGTCACTCAAGTAATCAACAGGGGTATTGGAAATAGTACTCAAACCAAGCACACACACATAGACACGCATAGACACACATACACGTGAACATGCATGTACACATGGCAGACATGCATGTACACCCAAACATGCGTGCAGGCACAAGCACACACGAGCACACGTGCACGCATGCATGCATGCACAAACACACGCACGCACACGAGTACACATGTGCACACGTGTGAATGCGCGCACACACACACACATACACACACACACACAAATATGCACACACATACACATACACATCCAGTCATTTCGATGGCGTGGATTCGAATCCCACCGCTGCCACCAATGTTGTAACTGCCTTTCTCTACCTGCTCCCAGTCCCGTGCCATCTCCACACTTATACAATAGGACGACGATAACTACATTAAGAAGACTGTTTATTGACTCGACGACGAAACACTAGACATGACGAACTCGAGACGAAGACATCATGAACTCAAGACGAAGACTGCTTTTCACACCACAGCAACACGCGCATGCACCAACATGACGTACACACGGCGTACACAAAATAACGTACTACAACACACACACACACACACACACACACACACACACACACACACACACACACACACACACACACACACACAAGCGTACACATATGCACGCATGGACGTACACATATGCCCGCATGGACGTACAACAGTGTTACCAAGTGTCCTCTACCCTCATCCGTACTGCCCAGTGCCATTTTGCAGAATTTTTCAGTTTTCCGTACTCATTTTTTCAGGTCAACATCTTGACTAATTTATAGTGTATTTTGGAGAAAAAAACCGATACTGTACAACTTTTCAGCCACAGCCCCTGTGAAGCCTACGAGTTCAGTACAATTTCACAATTTGTTTTGTCCATTTTCTTTAACTTATTTTTGGGTTGTTGTTTGTTTATTTAGAGTCGAAGAACAAACAGGCAAATTTGCCTAATTACATGATCAGTCATGTTGAGAAAAATTCAGTATAATTTTCAACTTCACCAGGTTATCATAGCTTTGGTCTACTTTGCTTGATTTTCACAATCTAGGGCTCGTAGGAAAGCTCTTGGCAGGAGCAACGCCAGGATACCAAACTCCATTATGAAGCCGTCACAAATCAGGCGCGGTGACACAGCAAAGTCGTTTCCAAGCCTCAGTAATATACAAGTCCCATCAACGCCATTCCACTCTCCTTCATTGCAGAACGCTCAAATTTTTTCGAGGTGATTCAAACTTCAGCCCGCTACGTCATTATAATGTGCTCAGCTGATCAGTCGCTCAAAGAGCACGCGAAAAGGGACCCCCCCCCCCCCAATGGCGAAGAGATCGATCAAAATTTGAACTGCCGAGGTAAGAATACCTGAATACGGCGCGCGATATCTCTGGAGTCTGACATCGTAACTCTTCAGCAATTGGTGCATGCATTGGATGGCTTGGAGTTTTCGCTACCACATGGACCCTTCGATTGTTGAATTTGTACAAGAAATGATGGAGTTACGAAGGTTTTAGTAATCGATCATACATGATCGTTTGCGGAATATTCGATTGAAATCCGTACTGCGGACAAAACTTCGTTTTCCCGTAAAAACACAGACAAATACGGGCGGTTGGCAACACTGGTACAAATATGCACACATGGACGTACACATATGCACGCATGGACGTACACATATGCACGCATGGCCGTACACATATTATCCATATAAAAATCGCTCTGTGAGCGGTTCTGAAAAACCTTTACTGGTACTGCCCCGTCGTAAAAGTAAGAAATTAGAACTGGCCCATTGTCCCCCCAAATGCGAACTGATCCACCTAAATCGCGAATGACGGGACCCGAACGCACCAGTAGCACGAGGTCGGGAGGGCACAGGATCACGGCAATTATCATAGGGTATACCAGTATTAGTAGTAGAATTTATTATTTTGATAGGGAAGCCTACCGCTAGTACAGTACATGGCCTATGGTCCGGACCAACGTCCCCATCTGCATCCACAGGTAGGAACCTCGTGCTACTGGTGCGTTCGGGTCCCGTCATTCGCGATTTAGGTGGATCAGTTCGCATTTGGGGGGACAATGGGCCAGTTCTAATTTCTTACTTTTACGACGGGGCAGTACCAGTAAAGGTTTTTCAGAACCGCTCACAGAGCGATTTTTATATGGATAATTTCAGCTCTTTTTCCGTTCCCTCCCCACCCCAACCCCGAAGGTAAACAAATACATGATGACCACGCACGCAATGTACTGTATGTAGCCATGCGACTGCAATAACACACTGATACATACCAGCCCTCCCCGCCTCGCTACCCCGCACACAGATACACAAACATGTGTATGCACACGGCACACACACGTGGCCACGCACACATACGCACATGCACACGACACAAACAGGAAATTCTTCATGTATAATGCCATGCAAAGCAGTGGCCACCGTACTTGAGGAAGTCAGTTGTGAAACAAAAATAATTCAACTACAGCGTGTAGACAAGCTGACGGCCAAAGCACAACATAGCAAACATGACATTTGCCCAAGGATTGCAGTTTGCAGACCATGCCATGGAAGCAGCGAATACAGAATGTAATATCATACAAAGCGACAAGCAAGGACGTGGCCATCATACACCAGAAACTTGCAGAAAGTCACATATCCAACAGATAGAGAAGTGAACAGCAATCTGATACAGCCCACACAGGACAAAGCGGACCTGATACTCGTCCCAGGATCGCAAGTGGCAAACCCTTTTCAATGCATAACATGCAGGTGTACGTTAGACGCATGAACATCTGACCGTGTCGCCAGCATACAATGTCATCACATGTTTACCCCACAAGTTACACACATGCACAGTAGAAGCACAATGAAAGCAATGGAAAAGTACGATGTGGTTGCTGAAGCATCTTCACACTTCAAATTCAGACTTCAATGTGGTCGTCACGGGATGATATACCTGCAAGATACAAGTGATGAAGAAAGAAAGCAGAAGGTCGTGAGGTAGGCTATGAGACACCACAAACGGTTCACCTACATGTCTGTTCAGGGCTAGTGCACCCACACGGAGAATTGTCATAATCGAGCATTTCCCAAACTGAGAAATGCAATGAAATCCACTTGCATGCACAGGAGCAATTTTGCAATAATTATTATGATGCGCAATTCGACACGATCTGCGATGCTGCGTGCGATGTGCCCTGCTGTCATGATAGTGACAGTCACCGCGGTATGTTTTGTCAACGTCGCCCGTGCACTCTTCTGTCAAGTCCAAAGTGCTCACATACTTGGCAATGTTTTTGCAGTGATTAACTTTTATCCTAGTTATGTCACGGGTAACTTTAATGAAGTACCCGCAGGACGTGTCGATCTGCACATCGTCCACTCTCTCATGTACTTGGCCTGCTTTGTCTGTGTATCCATTTCATGTGCGATCCACAAAATCGACTAGACAGTGGGTGCAATACGCTCTCTACCTGAAGACGTTCTTCTGGCGACATCTCGCCATGTACTTGGCCTGGCTTTGTCTGTGTATCCATTTCATGTTCGATCAACAAAATCTCAATGCACTACAGAGACTAGACAGTGGGTGCAATACGCTCTCTATCTGAAGACGTGAACCATTAATTTTTTTTTGGAAAAGTTATACGTACACCTGAAACGTAATGAAGTACAGGAATAGAGAGAGTGACTACAATACGCTCTCGACCTGATACTAGGGAGGTTTAGTTCCCACGTAACGGAAATGCGTACGTGGGTGATCCACGTAAAGTGGATGAAGGGCACCCACGTTGCAATGTTGTGTTTAGTCACACGGAACAAACAAAAGCATGAAGCTAAAGGCCAAAACCTGGTCAAAGACGAAGCTACCCCGGCCTAAGAAGCTCATCCAATATTTTGATTTCGTGCTTCGGAAACTTCTTCAGCTGAGCACCCTCACAGCTCGCACAATGCGCTCCATTCTGATTTTCACCCACGTTCTGGCGGAACGTGGGTGAGCCTCCATACACGGTATGTCGTGAATCAGAAAACGTCTGTACGTGGGTCACTGAGTATCACGTGGTACACACACGTAAAGTACCCACGGATTACGTGGGACTAAACCTCACTAATAGTGATAACGTGAGTACAAGACACTCTCCACCTGATAACGTGTTAGAAGGTAACATGTCTACAGTCCCACCGTACCCTTCCGACACGACTGTAGACCATTACATTTTTTGAGAAGTTGTACGTACACCTTAAACGTAATGAAGTACAGGAATAGAGAGAGTGACTACAATACGCTCTCGACCTGATAACGTGAGTACAAGACACTCTCCACCTGATAACGTGTTAGTAGAAGGTAACAGGTCTACAGTCCCACCGTACCCTTCATCATTCCTCATTCACCATCGCGCGATACCCTGGCACACACTGGCAACATATCAATCGGGTGCCTTACCGTCGTCTAGAGGAGACGTCTTCGCAGCAATATTTTCCCTCCTGCGCATTCAGTCGCCGACGCGACAGCGTTCACGGGGCCGTTCCAGTTGCGGAAGACATTCGATTCATCGGGCCAATTCAGAAACAGGGCCGTGGACACACAGGGGGCAGAGGAGAGACATTGTTAGTGGACAAGAAATATGCAGTGGCAAGTGGCGAGTGCCGCATGGATGTCAAGTTGTCATGCACAATTCAGCTATTACTTACGGTCCAGTTAGTCCTGCCATTGCTCGCTCGTCCTGGTTCCTCCTCGTTCGTCTTCCTGCACGTCTGCACTTCTCCTTCCCCACCGTTGGCTTTGCGGTACGGGGGTGCCGGAAGGAATTCCCACCATGTATCCATGTACATGAAGTCCCACCATGACTCTCCATGTACATGTCCACGGTCACGTCAGCAGTTTGTACAGTACCGGAAGGAGTTCCCACGATGCCTCCAAAGGCCTAGAGCGGACGTCTTTGCAGCAATTCTTTTCGCCCTGCGCATTCAGTTCGCCGACGATGTCTCCAAAGGCAAAGGCCTAGAGCCTAGTAGAGGGGACGTCTTTGCAGCAATTCTTTTCACCCTAGTACCCTGCACATTCACCCCGCCGACACGACAGCGTTTACGGGGCCGTTCCAGGTGCAAAAGGTCCACGTCAGCAGTTCTCAACTATTTCGCGTACGGGATAGTCGCCGCGACAGCGTTTAAGGGGTCGTTCCAGGTGCAAAAGGTATCCATCAATGGCACTTTGCAGTATGGGGTACGGGAAAGGGGCCTCCTCGTTCGACTTCGTCGACTTCTGCAGTTCTCCTTCCCGTCAGGGGTACCGAAAGGGGCCTCCTCGCAGTTGTCCTTGCCGTCAGGTCCACGTCATGCAGTTCTCAACTATTTCGCGTACGGGATAGTCGTCTTTGTCGTACGCGACATCGGCGTTTACCGAGTGGCATTGGCACAAAGCAGACCGTTGACGGGGTCACGTGTCAAAAAAGTATCAACAACGTGTCGACTACGTGTCGACCACGTGTATAGCGGTACACTCAGCGGTACACTAATTCTCGTGCCATTCTCGTGTCACAAAACTGGAACATCGAGTACCAGTATGGAAAGGCTTCAGACAGGAAGCCTTTCCAATGCACACATGCAAGTGAGCACACATCTGCTCTCTATACACAATGGTGGCAGAATGTGTAGACAGGAGAGGTGCAAAACACTGTTTGACATACAGATCCACATGCGTGCCTGGTTGTGATGAAGCCGAGACACAAGGTCGACAGAGCATCCCAGGCCACGCCACCACTCCCCTTATTCATGGCTCACACATGACGGGTTTACGTGGCTCTAGTAAATAAAAATAAATAAAAATTATTAAAATGCGGTCTCTTCCATATCAACAATCACTGTGTGCCACGTGCACTAACACGAAGATGGAATCGGCTCCTCGCCCTTGCTACAGATCGCCAGTGGCATTGACCAGTAGCTTGCAGTACCATTCAATGGCGAGCACAGCACTTTTAAACATGTGCATGCTCGCATGTTGTAGTGTGGGCTGTTGCGACACTGAGGTTGCAGACTGCTTGCTACTTGTCAGGCGCGTGTGGGCTGATCAGTCGCTATGACTTCTGACACACTGACGACAGGCTTCCGTTGATCCTGGGCGGAAAGTGAGTGGTCCGACAGGAGTTCGTACTGAGCAAGGCTGCAGAAAGGGAGAGCTTAGTTTTTCAACAAGGTGGATGACTGCTTTCATGGATCTCAGCTGAATTAAAGGGGCTAAAATCAAAATTTCACCAGTTGTAGTCTTCGGGGTGCTGAGCCGAATGGTCTTGGTCCGAGAAAGCTGAGACGCTCCCTTCCTACTTGAATCCCAATCGAACTCGCGCACTTCCACCGAAACTGGGTGACTGCGCCCTACTAGATGGGGATTTGTATGCAAAATGTCACTAAAAGCGCCATTTCGTTCTTATAAAAGCACGGATGACTGCGATTGGCCCATATGTTGTAGTCTTTAGGACGCTGAGTCGACTGGTTTTGGTCCGAAAAGGCTGCGATGCAGTGTTCCTCCTTTATTCCCGATCGAACATGGTTGAACAAGCGGTCACGCGCTCCTGGGTGCCCAAATCACCTGGCCACCACGCCAGCAGGCGACAACTTTCACACCAAGGTTCAAATCGAGGTCAACTCGAGTGACAGGACTGTACCCAAAAAAGGTCAAACAGGCTAGTAAGTTGTACCCTGCAGGCATGGTGGCCAGGTGACTGGTGTACGCAGGAGCACGTGACCGCTTGTTCAACCATGTTCGATTGGGAATAAAGGCGGAACGCTGCATCGCAGCCTTTTTGGACCAAAACCAGTCGACTCAGCGTCCAAAAGACTACAACATATGGGCCAATCGCGGTCATCCATGCTTTTATAAGAACGAAATGACGCTTTTAGTGACATTTTGCATACAGATCCCCATCTAGTAGGGCGCAGTCACCCAGTTTCCGTGGAAGTGTGCGAGTTCGATTGGGATTAAAGTAGGAAGGGAGCGTCTCAGCTTCCTCGGACCACGACCATTCGACTCAGCACCCCGAAGACTACAACTGGTGAAATTTTGATTTTAGCCTTAACTTCCCCTTTAACATGCCACTGCATGAGCGGAGATACGAATGTGTTATTCCTACCTTGGGTTTGGAAAGGTAGCCGCCTGGCAACTTCACTTTCTCCAAACGCGTTGACCGTGTAGACACTGACATTGTATGCTGTCTCCGGTACCAGGTTATCAAGAGTTTGTTCACCACTGTTCTCTGTAATATTTGTTGTGATGTTCCTGACGTCTGCTCCACCAAAAAGTTGCAAAGAGAACAGCAGCTGTGTTGCGGGATACAAGTCGCGGGTCAAGTTCACACTCCAGGACAGCTTCACTCTAACCGAAAGACTCTCTGCGACTTGCAGATCCGTTGGCGAACTGGGTAAGCCTGTGCATTGCAAATATAACAAAATGATGCAAACAGCAGCTAATCATAGCACCGCCACTCCAGACACTGCAGTGGATTCGCAGTCCATAGTAAGAGTCTGATCTTTTTACTTCATCATGTGCATTTAGTCTAATTTCTCCATCAGATCTACAGGTGTACTCTCGAGAATCCGGAACAGTCTACCAGCACCCTGCATATGTGTGTGTGTGTGTGTGTGTGTGTGTGTGTGTGTGTGTGTGTGTGTGTGTGTGTGTGTGTGTGTGTGTGTGTGTGTGTGTGTGTGTGTGTGTGTGTGTGTGTGTGCAGGGGACACGTGACCATTTGATGGCAGTGTTACCAAGGACCAAGGTGTGTGTGTGTGTGTGTGTGTGTGTGTGTGTGTGTGTGTGTGTGTGTGTGTGTGTGTGTGTGCCGTTCACGTTCTCCCGATGTTTCTCAGCAGGGGCGTGTTTATGGTAAAAATAATAAGACAATTACATACTCTACATGGCCAGTTGGTCTCTCCAGTTTCCACACAGATCTAGATGGGCATTGCTTGCTGTCCGAGATGAGCAGTGTATTAAAACAAATACAGGTCCCTTGTTTACTGCGCAAATAGTGGGATGCAGCACATGGCGTCCTAGCATTCTGTGTCCATGCCCATGGCGTTATCCAGTTCACAGGCACTACGAGAGGCCTTGTGCAATGGTTTGTCACGAAATACCGGTAGTCCCCATGAGTGAGCTCAGAGTCAAAACATGGCCTTACTGTGATACCGTACTGGCAAAGGCGAGCTTACGGAAGAACACGGGCTAGAGGCACAGGAATGGACACACTGTAACAATGGCTGCAATATCACTGGACGGTATTGCTCTTACCTTGTGTTCGTATCGTTTGCTCCTTGGCCAATTCGCTCCGTCCAAAGCCATTCACTGCATACACGCTGACAATGTATGCTGTCTGCGGCTGCAGGTTATCAAGAGTTTGTTCACCGCTATGCTCTGTGATATTTCTCGTGGCATTCCCGACATCTGCTCCACCTCCGAGTGTCCACAAGAATATCAGCTGCGTTGCGGGGTACGCATCTCTGGTCACGTTCCACAGCAGCTTCACCCTATCCATGCCATTCTCTAGAAGTTGCAGATTTGCGAGTGCACTGGGTGGACCTGGGCATGGGTATAGATGTAGATAAACACAATGATTAAACCTGTCACTTGCCATAATACCGTACTCCCGCACATATAAGCACACGTGCTGATGTCCGGACATAAGCGCACCCACCAATTATAAGCGTATGCGCTTATATGTGAACACCATTGGTGAAACACCTGGGAGCCGAATACACTGCTAAGCATTATGATAACACCGTTGTTTACAAAAAAATGGTTTAGGACACAGGGAAACATTTATTGCACATATAAGCGCATGGGCTTCTACCCGAACATGTTCACACACCAAAACATCTTTTTTTGTAGCAATTTTTTACTTATAAGCCCATGTGCTTATATGTGACTGTAGGGAAGTACGGTGCCCATTTTACATAACACTTACACAGCTGGTCTTCAACAACAACAACAAATTGCTTGTCTTAGTCGGAGTGTCGGTATCGCCGTTTTGTATGTTCCAACATTGGTACGACTCTTCCTATGCAATATCTACTTGCTATGCAAGACGTGACAGTCTCGGAGCTCTCTTGGGCAGCAAACTAATTCATCTCGCTATTTAGCCCCAGAGGGTCGCATCTTTTTCTGGAGTTCGTGCCGGCCCACATCATTCGCGTGGGCATTTTGTCAAGACTGCAAGCTCGGGTAAGAGAATCCGGCTATCTCGCCTGAATTTAAAATACTAAAGTTGACGATGGCGAAAACAAAGTGTTCCCAAATTCCTAAAAAGAACGCCACGTGTGTGGCGGATGTTACTGCGAATGTAGCAGGTCTGCAAACACCAATAAAACCAGCAAAGCGTTTGTCAAGGAAAGAAGGTGTGGAACTGCTTGCCCCATCCCGCTGGAAGGTTGTTACGACGTACTTAAAAAAATGCTAGGTTGCTGTCATCGCCTGCCACCTGGAGGCATGGATTGCCTGAAAAAGAAGTTCCATGACCTGAATTCGAACGCGCGTCTTGTTGAGTGCTGAAGGGTCTGCTTCGAACTCTGATGAAGACGTCGACCTCAGCCACATGTGCAGTGAAGCGAGAGGCCACAAACTCAAGCTTAGTCCGTCAATAATTCTCTGCCTCAATTTCGAGGTTGTTTCTTGGCTTCAAATGGACAAAATAATTTTGAAAAACAATTGCTCTGGGAAGCGACAATTGTAATGACGAGCAGGAAGTAGTCCACTGTCTTGCGGTGCATGGTTCAGAAAAATAGGAGTCATAACTCCTTCCCATTGGGCAGGCTATTTTCGTGACTCAGCTCAGTGATGATTATGTGGAGTTGACGGCCATTGCTTCCACAATGTGGGCATGACTCCTTGTGGCGGTGATGTGAAAACTACTCGTGAAAGTCTTCGTCGGCATAGTGGGGTTTGTTCTTGGTCCCGCCGTGTATGTTGTGCCAACACTCGCTCCGGGTCCTAAAATCCAGTCCTGTGTGAGCATTCCAAGGTGTAACCCACACTAAGTTATGTAAAGAATCCTCTTGTGTGGTTGTTGTTGACCTCAAATGAAACCCACTGCAAATTTTTAAGTGAAATCGGAGAGATCGACTAACTCACCTCTTTTTCTGGTTCTGTCAGATGTCATCTCTGTAATATATTCTTACTGTGGTGCAGTCAAGCCACTCTATCTATTACTACGCCATCGGCACATGGGTCATGGCGGTCAAACCTAGTCGGAAATCTTACCCCCCCCCCCCCCCCATTAAACCTGCCCCCGATGAATGCAGATTATGCACCCTCTACTGCGATGCTACGGCAGAAGCCATAGCAGCTTGTGCTGGGATTGCACCATTCAACAGCTTGCAAGACTGAAGAATTGACCGCCACTATTCAGCCTGGTCTACACCACACAGCTATGAAGCGGCTTTTTCTGGCCAGTGAATCCCTACTTTTGGTCTTTTTCATATTTTTTCCGCACACACATCACACCACATACTCCGGCATGCACTGGCTGTTGGTAACCACCCAGGAGAAGGAAAGAAAAGTCAGGAGGAGTCTGAGAAAGAGAAGAAAGAACACATGCACACACACGCGCACACACACACACACACACACACACACACACACACACACACACAAAGACATGGAAACACATCATTGATACGACTGTGTCATTCCTACCTTGTGTTGCGAAAGACTGTTCAGTCACATTGCTTCTTCCAAACTCGCTGATCGCGTAGACTCTGACATTGTATACCGTCTGCGGTGTCAGGTTCTCCAGAATTTGCGTACTGTTTTCTGCTGTTATGTTAACAGTGACATTCTTGACACCTGCTCCACCTTGTCCTCCGAGGTGCAAAGAGAACAACACCTGTGTTGCGGGATACTCATCTCTGGTCAGATTCACATGCCAGAACAGCTCCACTCTATCTGTGCCGCTCTCAATGAGTCGCACTTCCGTGAGTGGACTGGGTGGATCTGAGCATGGCAATAATGACAGTGTGACTCTTTTAATTTCACTTTTTTTTAACAAGCTTCAGACTCCTCGTCATCAGCATCTTCAAAAACTTGCCACGAGTACATGTATGTTCATTGCCCTCTCGTCAGGTGGAATGCAGGCACAAATAAACGGACCAAGCACAACGGCAAGTATTCAGTAGTGATGTCATAGCAACAGTGCAAAGAAGAGTAGCGAGAAATGACCGGCTTAAATGCATACCCTTTTATACATTATACACTTGTCAGTTTGAGCACTCTGGCAAGGTACGTTCGGGCCTGGTTTAAATCTGGCTTTGGAAAATTTATTTTTCATTGCTATCAGGTTCGGCCTCATTTTCTCTGTGCTGCGCTGACGAGTCCACAAAGGACGAAACAGTTCTGTCCGCAGATTGAGTAACCTTATACAATAGAAAGAATGACAAAAAGGTGCACGTGCGAAGAAACCGAACAAGCGTGCGATATTTTGTGACAAACTAACGAGTTGCTGACAACCTAACGGACAGCCTAAGTTTGTTTTCATAGGCAGTGAGTGGTTCCCAGTGTGACTATAAGCTTCTCAAGCTTCTAAAGCATTCCGTTTTAGGAGCTGCATCTGCGCCTTAGATCTCTCTTTGCATGGTGGCGGCGATCCTCCGGGTGCTGAAAACTCACTCTGAGTTTCAAAGGAACTGTGAATTTAATTTAAAAGCATTCAATAGCCTAGCACTATAGCACTATGTACAATGGACAAAGCAGAAAAACAATCATCCAAATACACAGCACGTCATTCAGGATGCTCAGACCAATGATGAGCAATGGCTGACTCATATGAATAATGATTTTATCAGCACTAACATCAGACACTCAGGAAGTGCGGTGGACGATTCCCATACCATACCACCTGATGAGAAGGCAATGAAAGTACTCGTAGAAAGGTTGTGAAGATGTTGATTGTGAGGATCATGTAGCATGATTGATTCTGTTTGCTCTCTAGTACTCGAATTCCTCCAAGCTCAACGGCAGTGCATATCATCAGCGTCCATATTTTGGTGGCCTGAAACATGGCCCTGACAACATTCATCTTGCAAGAACCCAAACCCGGGAATACTTCTCCTTTTGCAAAATTGTTTTCTTCCACAAAACAAAAGAGCTAAAAAAAAGCGGCTAGTAATTTGGCAAACATTGACGTAATGCTTTGATGACTACTGGGTTTTTTTACTACCACGGGCTCATTTATCTAAACATGTGTGTGTGTGTGTGTGTGTGTGTGTGTGTGTGTGTGTGTGTGTGTGTGTGTGTGTGTGCATGTGTGCATGTGCGTGTGTGTGTGTCCAACCTGTCGGAAGGCTACCCTCTCGCCAAAGCATTTTGGAAGTTGGACTAGTTTCGGCTCCACAATCCAGTGTGTCGTTACTATATAGCTTTCGTGGCTGAGTTTGTTGGTACGTCTGTTGGCCCTGGGTTCCCAGTACCCAGTTGCCGAGGCTGGTTGGTAAAAAAACTCCAATTTCACTTCAAGGTACCAGCGCATCTAGTGTCTGCTTTGATCAAAGCAGCGTGCTGTCTATACTGGTTACCCCAGCAAGTGTAGGGTGTGCATAGGTAACTGTCTTGGCCGTCCTATTCCGATGTACTCCGTGTGGTGTAGACCAGGTGTGCATTGGGGGTCGATTCACATGGCTTTGCCAGTTGTGTGGATTAGACAGTTATCTGGCGCTTGTCTTGATCTGTTCCAATCAGAATCAGATCCGCTATCGTTGCTATAGAGAAAACCTGTGGGTGCACATCCAGTGCATTTGCAGATTTGCGTGCTTCTCTTGCGACGGGCGTATACATGGTACATGGTGTGTGTGTGTGTGTGTGTGTGCGCGCGTGTGCGTGTGTGTGCGTGTGTGCGTGTGTGTGTGTGTGTGTGTGTGTGTGTGCATGTGTGCGTGTGTGTGCGCGTGTGTGCGTGTGATACTCCATACGCGGTATTAAGTGAGTATTCTTTGGCTCGATTTTCCATTGGAAAGAGTGCAGCTCTGATCCCCACACGGCAATCATAATAGATTGACTGTTATTGGGAGCGGCCTTACCTGGAATGCGCACAGTCACGTGGTTATTTGCGTAAGGTGCATCAAAGTGATAAAGGAATGCACATGTGTACACTCCCACTCGTGCACGCGTCAGATTGAACTTGAGCGCGAGCCTGAGAACAGTGACAGCACCACTTCACAGCACAACAACCAGAGAAAAATCACAGCAACAGAGAAAGATGTATTCAATTAGCATTGAAATCATGTAGGAACCTTATGACGTTGCATACGAGAACAGGCAACACATCTAGCCTAGGTTTCACAAGTTCTTTTTTTTTTTTTTTTTTTTTGCTTGAAGTTTTATTTTACATCGCAATCCAAACGGGCATTGATTATGATGGCGATAGAATAAAAAAAGGAATGTGGCTCGATAAAGCAATCTGACGGGAAACATTGTTTCCTGTAACTCTGAGTTTTACGGCAACTGGGCCAATCCTCAGACAACATGAAACTCAGAGAACAAAACAAAGTCTCCCGTCACTGTGAAGTTGTGTTGCGAGCTCCTCTTCAGGGGTTGAGCACTTTCGCCAGTCACGGCTAACTCCGCTTTGTAACCTTAGTTTTCACTACGAGTCTGCATTGTTTTGTATATACAGCCCGTGATGTCTCAGTTTTAACTTGAAATTGGAAACGTGGCCTAAAATCATAAGTTCACTGCTTCGTAGTCTTCTGGGCGTTGAGTAGAAAGGTGTTGGTCTGGGGAAGCTGAGATGCCCCCTTCACACCAAATGATCTCGCTCACTTTCCCTGAAATTGGATGAGCTTGCCCTTCTAGATAGGGAAGTGTGCGGAAAATTTCACTCAAAGTGTCACCTTTCAAAGTATGTCACCTTGTTATTATAGAAGATATAGAAGCATGAACAAAGATTAAACTCATAGAACCTGTATAGTCTTCTGGACTCTTAGTCGAATGGTCTTGGTCGCAGAAGGCTGCGATACAGCGTTCGAACCTTATTCTCTGTCAAACATGCCCCCCCCCCCCCCCCCTAGCAGTGCATACACCAGCCACCATACAGTACTAGTGCAGTACTCTGTGTATTTGTTGTGAGTACACTCAGACCTCGCTTATCCGGTCCTCTTTTATCCGGATCCCTCGCCAGCCGGAAGAAAATCGTTGGTTACCGATTTACAGCACATGTCATGCGCACATACAGTATGTGTGTTCGATTATCCGGTTCCCTCGCCTATCCGGATATTTCTGAGGGAAACAAATGTGTGCGGTTAACCGAGGCCTGACTGTACTTGTGTCCAGCGACCTGCACACATGGCTTCATGGCTAGAGCTGAAACGAGCTCACTCGTCTTGACGAGATGACTCGATAGGCCGACGTCGCTACTCTACGGTCTACATAACATGTAAGCTGTACATGCAATTTCTGCAGGATTCCAGATCGTTGTGAACAGTGCATTCGTGAAGTGACTCCGTGTTTGCTCGGCTTTGACCTGATCATTGCTCGATTGTTGTTGTTTGACTACACCATACTGCTGCACGACATAGTCACACCTACGGCATACTGCTGTACTACGTAGTCATGACTACACCATGCTCCTGTACGACGTAGTCATGACTACTGCTGCACGACGTAGTCATGACTACTGCTGCACGACGTAGTCATGACTACTGCTGTACGACGTAGTCATGACTACTGCTGTACGACGTAGTCATGACTACTGCTTTACTAGCGCCATAAGCTGCGTGTCCAATTATTCCAAAACCTTCACAGAACAATTTGCCATGCCCAAATAACCCCTTCTACGTACTTTGCTGTCCAAATTTTCCTTTAACATCTTCATACTTTTTATCCGGCCAAAACCTGGTTGATTAGGGCTTGTCACAAACGTTTTTTTGTCATCCCTGAAACGAACATCGTTCGTTTCGTACTCGGATCCTCTTCCCTCCCTCTGAAACAAACGCAGCTTGCTATGCTGGACAGCGCAGCTTGCTATGCTGGACAACGAAAATCACATGTATGTATGTACAGTGTCGGTCGATTTGTGATTTTGGCTCCCCCCCCCCCCCCCCAATGAACGATGTTTGTTTCAGGGACGACAAAAAACTTTTGCGACGACCCCTAGGTGGGTTGAGCAGCAGGGCCTCGCCATCACTTTCCGCATTCATTCGGGAGCATAGTGGACTTGGCAGAAAAAATTCGAAATTGAGTGTAGTAAAGGTTGTAGGACCTTGACAGTGTCCTGAATGATGTCACGCAGTTAACAAGGCTGGAGTTCAGGATGACGTGTGACTTGCGTTGGCGGCCGCTTGCGTGTTGTATTAAATACGGATAACACCCCGTTTTCCACACATGCGTGCCCGCCCGCCTGCCCGCTCTCTCTCTCTCTCTCTCTCTCTCTCTCTCACTCACTCACTCTCACGCACACACACACACACACACACACACACACACACACACACACACACACACACACACACACGTCCACACATACACACATGTACACACACACACACAAAAACACATGCAGACACACACACACACACACACATGGATTAAAGCGTGGTGCACCCTGGCTACACCAGATGTCCTAAGGTGTCCTACATCACAGTGCGGCGTCACATTCTTTGCTTTAGGTTCGCGGATAAGTGAGTTCAACTTCTGAACTGTTTGTGACTTAGCACACAGTGCTGCTCAATGAAATTCGATCGCGTAAGTCAAGTTTGCAGCCTGCACAAGCTCACAGGCCAGTGCTTGCCGGTCCAGTATGGCATGTACTGCATTAGGTGCGTACATGACTCACACAATCGGATGGCTTTGAGCAGCACTGTACACAGCTATTTTCAAGAACAGACGGACTCAGCGGATGGTACAAACATTTTTTTTAAACAGTATTGCAAGATGCTCACGTTGTGGTTCGTGAAAAGCTCCCGCCTGAACTCGCATCAAGCAGGATGAATCGAGAACTACCAGCTGGCATAAATAACAAGTTAAAAGTCCCAGGTACAATGCCATCATTTGCCAAACACTCCATCTCTACAGACGTGCCCTCTCCTTGCACAATCTCTGCCGGTAGAGTGTTAAGGAACACTGGTAATTGAGCTGAATCCACACAAGACAAATGAAGCAGACAACATACAATCAGGTGTGCTTTTAGCAAGTTCATTGGACAAACATAAGCCAAGCACACATGTGCGCATGCTAGGACGCACACACGCGTGCACACGTGCGCGGGCACACACCATTGGACCATTTGACGCCCATCGCCGGAGGAGGTGATAGCGATGCTAGAGCAGAAGCCATAGCAACTTGTGCTGGGATTGCAGCATTCAATAGCTTGCAAGGCTGAAGAATTGACCACCACTATTCAGCCTGGTCTACACCACACAGCTATGAAGTGGCTTTTTCTGGCCAGTGAATCCCTACTTTTTGGTCTTTTTTAATTTTTTTCCCACACACACACACACATCACACCACATACTCCGGCATGCACTGGATGTTGGTAACCACCCAGGAGAATGAAAGAAAAGTCAGGAGTCTGAGAAAGAGAAGAAAGATGTGTGGGACCATAATCGTCAGGAATCGAACCCGCAACCTATCGATTGGAAACCGCTGCACATACAGTTTTGTAAGTGAGCAAGTGCAAGTGTGTGTGTGTGTGTGTGTGTGTGTGTGTGTGTGTGTGTGTGTGTATGTGTGTGGTGTGTGTGGGTGTGTGTGTGTGTGTGTTTTCTTCCACGGGCTGGTCTCCAGCTCCGGCTGGGGCCAGCCCAGGTGAGTTATAGACTCACAGTAAGTAGAGTAGCTGTGCTGAGCGAGGCAGCCGTCATCTTGCTGCCGCGGACGAGGACAATTCAGCGTCGACAACATGGTCACCTCGGATATGACCACTCGCGCTGACCCTCGTCCGCCTGAGCGCGGAGGAGTTGCAAACCCCCGCTCAGAGCTTAGCTCGCAGCATGCACCAGCCGCTCGGAGGTTCGTGCTGTCTCTGGGAACCTGGAATGTGAGGACTCTTGTTGAGTCCGACGGCGACGTGAATACGGCTTCAAAATTTCAAAAAAAATCAAAACATTTGTTGCGGGAGGAGAAGAAAATTGACCTGGTTTGTCGGCAGCTTGGACGTTTCGGAGTGGATATCGCAGGTCTGCAGGAGACCCTTTGGTTCGGCACGGCTCAGTACAGCGTTGGCGACTCTCTCGTGTTGGCGAGTGGACGCCCTACTCCAACGGCGGATGACTCTGGACGTCGTGGTGAAGGTGTGGCGATAGTGCTGCGCGGAAAGTGCAAAGACGCCTTTGTCAGCGGCGGTTCGGAATGGAAAGGACACAGCTCGCGACTTATCTCCGCGAAGGCAAAGTTCGAATGTGGTCGTAATCGTTCAGTATCTTGCATTCATATCGCTTTTGCTTATGCACCAACATTCAGTAGATCACGTGAAGAGAAAGCTGCGTTCTATGAAAGTTTGCAGTCCTTCCTTGATAGTGTACCCAGGAGTGACCAGTATGTCATACTCAGCGATTTCAATGCTCGTGTTGGTGTTGGTACTGCTGGAGACGAGTGGAGCCGCGTAAGGGGTACACATGGACATGGCGTCATGAATTCTGCTGGAGAGGATTTACTTAACTTCCTGGCCAGAAACAGTGCGCTCATCTGCAACACCTGGTTCAAGAAGAAGGACATCCACAAGCACACGTGGCACCATCCCAGGTATGGGCAGCCTCATTGTATCGACTACTGCATTATTCCAGAGTCATGTCAGCGTCAATGTCTGGATTGTCAAGTTCTCCGCTCTGCGGAGTGTGACACCGACCATAAGTTCCTTGCCATGAGATACCGCTTGGCGGCGGTGCCCAGTTTCCGCAGGCAAAGTAAACCAGCCAACAAACCCATCGCTTCCGCAGTCCTAACGGCTCCCTCCAATGATGAAGTGCGAGCAAAATATTCCACTAGTCTTGATGCTGCCTTGGTTCAGAACTGGCCAGATGAGCTATCTGTGGAAGGATGCTGGGCTGCGTTGAAAACTACGGTGGCGGACGTCGCTCAGAAATGCCTTGGCAGAGAGCGGCGCAAACAACCAGACTGGTTCCTGGACAATCGACCGAAGATTGAGGCTGCCCTCCGTGAGCGAGACGATTGCTACCGAGCCTGGATGTCGACCAACAGGGCAAGTGATCAGAAGCTGTATAAGAAGGCCCGAAGTTCAGCTCGCCGTATCGTTCGTCAAGCAAAGCAGGACTGGCTGAGAAAGCAGGCTCGGGACTGCGAACGCTTTAGTCTAACATCTAAGGGAGGCTGGGAGTGCATCAAGAGGATCCAGACTGCACTTGATGGATTGCAGCCCCGCAAGACAGCTGCTATCAAGAATGCGCAGGGTGTTGTGTGCGAGACACCAGAGGCAACAGGTACGCGATGGCGGGAGCATTTTGACGGTGTCCTAAACGTGATCAGTGATTTTGTCCCAGATGCCATTGATTCCATTGGGCAGCTACCGATTCGGCTTGGCCTTGAGAACGCCCCAGCCTGCAGCGAGATACACCGTGCTATGCGAGCTCTCCAAAATGGCAAAGCATGTGGCCGATCAGAGATAACAGCGGAGATGCTCAAGTGCGGCTCTGAACTGGTGCCTAGGTTGGAGATGTTGTTGGCTGAAGTTTGGCGGACGGAAAGGGTTCCTCAGGATTGGGCAGACGCCATCTTAATCCCAATTCCCAAGAAAGGTGATCTTAGTGACTGTGGTAACTGGCGAGGCATCGCGCTTCTAGACGTGGTCGGCAAGCTGGTGGCAAGAATAATAGCGGATCGCCTGCAGCTGGTTGGAGAGGAATACCTGCCTGACTCCCAGTGTGGTTTTCGCCGTGGTAGGGGATGCTCAGACATGGTGTTCTCAGTACGCCAGGTTGCCGAGAAATTGCATGAGCATTCATCAAAGGGCTTTGCGGTGTTCATCGACTTGCGCGAAGCATACGATTCAGTACCTAGAGCAGCCATGTGGAGGGTTCTCTCCAGGCTCGGCGTGCCGGATAAGCTGATCTCCATCATTCGGTCGTTCCATGAAGGCATGTCTGCATCCATTCGTCTCGGCGCAGATCTGCTCGACCCTTTCCCGGTGGGAAATGGCCTACGTCAGGGATGCACTATGGCCCCGATCCTGTTCAACTTATTCATGGGTGCGGTTGTGGAAAAGTGGCATGCTACCATCGCCAATGACGAGGATATCGGTATCCAGGTGTCGCAGTTTCGCAGAGACTGCTTGTTCAATACGCGTCTCAGAGAGTGTCGCAGGGTGACTATCACGGAGTGTCAGTTTGCGGACGATTCGTCACTGTTCGCCAAAACCTACGGCGGTGCTGAAAGGGCCTTGGCCACGTTTCGACAGGTTGCAGCATCTTTTGGCCTGTCAGTCAATCTGGGCAAAACTAAGTTCATGCCTATGGGCGTTGGTGTGGTGGCGTCGGATATGTTGCCTTTGGGTGGAACCGTCGAATGCGTGGACAGCTTTCGCTATCTTGGCTGCCAGATCACTCCTGATGCTAGGAGTAGCTTTGATGTCTCTCGCAGGATCGCCGCAGCTTCGGGTGCATTTGGCGTATTGAAGAAAGCTGTGTTTGCGAACTCGGAGTTTCCTATCGGTCTCAAGCGTGTTGTGTACGGAGTCACTGTGTTGGCAGTACTCCTCTATGGTGCTGAGAACTGGACACCGAGGCAACGGGATCTCCAGCGTCTGGAGTCGTTTCACCTGCGATCTATACGCATGGTCCTGGGCATCAGTCGGGCGCGCCAGATGGACGAGCACGTGACAACCCTTCAGGTACGGCAGTGGTGGGGTGACATGGAGCAGGTCTCTGACAAGGTCCGGCGCCGTCGTCTCCAATGGCTGGGCCACCTGGCTCGCATGGATGACCGTATTCCCCGCCAATTGCTCTTTGGTGCCTTGCCGTCTAAACGACCTCCACATGGCCCCCGGAAGAGGTGGAAAGACCCAATCAAACATGACCTGACGGCGGTGTCCATTGGCATGAATGAGTGGCTTGAAACAGCAGATGATAGGTCTGAGTGGAGAACCAGGTGTCAGGATGGAGTCTACAGTGTGGTATGCTCTCGTGTACAACCTGCCGTGAAACCACTCCTGTGTATGGTCTGCACACGCCGTTTCAGCCGTCCTCAAGACATCGCTAGACATAGTTGCACCTCCCGTCGCTCCGCAAAGGCAAAAAACAAACAGTGAAACAGCCGTTCACGTCCCGCCGGACTCGCAGGGCCTCATGCCGCGTCCCGGAGACAGCACTCCTCCAAGTCGCCCCGTTTGGGGACACATAGCCAATCGTGGCAGTGGGCGAAGGAGGAGGAGGAGGAGGTGTGTGTGTGTGTGTGTGTGTGTGTGTGGCAGCCTGAATTTGGACTGCTGCCAGCACCATTGCTCGATCTGTGATCGCTGCATGAAGAGTCAGGCTGGTTTTAACCGCCATAATTGTACTCGAGGCAAACGACTGCGAAAGGACCAGAGGACTAATCTGCCCATTCAATGCAGCCTATGTAACGAACGATTCTCCCGCCCGCAGGACCTCACCCGCCACCGAAGACAGAAACACTAGCTATGTGTAGAACGGTCCCCTTTCACCTCAATTATTCTCCTTGTTTCTTTTTTCTCGCTGTTGTCTCCCGCTTCTGGGAGCGACGTGGCCATTTTGTGGCAGTTGTACATAGTAGTAGTAGTAGTGTGTGTGTGTGTGTGTGTGTGTGTGTGTGTGTGTGTGTGTGTGTGTGTGTGTGTGTGTGTGTGTGTGTGTGTGTGTGTGTGTGTAGCATTATGGTGATAATGCAGATTAATGGATGCACGCGGCTTTGTGCTACCGCTCAATCTATGCTGCTATGTTTAATAGTGCTGTTACTGCATGCTCATGATTTGCTGCTGACTATGGTCTCTGTGCGACTTGGCACTCTGCATGATATTGAATGCATCTCTCTACGTGACATTGAACGTGTCTCTTTACGTGGCGTTTATGCGTGTCGCTCGCCTCCGATGTGGAAAGCGTGTGGCGTTCATGCGTGTTGCTCGCCTCCGATGTGGAAAGCGTGTGGCGGCGTTATGATGCGTTTGCTTGTAGCGCTCAACGTGGGTGGCATGCATCGCTGCATGTCTTGTTAGAGTTTGCTCTGCTATATATTTCGATCCGTTCTGTGCGACGATCATTCTTGCTTGCTCGTAGTGTTTCACCCTCCCACCTCCCATTTCTCATCACTAATTTGCTTTGATACAGTGAATAAACGGGGTGTTGGCCATGCTCATTTCCGGCTACTCAGGGCCCTCGGTCGCCGTCCCTCGGACGCAGACTCTTGTAGATACTTGGCTCCGCCAACATTCTGCTTCGCCAGTGTCTACCCGGCCGACCCTGAATCCTCTCTCGTAGATACTTGGCTCCGCCAACATTCTGCTCCGGCAGTGTCTACGTATTTCTTTCCGTAGCCTCTCACTCCACTGGCCGGTACTCCCCCGTACCGCAAGTTGCTGTGTGTTGTAGTTAAGGTGTGTGTGTGTGTGTGTGTGTGTGTGCGTGTGTGCGTGTGTGCGTGCGTGCGTGGGTGTGTGTGTGCGTGCGTGCGTGTGTGTGTGAAATCGCCTGATCCCAAACACACTTGCACTTGCTCACTTACAAAACTGGTCATGTGGGTCTACCCAGGACAGGGGAGAGAAATTCAAAAGGAATCTTAGAAAGATAACTCAATTGCCACACTATCTAGTTACTCACAATAGTATATTGCAATGTATTTATAGTATTTCAAGGATTACCCAGAGGCTCTAGGTCACAATAGTACAGTCAACTTCGCCAATAACGACTGCGGATATAACGACAATTCGCGAATAACGACAGAATTTCCATGCCCAGAACAAAGTTCCATCCAACTGTAATACATATAATGAGACTTCGGGTATAGCGACACTTCGCGAATAAGGACACTTTTTTGATGCCCCGCCGAATGTCGTTATAAACGAAGTTGACTGTATATTGTGATGTATTTATAGTATTTCAAGGATTACCCAGAGGCTCTAGGCCTGTCAAGGGGATCTTCTACTCAGATAAGTTTCATGATTCGGGGAAAGAGTATTATGTACAAAGAAAAAAAACAAAGAAAAGAAGCAGACACAGCAACTGCACAAGTCAAGGTGTCGGTGTATGTTAGCATCCACCGATCACACTGCCATGTTTGCATTCGTCACGCACCGCTACTTGAGGGTTCTCAGGCGCTGCACTCACATTGCCGGCACATATCTTCGCGCATGCCTAGCCTTACGTCACACGTCTTCTCCATGGTAATGCAAATCAAAATGGCGTCGCTTCTCCATGTGCGCCACTGCTTGCTTCCCTTTCTTTCTTGCTGTTGGCTTCAGTGCAAAGTTAATTATTTTGTTTACTTCTACTTGTGCTAGCATCAGATTTGCAGGAGTTGTTTGCTTCTAGCTTGTGGTAGTGTCAAATTGGCCAGGCACTTTGATGGTATTCAGCCCGCACTTGTTGGCGACTAAAACAATGTCGCCATCTACTGTAAATCGGGTACTAGTATGTATGGCAGAACTACCTGTACGAGTCGAACACGAGAATCATGATCTGCTGCTGACCACTCCAAATAACTCCGTTTTGGCTCGGAGATTGCTGGATGATACGGAGCGTGAAGACCTGGGTCCAACCCCACATCCCACATCCTTCAGCAAATGACTGTGCCACGCCCGCAGCGGACATGAACGAAGTGCTCGCTGAGCCCCCGGCCACTTTGGATCTGCAGTGGACATGAACGAAGTGCTCGCTGAGCTCCCGGCCACTTTGGATCCAGCTCATTTGGGCTGAAGTTCGTTCTGCCATCACGGACGAGGCTGGAGCCTCTCTCCTGCCGCAAGCACGGACATCACCAGCGCCACTAGCTGCATCAACCGACACTGGAGTGAGTAGTGCATGCTCCACACCGCCTCACAACGGAAATCTGCACGTTGCCAAGTCGGTGCAGGATAGGATCTCGTGAGGTGAGTTTGTGGATTTCGACCAATTCTTGTCTGAGATTTTGGGAGCAGTCGATAACCAAAAGTCTTTCAAGCTCAGATCCAGTTCGGTAGCCATATAATTATACTCGACGTCTGGTGGAGACTGGTAGGTCTCTGTTGCTGAAAACCGGTTTGCCGAGGCATCCGAAAGCTTCGAAGGCTGCAGCTATTCGATGTGTGACATCGGCAGCTATTGTGCCGTCAGGTGTTAAGAGGCTGCCAACGTACGTGAACTCCGAGACATGCTGCACGTCGCCTGCTGATGTGTGCAGGGGTGCTATATCCGGCCGGTTTACTCCAGCTCCAAAGGACATGAATTTAGTCTTCATTGCAAACTGGCTTGTTGCTTTGCTCGGTCCTGGCGCGGTGCTCATAGACAACAGCTTCACGAGACATACCGCCGGCCTCCAGGTATGCCGCAAACTAGTTGCATTGCACAAGTCCTTCTCTGCGATGTCAGCCACCTGGAGGTCCGCACGGATTGCGTCCTTCTACCACTTCTTGGGCTTGTGTTGGGGGTATGTCTGGTTTGGTGAGCCAAGCAGGAGGTGACGGTACAGGCACTCTGGGGACTTTCAGGCAGTTCACTTCCCTGACAGTAATGTTTCCACTGAATTAGGAGTTCTCCCGATCCTTTCAAAATTGACCACTTTCTCATCTCAGGTAGCACGTTCCAGAAACTGACCGCGGTTGGCCCTCTGGGGGAGGGAAAAAGAACCAAGTGCCATCAGTATGTGTGGCACGTGTTGTGAGCTGCCTTTAGATCGAACAACTTGTCCGCCCCTTCTAGGCTTAGCCTGGTCCCATAGCTCAGATTTATAGCATTGCTCATGGCAAGCAAGGTCCCAGGTTCGAGTCCTGGTGTCGTCTCAGTTGGAGGACGAGCTGCCTCTACTATACCCTCGCCACGTCACACATCAAACGGACTAGCAAGTGGTTTTTCTCTAGAGCTAGAGAGAGAGAGCTATTCATTACTACACTTCAGGAGACGACGGGAGAACTGACAACTGACATGGCAAAAGGAAACATGATATCGGAAATTGGTGCCCTCATCAGCACAAAAAGTGGTGTACTCGATATCATATCAGCACAAAAAGGTGCACGTGTCAGCAATACAACAAAGCAGCGCAGCAGCATGTACGGGTCAGCAGCACAGAGACACAAATACAGCAGCAGGTACGACAAAGAGACAACACGTGCAGCCACATGTACAGCACTGGCAGGGTTGGTATTTTTTCTCTTTTCAGGCAGTTCACTTCCCTGACAGTTTACACTGAATTTGAAGTTCTCCCAATCCTTTCAACAACAACAAAATAAAATAATCACAGTGATCATGCGAGCGGAAACAAACGCAGTATGCCTACAGGATGTCTTACGTGCATGTAGGTGCTAAAAGTAGCCTAACCTTGCTGGCTCACTATTATAGTTGAGTAAACATGGCAATAGGCCTGCCATGCCATGCTCAACTCCACGTGTAGAGCGGTGCATACTTATTGAACTCTGCACAAAGTAACCCAGCCGCCCCTCTTAAATTTTAACCCTGAACACAGAACCAAATACAGCATTGCTGTGGGCTGTTCATACCTGTCTTAAAAGACTTTTCCGCGGCTACTTCGCATTGTCCAAACTCATTGGCAGTGTAGACCTTGACAATGTAATTTTTGTTCGGTTGCAGGCTCTTCAAAATTTGCTGGCCCCGATCCTCTGTAATGTTAAGGGTGAGAATCTTGCCCATTGTTCCACTCGGTCCGCTAAACATACTGCCTACTCGCTGCAAAAAGAAGCTCAGCTGTGTCGCGGGATACAAGTCGGTGGCGTTGAGACGCCAGAATAGCGTGACGTTATCTGTAGTGCTGTTCTCCGTGAGACTCAGTTCCTCGAGTGTACCAGGTGTACCTGTGCAGGGGAGAATAGTCACAATGAGGAGAATCGTCATTAGCCATCATGCCATCATGCCCACTGTGCGTGGACAGCTGGCCGTCGCACATGGATCTAGACTGGGACATATGTATGGTTTGCTGGCCGACACGACCGATCTGCAAAGACAGGTCACCTCGCAATGCAATGGCTACATAAGCCAGAGCAGGGTGATGGCATACACGGTGGGATGCAGCTTACTGTATGGCTGGGTTGGGAGAATAATTGAAACACTAGGACTACGTAACATAGTCTTAGTACTTAGCAACACGATTGAAGATGTGGTTCTGGATCAAAGCAATCGCCTTGCATTATTACAGTAGTGAACGCAATTATCAAGGCGGACATTCAACGTAGCAATAACAAAATAAGAGTCTAGACATATCCTTATCGACCGTTTTGATGAGACAATCTTGCCGGAAATCCGTCTCAACAATGAAAACAAGACAGGCCCTGTGAAGGTGCACTATCTATGCGCTGAAGATCACCCTGTGTTTCTCGGCATAGTATAAACCAAGTGAATTTTACCAGTCCTGGGATGAACTTTGTATGTATTGTGCTGTGACCAGTTGGTTATGTCTCTCAAACTAGAAAACATGCACGGTAAACCTATAATAGCAATGAAAAATATCAATTGTGCACTCATAACCATGTATAAACAATTAAAATGAAACAATTCCAGAACGTTTTCGTGTGACTATCATCAGTGGAACAACACATTTGTTCCACTGATGATAGTCACACGAAAACAATTCCAGAACGTTTTCGTGTGACTATCATCAGTGGAACAACACATTTGTTCCACTGATGATAGTCACACGAAAACGTTCTGGAATTGTTTCATTTTAATTGTTTATACATGGTTATGAGTGCACAATTGATATTTTTCATTGCTCTTTTACGACTGTTGTCTCCTCGTCGGTTATTTAAGGTAAACCTATAGTAAAACATTCAATGTACATGTACGTCTAAGAGACATGAAGATCTGTACTGTGTAGCCATGGACTGGAAAAGGATGCGCATGATCCGCCACCCCCGAGGCTTTAATATTATTATCCGATGCAAAGTTAGAAAATATTGCTACATCCATGCCATGCTATGCTGATGCTTTACCGCATCTCACCTGCTGAACTTAGTATCATGGATTGCTTGTGACTTTTAATTATACTGTGGAGTAGCGTCTACAAGCCCCCCCCCCCCCCCACACACACACCCCGAACAAATCCACGTGCATCATTGGTGATCTTCCTACCTTGTGTGTAGAAAACCTGCTCCCTTGCCATTCGGCTCCTTCCAATGACATTGGTTGCATACACTGCGATAGTGTACACAGTCTGCTGGGTCAAGTTACTCAGAGATTCTTCGCCGCTAGCACTTGTGATGTTAACAGTGAAACGCCTGATATCTGCTCCACCTGGCCTTCCGTATTTCAGCGAGAACGTCAGATGCGTCGCAGGATACTCGTCCCCGGTCAAATTAACACGCCAGAACAGCTTCACGCTGTGCGTGCCATTCTCCGTGAGTCGTAGCTCCGCAGGCGGACTAGGCACACTACCTGTACAGGGGCAAAGAGTATAACCCGCTTTAAAAGAGGTTTGCTACGCTCTCGGGCATTTCACGTTTTGCTTAGTGATGGGGATGCAGCTGCGTTCCATCTTATACACATGTCGTGCACAAACATCAAGATTATCCGGTATTGTCGTGCTGGTGGCTCGAAAGATGATTCCATGTGCCACATAAAGTAACTTATTGTATGTGAAATTCACAGTTCACTCCTGATATAACGAACGCCATTGTCCAGAGAATTTGTTCTTTATAGCCAAAGTCTGTAATAACAGAAATGCACCCACACTATACAAGCAACACGTCATGACTGACGTGTGGCTCAGGACGGTATGAGTGCACTTTGTTTATATGCAGCCCTTCAAGATTTGGTTCGTTATAAACGAAAACTGCTTGCTATAAAGGGCCCATTTTGTATGGGCTCAAACAGGGACATGGACAATGGTTAGCTTTATCACAAAATTCGCTATATGCGAGTTCGTTATAAGTGGAGTCAACTGCAGTTCAGTGATTGGCTATCATGAGAATGCATGCATGCGCGACATATTAGTACAATGCTGATTTTAGTCCAATGTCTACAGTGTGCAGTCTGTTCAGAAAACAATGATTGTCTTGCTTTTAACCATAAATAGGCCAATGGTTGACCTATTCAGAATTTGTTTGCCATGCAGCGCAGAATGCTCGTCCAATGATGTTTTTGCCGTTTATTTCCCCAAAACGGGGACCATAACAAAGTTATTTTTGGCTGGGTTTAACCGGGTTTAGCATTAATCATTGTACAGACAAGCAGGTCCAAAAACCCATTTCCACCCCAAATAAAAATTGGGTTCTCTGCCTGATTCAGCCTAGATCGGATTTGAAAAAGGCCAGACATCTACTACTTGTGAATGGACACCACATTCAGAATGCACTAAAATTATCCATTCCCTCACTGCCCCATGTGCAGGGATCAGGCGCGTGCGCCGGTGCCC